AGCAGCAACACGCATGAAAAAATCTCCCATCTCAAAATCTGTAAAGTGTATAGGCTCAAAATTTGGATGACGATACTTTGTATCCGTTTTGCTTGTTAAAGCATTAAAATTATCAACTGATACTAAAACAGGTATACTTTTAGAGTGATACTTCAATTCTTCAATGAAAAAGCCGAAAGCATTATTAGCTCCAACTTTACCGAAATCATGATTTAACAATAAATAGTCGTATAAATTATTTTCGCCTTTCTTCAAATCGTATGTCTTTTTTTTGGAAACCACAGATATATCTCTTGTAAGAGGCATCTTCTTTAACACATTTTCATTTGCAGAACGTATTTTCATGATCCACCTTTTTGTGAACATTGGCTGTTGATATTTTTCAATCTTTCTATTATAAACATAGTCACTTGAGCCTTCAACAATCCTCTCTGGATAATCCAAGTGTAAAAGCACAACATCACCGTTATACTTCGAATATGCTAGAGCCTTCACCTGGGACATAAGCGTTGACTTTCCGGAGCCTTTTTCCCCAAGTAAGCATAATCTATTGGCACTTGAGGGCGAATGCAATTTTGAGATTAGCATTTCATCAACTTGTAACGTGTTTTCTGTTACCATTGAGACTGGTCTCGAAAATAGTTCATAATGCTGATACTTTTTGAAGGATCCTAGTGTCAGCAAGTTCTTTTCCACAGAGGTCTCAAACTTCACAATGGCTTCATTGGAAGATTGCAACTGTTCATGGGTGAGACTTTTTAATTCAAGATCGTCCACATTTTTTGCAAGTTTTTCAAACTTCAAAGCCCTAACTGCATCACCGAATTTCAAATGTGTCATTCCAGATTTCTTAGCTTTTCCCGCTTTCTGTTCACCCTTAGGCTTGAATCCCTGCTTAGCCTTTTTCTTTCCACCTTGTGGCTTCGGGGCTACTTTCGCTGATAAACATTTTGACACAGAAAAGGAGCGAAACAATCCTGGTGCCTCAGGAAATGTCTTGCTTTTTATCAAACAGCTGGAGACCACCTTTAGCATTATATCGAATGATGTAATCCCTGCAACAATTCCACTCTTGAGCTCAATCAATGTTTACCTATTTAAGGTATTCAAAATTTTCATTCCACTTAATTGGGTGAACACGACTATAATCACATGTTTCTTAAGACTACAAAAAATTTTTTAAATCTCAGCGCTTCTTCTAGAGCCATATATGAAATATATAAAATTCACTCATGAAGTAGCAAATGCCCATGCATGCAAGAAGGGCTCTACCATCTTTAGCTCGGCCACTAAAGGAGACTCTTTGTCCTAGGAAAGATTACTTCTATCGCTCTTATGCATTGAAGTCTTCGTCTACTTTTAAGATTGGCCGCTCCAAATCATTAAAGCAGGATAAATATGCTTTGGAATCACCAACAGCTAGTAATAAGGTTTTTGCATTTGGAAACTTCTCAAGTTTACAGACTCCGACTGCGAAGGGGTTACAGCTGACTAACAACGTTCTTCAAAACATATCATCATTTGATTCATTGAAGATTTTTCCAACTGTAAGAGCAGCTATGATCGAGGAAATTAAAGAAGGTTACAATTTGAAGAGCACATATATCAAGGATAAGAGTGAAATAGAATTAAAGCCGTCTCCTGTACAAATTGCTGCTATTAGAAAAATTAATCAATCTCGAAGTAGAAGACTTTCAAATGAAAAGCGTTCTGAGAAACGGCAAACTAGTATTATTGACGAGCTTGCCAAGAACAATGAGCAAAACAGACTTAAGGTTTTTACCATTGCTGCTGAGACCGGTTCAGGTAAGACATGGGCGTATTTGGCTCCTTTGTTGAGTAAATTGAAGGAACAAGATTTGGAATCTTTCAGAACCTCAAGAAAAGCGTATGAAGAATTTAAAAATGCCCCCCAAATTCGTTCTTTAATACTACTACCAACTCACGAGCTTGTTGAACAAGTTTATGAGTGTGTAAGGAGAGCCTCATTACTACCCTACAACTTAGATCAGATCATTACTTCTAGTGTTTCAAAAGATAAGGATTATGTGGAGTTTTTGAATTTGCCTGAAAATAAAGAGTCCTTGAACTTATCAGTATTAAAGTGGGGCTCTGGTGATCCACATACAAAGCTATTCAATGCCGCTAATAATAAAGTTGATATTTTGATTACAACTCCATCGAAAATAATTGGCTTGGCGAAGCTCAATAATGTGAGCCATCCATTTAAATGCTTAAGCAGAATTGAATACTGTGTGGTAGATGAAGCTGACACTCTTTTTGACAAATCTTGGATTGTTGATACAACTTCTGTTATTAAAAAATTACGAGGATGTAAGGATCTTGTGTTTTGTTCTGCTACCATACCGAAAGAATTCAAAAAAACAATGTCAAATATGTTTCCGGACAGTCATTCAATAATCAATATTGTAACACCCCAGCTTCATAAAATACCGAAACAAATTGTTTTAAAGGTTATCGATGCTCAGTTATCTCCTTACAATGGTTCCAAAACAAGGTGTTTAGCTCAGGCACTATATGCAATTTATAACGATGGCACAGAAAAAGGCTTCGTTAAACGGATTTTGGTTTTTGTGAATGAAAAAAAGGATGTGGAACCTTTGGTAAACGTTTTAATCAACAAGTTCTCCTTTGAAGGGGGTGATATTATTGGTGTAACGGGAAAGGATTCAGCGACCGACAGGATGGCTAAAATTGAACCTTTTTTAAGACCAGCCGAATTGTTGGATTCCGATGAAGATCAAAGCAAAATTAAGGTTTTGGTGACTACTGATTTATTAGCCAGGGGATTAAATTTTGTAGGTATTAAAAATGTCATCTTGATGGATTTACCTAATACGTCAGTTGATTTGGTCCACAGAATTGGTAGAACTGGAAGAATGAGACAATCTGGAAGAGTCTTTGTTATTATAGATAAAAAAACCCGGAAATCGTGGATAAAGGGTCTTCCAAATGCCATCAAGAAAGGAATGACATTAGGATAATATTAACATGAAAGGTAAGTAACTTAATTTGTAAAGGAAATGGGAAGTGGAAAAGCCAAATAAATGATGAGTTAACAATTTTTATATGGACGTTTGACTTCCGAATACTAATTGAGGAAAGAATTTAAACTGATATTTGCAATCATTGAACTTCCCAGCTTTCTTAGCGCATATAACTTTATTGATACTAACAAAACAGAAGGTCTCGCCACTAATAGTCTGTAAATACTTGACGACATAGCATCACTTGCATCTTGTACATATAAATATGGGAAGGAATGAATATAGATAACATTGAACCGACATACGTTTAAAAACTAATTTTGCTCCAAACCTGGGATTACTTTATCTTCAAACTTGGAATAACAGTGGTTTGAAAGATTATACACCCGAGGAAGACCAATATCTTATCATATCATTAAATATCAAAGATTATCTCAGTATTTTGAGATATTCTTTCTGGAAAAGATAAGTACAATTGTAGAATCATCGAAAAAAGCTAGTAGCGAATTTTCCACGGCCTCTCATTTCGTAGGGTGTAGGGATGTATGTGAACCGAGCGTTTTTCGAACCTAAATTTCAGCGGTTTCGGAATGTAGAAAGATCAATGCGATTTCTTAGGTGTCAACTCAAACTTTGTTTCATTGAAAATCTAGACGAAGTAATAAAAAGATACCGAAAATGTCACATAATCCAGATGCTTCAATTCAGGAACAACAAAAAGATACTTATTTTGGTAAGGAAGTTGTAAACAGAGTATCCTTCTTGAGGGAAGATCATGAGTTTATTAGCAATAGTGTGTTTCATCCTTCTACTAGATTTATATTCTTTCAAGACGGCAATCCATTGATTAATAAAGATGCAGAAGAAAAATTAATAATTTTGACAAATGGAGATAATCAATTGCCAGGGAAAAGTGGATTCATAGTAAAGAAAGGGTTACAATCAAGTAGCCCTAAATGGTCTAAGATATTAGAAACATGGAGCAAGGATAATAAGGAGCTTGATGATGGTACCAGAGATGGAACAAAGCCAACCTTCTTATTTATGGGCCTCCAAGATGAGAGCGTTGGTTTGAATTTGAAAAATTTGAAATTTTCAGAGGATGGTGAAGTATCTGGGGAACGATACTTGGACCATCAGGGTCGCTACCAAGGGATACCTTATTATGCAGTTGACGTTACCAGATCTCCAGAACTAGCGGAATTAATATTGCATCATATAATGGCGTATAGCAATATAAAGAGGGAAGGCTTGTTCTTCAGTCATTCCAGGAAGCACTACTTAGGATTTACTACAAACGAGGCTGCTTTATATTCTCATGGTAAAATGTTTCTCGACTGGCTCGAGAGAAACAAATTTTGCCCTGGTTGTGGTTGGAAAGTTATACCAATACATGCTGGTGGTAAGTTAAGATGTACCAACGATAGAAAAGATACTCAAAATATCTATGAATGTCCTGTGAAGAATACTAGAGTTTCAAATGTGTCGTTTCCTAGGACAGATGCGGTCGTCATTACAGCCATCACAAATGCAAGTAGGGACAAAATATTACTTTCTTTATCAAAACGTTACGCCGTAACAAAGATGTATGCATGTACGGCTGGATTCATGGAACCATCTGAAACGGTGGAAAATGCCACCAAAAGAGAAATCTGGGAAGAAACAGGGGTGAAATGTGATAAGATCAAGATCGTTATGTCTCAACCATGGCCATTTCCTGGTAACTTAATGATAGGATGTGTCGCCGAAGTTGACTTCAATGGATCCAATGAAATAATTCACTTAGGACATGACAGAGAATTGGCTGACGCAAGATGGTTTGATGTTAGTTTTGTTCGTACTCTCATGGATAAGCCAAGAAATGACTCAGAGTCTAATCCAGAAGGTATTTTACTTCCAAGCTCAGAATCAGTTGCATTTCTGTTAATTAAGTTGGTAGTTGATGAAGCGGTCCCTAATCCAGCTAGGTTATAAACCTTCCATAGTTCCAAAACTTTTCTCAGTATAGTACTTTCTGCATCCATATATGTATGCAATGTGACATAACAAAGAATCGATTCTGGTTATAAACTTGATTCGAAGTATCCTTCAAGGTTATCCGGATATATATTTATTTTTGATTTGGGTGCTTAAGTAAGAACAAACATACCGGTCGGCGGTTTCGCGGCTAGACCGGGGATAGTTGCATATTAGTCGAAGCACGTGAACTGTATATCCTAGATTTACAAGCAAGAGAAATTTCAAGCCTTGTCAATATATGGCTTTAGGAAATGTATTATAAATAGGTTTTGACTTTTAAATAGACACATTCAGTTTCCCTCTTTACGTTGACACAATGCGTATGTCCCAAAATGAATAAAACTCCTATGATTGGTAACATAATCGCACCCTGACGTAGACAATACAGCAATATTCAATTTGTCTGTGAATATTTTTATCGCAACAGCTGCCACATTAAGCGTAGAGCACCTGTCTTGTTATTTATTTTGGGTGCAACTGTGAGCACTGTGGATGCAACATTTGACACGATGCCCGTAATTGGTAGTTCTCGAGCCCTCGTAATGACCTTGTTACATTATGGAGAACCATAGAACCGAGACCGACTATAAAAAGAAATATTTCTCGGAACGTGGGGAGATGAGTAAGAAACTTTATATATATCTAACTTATGCCATTAAAATTCTATCTCTTTTTGGTCCCTATACATTCGATGGCGTATCTAACGATATTTCTCAATAAGAACTCGTCGGACTTTTCGTAAGAAGATCCTAAAACCAATTTTGATAGATTTTTATTTTAAGATGTCTCAAGACTTATACACTTCGCCTGTGATAGTGGGACATAGAGGATTTAAGGCAAAATACACAGAGAATACCTTGGAGGGCTTCAACAAATGCTTCGACTCTGGTGCCACTTGTATTGAAACAGATTTGTGGAAGACTCTAGATGATGTATTGGTTATTTCGCATGATGCTAATACAAAACGTGTGTTTTGTCACGAGAATAACGAACCTGCAGATTATCATATTCCTTCAGCAACATATGATGATATAAAGGACTTGAAAACAATAGGTTCTGGAGAGAAGTTACTAAAATTTACTGATGTTTTAAAGTGGTATGTTGAGTACGTGGAGGAAAAGGATTCTAATGTTCACAAGTTACAGTTAGACATTAAAAAGGAGAACCCAGTAAAGATTGTGAAGTTAATTGTTCAAGATCTATTATCTGTCAGGGATAACATAGGCTGGTGGTTACATAGAATCCAATTTGGAACATGGAACTTAAATGTTCTTAAATTTTTGAACCAGGATCCTTATTTCCAAAAAGTTTTTAACAAAGATGTTAAAAATAAATTTGGATTAAAGCAGTTTGACATATTTCATATTTCATTCGATTGGAGAGATTCTATCCACTTTATCAACTATAACTTTTATGTGGATCATTTACCGAATGATGGTCTGTTCCGTTTTAAGTTGACTGGAGTGTCTCTAGTTTATATAAGTACTTGGTCCCTTGGATTTTTAACAAAATTTGTCCCTTTACTTAAGGTACAAGATTTGAAACTTTACTCATGGACAATCAATACGAAGGCGCAATATGAATATTTGGATCAAGTGGGGAGATCTGCCGACCTCAAAGAGTACGGTGTCGTAACGGATCTGCCTGATTACATGGTCGAAGTCAAGAATGGAGTCGAATTGGAAGATAGTGATATGGACTCAGAACTTACAAGACTCACGTCTTCTGATGAGTTCTTTGGTAAAGATGGCTCTTTGGCCATCAATCTTAGCATTAGACAAAGATTGGCTTATTCAATAATGAAACTTTTCCAATCGATTGCTGGTCCCAAAAGGATATCTGACGAGGAAAAGAAGTTTAATACCCGGGTAGATGAGAACTCGGTTACTCGAATACGCGTTAATCTGTTCTATGTTTGGGCATTCAGGACGTGTCAGAGTTATGGTATTTTCTAGACAAAAAGGTTTGATGGACAAGTTGCAATTTGGAATTCACTTGAATGCTATTTGATAATCAACTTTCATGTATCACGTTGTCGTAATATAAAAATGTGTCTACTGAGCTAAGTTTTAATGAATATTTTATATTCTATAATTATTGTAGTAAAGTGTTGCGAATATAGTTCGACTGCGGAACTTAATTGCAATTATTATGTAAGCATGCATCAGTATCAACGCATGCGAAAGATTACACAAAGGGTAGTGATGTATACCAATCTCTCATACGAAAAGTCCATCGACGTAAGAAATTTTAACCATTCCGAAGGTTATGCTATATTGGATACTTTCTAACAGATTAAAAAGTTATTAGCATTTTAGACAAGAAGAGCTGAATCAGAGAGTAAGTCCCTGCAAGATTACATAGGCAAAGAAAAGAGTGGATTGCACCTATAGATCTGCCCCAAATAAAGCTCAAGGTCGACGAGATTCCCTAAAGTATTTTTTTTTTGATTGAGGAGAGACAAGCAACTCTACGTGTATCAAGTTAACAAAATGGTACTATATAAGCGAAAGCCGGTCATATTTTCATCTCCGCCTTCCCTTCCAGTCGACATGAATAGCGAAGTTTTCTTTATTCCACATACAAAAGAATGGTTTTATAACTACGAAGATTACGTGGCAAGAATGGATTATTATAACACCAAAAAGTTCGTATGCGAAATCACTGGGAATTCCTGCTTGACCTTTTTCGAAGCAATGGAGAGTGAAGAAAGAGAAATTAAAGGCGTTGAAAAGAACTTTCCCGAAACATTGAGAGAACACATTTTAAGGTTTTTACAATTCAGTCGAATAACAAGATTAGATCAATTGGTAGACCGAGTCTACCTGGTATTTAAGGATGACTACTTTCCTGGAGAGACAATATTCATCAAGGGCCCGATGAATGAAGTAGACCAAGATAGAACGGCCGAATCGCATTCTACAGTTAAATATAGAGGGACGATTCGAGAAAAAGTACAATATGGCTCATCGGATTCTGTGACAACAAAGTATCTTGTCGTGAGATTAAGTGACATGCAAGAGGCCATTGTAACTGGTGACAGGATATCTAGAGATCGTAATCACTTCACAAAGTGGTTGATCAAAACTTTCATTAAGCTTACTATGTCGAGGTCGCATAAAGTGGGTGCTCCTTGGGTTGTCAAGGAGGTTTACGCTAAGGAATACCGGATACCACAAGAATTTCCCAATGATTTAAAGCAATTTGCATCTACAACACCAACGGGTGAAGTACTCTATGAAGATAATGAAAAGGGTGGTTCTCCGACTCCAGCAGTATTTGGAGACAGGCATAGTCCTGGAAATGATAAAAGAAAACGCTCAAGTCATCAAGTGAAAGGACTGAAAAGAAAAAAGTTATTAAGTAAAGTACTTGATGTCAAAAATTCTTCTTCTCCAACACCAAAGCTCGAATCTGAGCGTAGAAATAGTCCCATTTTGATAAGGGAGATCCTCCCATTGAATTCCAGAAAACGATTCCCAATGCATCATTTGCCAGAGAAATTATTGAACGTTATAGAGCATGAAGATGGAATGGGATCGGACGGTCCAGGTACTCCTTCAAACTATGCAAACGGATTATCGGGTAGCTCCATCCAACCAACCAAGAAAAACTTAGTAGAAGACTTGACGATTCCTTTTGATCTTCAAAATAGAAGGCCCCAGTCCAATATTTTGAAACTACCAGATAATTCCCTACGATGGAATCGTCGTATAATAGAAAATCACCGTTTACTTTTAAAATCTAAATTGAACACTGAAGACGATATAGGCGAGATAACTAGACATACAGAAATCACAAGACTATCTCAGCATGATCTATATTCTGTACAAGATGCTTTGCAAGTTTGGGTTTTTTTAAATGTATACCACGAAGCCTTGAATCTCGACTCATTTACATTTGATGATTTTTTATACGCGATGGGTTGGAATCTCAAACAATTCGAAGATCATGGAAGATGCGAGCTTCTAGACGAAATTTGGTGTTCTGTTTTGAGTGCAATGGTTTCTAATGAGCCATGTTCTGAAAAGCAAACCGATGAGGCAGAATCATCGGGAACCGTTCCTGGCTTGTTATTCACAATTCCTCAGAATAAACTTCAGGTAAGTCAATCTGATTTGGAAGATTCACGATCTGAACTAAACTCTCAGGATACTGAAGAAGACTCTGCTGGCATATCGGATAATACTAAAGAAAAGAACATAGATTCTCCAGATGAAGATCACTTCCACAATGCATACATGGCCATGAACTATAGAAACACTACGTGGGATGATAGGCTTCGTAAAAGAAACTTTAAAGATGGGAGCTGGCAATGTATTTTACTCGGAGCGCTATCATTAGTTGAGCACATTCCTAAATATAAACTTACCATAGACAGATTATTTCGTATACTAGCACCCTATGATATGTCTCCTAGTCCAAATACAGTTTTGAGACAGTTCTATGAATTTTTAGATATTGATTTGAGACTTCAAGCTCTAAGTATACTAGTTAGCCTCTTATCGACAGGTGCGGTAGTGAGAAGACATATTGATGATTGCCTAGAAACATCTGCTGCATTGAGACGTTCAAGATTAGATCATATTCGTGACTTCAGGGTAGCATTGGAAGATTTACTGAAACAGAATCAGATATTGCAAAACATTCTTACATCATCTTATGACACTGATCAAGTTAAGAGGTCGAAGATAGATCTCAGGGCTCTGATGATTTCAGATGAAGAAAAACAGCTAATAAAGACCAACCAGGAGTTTAAGAATGCATTTGAAACTCGTAAAGATCTATTGAAAAGAATTGAAGACCACAAGAAGGCTAAGAGAGAGGTTGAGAAGAAACTAGTGGAGCTAGATTGTCAAAGGGTCAAACTTTTAGGAAAAGATAGATTTTTTAACAGATATTGGTGGTTTGAAAATAATGGACTTCCTACATTACATTCTGGATCGAAGGAGGAGGAGGAGGATGATGATGATGATGGAGTTAAAGAGAAATCCGATATTTCTGATGATGAAAACGAAAAAGAAGATTCGCTAGATTCAACGTATCTCATGGGTACTTTATGGGTCCAGGGACCATCTGAGGATGACCTTCGCATTCATTTAGAAATGACACAGGAGAATGCTGAGTTCTACTTAAGTGAGCTCCAACATCCTTGCCAAAATAATTCTGATGCTGGACCTTACATGGAAAATAATTCAACAATAGGAAAACTTATAACTCCTAAGATTGAAGAAGAGCATTACGAAAATGGTAACCTTGTGGCTCCTTTACAAAAAATGAACTTTGAGAATTTACCGAAACGTTTTAAGTCAACTGCTCTTAAGTTTGGAGTCAAATTCAACCAAAGCGACGTTTTCAAGGTGGATGAAAAAAGTGGTTCTGAAGAGCTCGCATTAAACGAATATGGCGGCTTGCCAGATTTCTTTTCAGTCAGCAAGTTGTCCAATATACAGCGCAAGATAATAGAAGAGAATTCTGATTTATTATTTAATGGTTGTACCTGGCGGTACTATTGTGATCCCGATGAAATAGATGGCTTGATTGAATGGCTTAATCCTTGGGGTAAGCGGGAATCTCAACTTAGAAAGGAGCTCTTGAGTGTTAAGGACTCTATGATTAGGAGCATGAAAGCAAGAAAGAAAGCTCTATATGAAACCTTTGTACCTGATGAAGAATCATCGTTGACAGGAAAGATCATTGAAGTTGAAAGAAGGATACAAAATTTTGAAAAAGAAGACGAATTGGTATCTGATGGTGACATTAAAACTCAAGATCATAAAAGAAGTCTTAGAAAGAAAGTTTTGCCTCGAAAACGACAAAAGCTAAATTCTATAGGGGACATTTTAAAGAATGGCGACCTTGAGAGTCTCATAGATCTCAAGCATGCGCTCAAACTGGAATTGGAGACAAAAGTTATTCAAAGGGAAGCATCGAGGGTTCTTAAATATACAAATAATATTGCTCAAGAACATTTTGAGAAGTCACTCTATCTTGGTGGAGATAAGAAATTAAAAAGTGGTAGAAAACCCAACAAACTCAAAGCTTAAGTTTTCATAAAATTTAATGCATTATATATATTATTTAGTCTTATGTAACATTAAAAAATCTCTAATTTTTTAACCTTTTGACCGCATGGTCATTTGATGTTTCTTTTCTTTTGCCGTATCGCTCACTTCTCGTGAGCTCAGCTAACTCCTTCATCTTAATCTCCTTTTCCCTTTGCTCTTTTAAAGCCAAGTCTCTTCTCATTTCATTTCGAATTTTTATCTCCTCTCGAGCTTGGTTATCTGCTGACTCTAATGCTTGAGATAAGTCGCCAAATTTTTGAACATTTAGCTTTGCCTCATCTGGTCCTAATCCACTACCGGTAGCACTGAATCTTTTATCCAAAGATATTGTAAAACCTTGGTTATTTTTCCAATTAGAAACGGCAGAAGGGATCTTCCATTTTTCTCTTTCCTCTTTCGTTAACTTAGTTTCGCTCTCATTTTGCTTCAATATTGGAGGGGGTGGGGAAGGAGGCCTATGTCTATTCTTTCTTAATTTAAATTTAGGTGGTAGCATGGGATCTTCTTGATAGTTCCTAACTTCAACGAGTTTCTCTCTAGAGGTATCAGATTCATTATCATGTAATATATCATTGGTAGAATATTTTATATATGACACTTTATTGTTTCGATCGTCTTTATTGTCTTTAACCCCCAACTTTGAGTTCAAAATCTTTGTGATAGCGCTTCTTGTGTCTTCGACGCAGTTTTTCAATGATTCATCAGGACAACTTTCAAGATCATATCGTGGAAAATGATGCTTTAGATGAGGGAACTTAAGTTTGAGAGGTACAGAATCCTCATAAGACGCTTGAACTTCTCTAGTGGAACTAGAATATTGAGATGCAAGTGTTGAGCTGTAGTTGATGGAGCCATCAGGGTTCAAAAGTAATTCGGTGACAGTGCCTTCAGGAGCATCGTTCCTCCTGGTCAAATGCATTCTCTCTATAGGTCCAGCTACTTGAGCAGGCTGCTTTTGCTTGATTTCGTTTTTAAGACTTTTGAATCTTTGCCTCAAAGAGGTATTATATTCGGCATTTTCTGGCCGAGGTAGAACGGAACTGAACATTTGGTTATAGCTTTCTCTATATAAACTTCCTTTTATCTATTCAAATGTATTTGCTAGTTTGTATATTCTTATTCTTATGTACAGGCTTATACAATAGCTCGAAGGAAGAGGGATGTATGAAAAGCTGAAATATGCAATAGATGTAAAGAGAGGTCCATATGATGATGACAATGAGCCTTTTGTGTGATGGCTTTAGCCCCGACCTAAAGTATAGTGATTACCTATTCTTTGTTCAAGTCACCTTAAGTGAGTTCCAATATTGATCCATATTCGCAAAACTCAAGAAAAGGCCGGACATAATAGTTCCCCTTAACATAATCAAGAGGCTAGCTGTATCGATATTTGATGGCATAATGGCATTCAACGGCATCGCTCACTTGAGTAACCGCCATCCCCATATGAAACTCTAATATCAAGCAAAAACGCACTTTCCCAATTAGACAGTTCAGAGCGATGTAAACCGATGCAAAAAATATTTATAAGATAAACCTACGCGGCCCGCATATTTAAAGTTAACACTGAAATACTCTGAAGTCGCTACTACAATAGTAGTCGAATTATGATAGGTTCTTTTGGTAATAGAGCTCCTTTATAATGAATACAAATGAAATGAGAGGAACCAAAGTTGAGCCTGTTTCAGGGCCTTCAAACTTGCCTAATGGAGTTAGAGTCTTGAGCTTTGATGATGCTCAGAAGGCCGCTATAACATTACGGGAGGCCTTTAAAGAAGATTCGTTAGACAAATATCTTTTCGTTCATTTGAGCCAGGAAGAGAAAGAGAGCTGCGAGCTCCTTTTATATGAGGCATATTTTAGACAACATGTTGCAACCGGTATTTGCGTGGGTATTAATGAAACGGATGATGCATTCGAAACAGTCGCTGTTTGGTCGACTCCAGAGTCTATAGATAAAGGGCTAGAGGATTTTAGCGTCATGATGTCCTCGGGGTATGGTAACCTTTGGAACGCAGTTGGCGAAGAGGGTAGAGTAAAAATATTTGATCGAATGATGCCTTTGCTACATGGCTCCTTTGCCACTATAATGGAATCCGATGCGAGATTTAGAACAAAGCAGCCCTTCACTTTAGTTTATTTAGGATCTATTAAAGCTGCGCGAGGAAAAGGGAATGTCAGAAAAATGTTTGACTTTATGTTCCGCAATTACATTGATGTCCATGATAACAGTTTCTGTTACTTAGAGAGCTCTTCTAAAACAAACATTCCTATATACGAAAAGTTTGGATTTAGATTTTATCAAGACATCATGTTAGGTAAAAAGGAAGCTGATTCAGTTGAGGGTAAAGATTATTCCATAATGAATGTAATGATAAGAGACAGTCGTGGAAATGAGTGGGAGCACTCGAAATACAGTCCAAAAATCTGAGTCAGATATTTCATCCACAAATTAGTTGTCAACTATTTAACTATATACATAATATATTTATCAAGAAAGTGAACTCATTCGTCGAGAGACAATACGCTTCTTTGAGATGGTAGGGTCTTCTCGGCAAATTCTGCTTTAGCTTTTTGTCGCAATTGCGCTTCTTGAGCCTTAGTAAGAGGTTTCACCACTTCATCTGGAGGAACAAATTTGAATTTTCCGAAGCCAAATTCTCTGTCACTCATCTTGTTAAGAACATACAATTGGGATCTGACGTATCCAAGTAATGCTTCGATATGTCTCATATCAGCATCGGGGTTACCATTGAAAACATTTCTCCATAAAGCACTTCCTAAAGTGATGTCATCGGTAATTAGCCCTTCATCATAACTTAAGACACTGCCAAGTAGCTGCTTATGATACTCTTTAAGATATCCCTCAATTATTCTATTGGAGTTAATTCTTAATTCTTCTGCCATTCTAAGTTCCATATCCTTGAATATTCTATCCACTAATTTCTGTTGGTAATTTTTACCATACTTGAAAGGCATGGCTCTCATTCTAACTGACAAAATCCAGTAATGCAAAGCTGTAATTTGAAACCACTGACTAAAGGTCTTAGGTAAGTTCAACGTCTCGTAGTAAAACTTTGCCGTCTCAGACAAAGGCTCGTTTGGGTAGTACATACCTTGCCTTTTGCATTCACCAAAGTACTCAGAGCCCGCGACGGGCCCTGCTCTGCTCCTATCCATATCTATGTTGAAAATTTTGATTACCCATTGACCAATACTTTGCTTCCAACGAGCCATTTGAAAATTACTATCATTCTCAATTCTGTTGTCAGACAAGAGAGGTAATTTCCTCAGAGGCTGTCTTGGTTCTTTCTTAAATTCGATATGTGATTTTGGTAGCGTGGATTCCTCAGCAAGCTCCAGGGGAGCTTCGATCTTCTCGAGGTTAGACCCGAAAAGTGTATTTTCATCTTTACGTGCATACCTTAAACGAGTACTATTTGAATAAAGCCTACTTCGCAACCCTAAGTAGATATTTGATCTGGTTGAAACCTTATAAATCATCGTTGTAGTAAGGTTAATTAAATCTTCTTAGCCCAGAGAAGTAGACAAAAAAATTACATTTTCATAAATCACGAGCAATTATTTTGTGTAACTATCAATAGCGAAATACTTCAACAAAAAAAAAAAGAGCCTAATCACGAACTTTAGACCAAAATTCAGGAAGGAAATGTCAAATTCAATTGCTCATGCCTTCAGAAGCTTGAAGGTATCAGGTTCAGAGACTTCGGACCACATGACCATTTATGATGTTTCCTATCAGTATTTATCAAAGGTTAAAAACTTTGATGATGTCAAAGCATTCAAGAATTGTTTGGTGGCTTTAATAAACTTGGATCGATATTACAAAGCATTGGAATTAATTAAAAAAATTAGTTCTTCAGACTCAAAATCACAGCTAATGCTCGAAATAGCTTATGTGTATTATAAGTTAGAGATGACGGACGAACTATTCAAATTTCTCCATGAGTTCAATCCTGATAATACTGGAATTGAGAGAGGCCTTAAACACATAATTGCTCAAGCCTATTACAAAACTGGAGAATACGAAAAGTCATTAGATTTATATCGTGAGCTAATCGATAATATTAAGTATGATAACTCAATCGATCTAGTGGTAAATGAGAGAGCCATTATTTCTCAGCTAAATGTTGTCGAAGGTAGAAAAGTCCAATCGAACTACCCTATGGAAAATAAAGAAAACTATGATTTATACTTCAATGAAGCTCTAATATTTTTATCTGTTGGTGACATGAAACGTGCTAGGGCTTTGTTGGAGAAGGCTGAGCATTTGTGTTTATCACAAAATTCCGACGCCAGTAGGAAAGACTTAATCTCAGAATTGTTGCCCATCAAGTTAACTGTATCGTTCATACACTTACAAGCTGGTGAAATAGAACAATGCCAGGAAATATTCAAAGAGTTTAGAGCAGAAGACATAAGTGATGATGCGATGTTAAAGTTGATCTTTAAAAATGACTTTTACTGTGTATCGGACAGCAAACCGAGACCAAACTTAATTGCAAGGGACGTCGGCTATCAAGAAAACTTACATCACTTATTACAGAAGTTGACTAAGTGCCAATATCAAGTTGTCCTAAGAAACAACTTATTGTTGAAGTTTATGACTGATACATTAGGTTCGAATTACCTAAGTAACTCTTCGATCAACTCATACGCGGTCAAGTACACTGGAGACATGACACTAACGCTTTACAAACTTTTTGCAAAGCTTGATATTAGATTTGAAGACATCAACAATGATTTATATTGGAGGAAGACGAGCAAGAAACTTTTGAAGTTTATTAAAAGGAGTGGTACTTTCTCAGACGAGATAGTTTGTGCTGCTTTGTTCATTACATTTCTCAATGCTCATGAAGGTCGGTTTGACCAGTGCTTACCGGTGTTAGAACAACTTGTTGAATATGATCTAAGCAAGGAACTAGTCACACCTGCTTTAATTGGTACTTTAATCAACTTGTATGAAAAATTGAATATGAAAAAAAAATTAACTAGCTTATTCGATCGCTTAACTCCAAAGCTCCTAGGAACCCAAAGAGAGTATCTCTCCCTCAATTCTGATTATTATAATTCTATCAAAGCGTTTGGCTTCGTTCTTTATAATATGGAAGACTATCGTTATCAGAAAATATTCAAACTTCTTTCTGAAGTGGGTAAAGATGACAAGTTGATTTCGTCACTTCTCTCGGGATCTACCACTGGACTTTTACCTATTGATGATTTGTGTTCTGAAGTACCTATAGACGATCTATTATCCACGGAATTAAAATTGTTAGCTCCTCCTAACATGGGAACAATGAACCATAAAAACACACATGCTAGCAGAGTAACAAAAAGACTTAGGAAACCAAAATTTTCTGCTTCAAAAGTAATAAAACCCAAGTCAGAAATGCAGATTGACGAGGAAAGGTGGCTCCCTTTGAAATTAAGGTCATATTATAAGCCAAAGAAGGATAAAAAGAAGACAGGCGGACACCAGGGCGCTAGTGAAATACTTCCTAGTCCAAGTCCGAGCTCTGTGTCTTCGAGTCAAGGAGGAAGTACCAAAAGTAAAAGAAAAAAGAAGGGTAAGAAGTGAATTTTATAAGATTCTGTATATAAATATACGCTGGTGTTGCTGTCGAAGCTTGGAAGCTTCGATGTCGGACTTTTGACACAAATAGCGATATTATATAATAAAACCTTGCTCGATTATACCTATTTAGGAAGCGAATACCGCACTTCTCGCTCGGTTAGATTAGATGAATAAAGAAACCGTTATTCTAGAGTATGTGCAGTTCTCGAAATTGAAAACTATATAAACCGGCTGTTCATCACATCTCATAAAATATTGCTCTATAATAGAAAAATGACAGTCTCAAAGGTACCACAAAAGTTTCAAGGTTTTGCAGTTGAAGATTCCAAACAATGGAGCTCTGCAAAACTTGTGAGTTATGACAGAAAAAAGATAAACCCAACTGATGTGGTGATTCAAAATATAGCATGTGGTCTTTGTGGTACCGATATCCATGTTCTTCAAGAAAATTGGAGCAAAAAATTGAGGAAAGATACCGTTGTTGGCCATGAGATCATCGGCCATGTCATTGCTGTAGGCGATGATGTTACTCAGGTAAAGGTAGGTCAAAGAGTAGGTATCGGTGCAGGTTGCTCTTCATGTCGTTCATGTAATAGATGTTCGCATGATAATGAGCAATACTGTAGCAAAGAAGTGGGTACCTATAATTCAGTTGACACCTTCTCTGATGATTATGTCACTCAAGGTGGTTATTCTTCCCATTCGATAGCTAACGAACAGTTCGTTTTTCCAATCCCTGATGGATTGGACACTTCTGTTGCGGCTCCATTGATGTGCGCTGGATTAACTGTTTATTCTCCATTGGTAAGAAATATTGGTCGTCATGCTGAAGGTAAAACTGTCGGAATCATCGGTATTGGTGGTTTAGGTCATTTGGCCATTCAGTTTGCGAGAGCCTTGGGTGCTGAGGTGTATGCTTTCTCCAGAACTTCTTCCAAGAAGAAAGAAGCTATCCAAATGGGTGCACATGGTTTCGTTGCAACCAACGAAGAAAGTGATTGGGTATCGAAGTATGTTGACAAATTTGACTTTATTTTGAATTGTGCATCTAGAGCTGACGGATTCACCTTGAGTAACTACTTATCTATCTTAAAGGTTGACCTGAAATTCATTTCTGTTGGCCTCCCCCCAGTAAGTGAAACTTTTGAAGTTTCTCCATTCACTTTCCTCAAAAATGGGGGAAGTTTTGGCTCATCCCTTCTTGGCTCGAAGGCCGAAGCTTTAGAAATGCTCGAGTTGGCTGCAGCTAAAGGTGTTAAGCCTTGGGTGGAAGAAGTTCCCATTAGTGAACAAGGTGTCAAAAATGCTTTGGAAAGGTGCAACAAAGGTGACGTTAGGTATAGATTCGTGTTTACCCAATTCGATAAAGCATTTGAACAGTAGTGTATCATTATTTATATATATAGAATCGCTTTTTTTTTAAATGACAACATTTCAGCTCCAATGATTAACGTAAACTACATTTTTTTTGGACAACTGCTCTCATAAGTTAGATTAAGGTTTTTGATTGGGTATCAGTGGCAATGCAGATATTAAGATATAAAGCTATGCTCTAAAAGAAAACAAATCGAAAATGTAAGTGATAAATGAATTCTCAAAATTGAATATGCAATAAAGGACCATACTAGCTAGTAGTGCTCAGGAGCCAAAACTCAATTGGCTAAGATGTTAAATTTGTTTTTCGTGATTAAGTTTAACTTCGACTCGTTCCGTCCAACTGACATTGACCGCTTGCGCCTTATTATTTTTGATTTTCCAACAAGAGAGTCTTCAACGTCATCTGAATACGAATGAGCCAAATACTTCTGCCGGGAATTTCTAGGCGGTGTCACGTAGCTTAACAAATCCAGCTGTTTATGCAATGACTTGAACTCGTTATCATAATTTTTAGGCTGGAAGACTTCGCTTAGCTGACTTTTGAATTTGAAGTCATTATAACTAATGTAACCTGGATAATCATGGATGCTTAAATTCCCTAAGGGTTTTCTATGAGTCCTTTTGGTTGGGATCTTCAGAGGCTTCAAAATGTTTTCCTGGTCATTATGATTTAAATTCCCTTCATCACCTTCGACACTTTCTTGAGTTTCAGTCAGCTTTTTATGGTCCTCATATATAGTGAAGCCGAGGACGGCCTTCTTTGGAGATGGTGAAGATTTAAGGTACTTGTCATTGCTGAGTTTGGCACATGTGTGGAAGGGGTTTTCTAATTTATTCTTTTTTGGAGACGGGCTAGATACATTGGAATGTTTAGGTGACAAAACTGATCTTTGATGGAATGACTTTGACATCGTTGAAGTACACTTCGATCAAAACCAAGAACTTAAAAATTCCTCAACTTTCAAACTCAATAGATTTTATAAAGATTTAATCCTTATATATATTTATTGTTCTTAATAATCACGACAATTCGTGATCTAACTTGCATTCTGGAATGAGAATTCTATGGCTCCTGTTTGCGCATCTAACGCGTTCCTTTATACACAGGACTTTAATTGTCAATCGTTTAAGATTTGAATACTCTGCTGAAATTCGACAGATACAATAGAAGCAAGTATTGAATGTCAGCTGATATCATGAGTTTCGTTTTCCATTCTTAAAGATGACCTCATTATCTGAAGTGGTCCTCGAGAAGTTATTGGAATAATAGTTGACGATCAAAATACGCGAAAGGGTGCAAAAAATAGTTCCTGCGAAGGCTCTCCTGTAATCTTCCCTTAGAAGTTAAAATATTATATGCAAAGAAAAGCTCAATATGGCCAAGAGGCTGTGAGTGAGTAAATTTAATATTATATCTAGATTAAGAATACGATTTTACATTGGACGATTATAGCCCCAAATAAAAGTGGCTACTGATTAACTTATGATATTGATGTTATCTTTAGTTAGAATATTTACGACTATACCCCCAAATTAGAAGAAAAGTATTGACAAAATAACTTTTCAGTAAGAGAGCATCTGGTTCGCATGGTCTCCAGAAAAATACGATTGCAAAGGAAATCACACTTGATGAGTCAAATAATACTACCTACTACCCTCTATAGAAATGAGTCGGAACAAATGGCATTTTTGCTATGGTACCATCTCTTAGTTTTCCTCTTATTTGAATCTTGATGGGGCTTCCAATCTTGAATCTTTTATCGATATAAGCCTGGGCAACATTCCCGCCTAAAGTTGGAGATGGCGAGCCAGATGTAATATAGCCAATTTGTTCACCTTCTGGACTAAATAGTAGATTTCCATCTCTTGGTGATGGCCCCTTCGAAATCACCCCCACTCTACGACGAGCGAAAGACTTCTTATCTTTAATTTGAGATACTATCTTTGAAGCACCGTTGAAATTATTCCTTGTATCCCTTCGTGTTTTTGGAATCAACCATGTTAATGATGCTTCTACTGGACTGATATCCTCCGTCAACTCATGCCCATACAAGCACATACCAGCCTCTAACCTCAAAGAGTCTCTTGCAGCCAAGCCGATTGGCTTGACCAAATCTGGAAAATCATGAATTAAAGACTTGAAAAAATTCAAGGAGTCCTTAGCCTCGCTTTCAGTGGCTGACGGTATAGAAAGCTCGAAGCCATCTTCTCCTGTATATCCAGCTCTCGCTAAATGAACTTGGGCAGCGATTGGTGAAAGCTTCAAATATCTTGTTTGGCCAAATGTTATTTGGGAGAGCTTCTCATTAGTGAATTTTTGCATCAATTCGGCAGCTTTGGGACCCTGAACTGCCAACAAGGTGCTTTCAAACGTTTTATGATTAGCATCGTTGAACTCCTTGGCATTCTTTTTAATGAAATCAACATCCTTTTCTCGACAGCCCGCATTGGTAACCATATAATAATCATTTTCTCCATGCTTAGTGACAATACAGTCATCAATCACACCTCCATTTTCGTTAAGTAATACGGTTAAGCTTGAGCCATTTATTGGGATACTTCTCAAATCAATCGGAGTGATTTTCTCCAATAGATCTACAGAATCCTTACCTGTGAATTTATGTTGAAGCATATGGCTGACGTCGAACAATCCGACTTTGTTTCTTACCCAATTGTGAGATTCAATATGAGATTGGCCATCATATAAGACTGGCATATCGAAACCAGCATACGGTACCATCTTACCGCCGAGTGCTATATGTGCCTCATAAAGTGGAGTCTTAGCTAAAGCTAATGCACTTCTACTTGAAAAGAATCTAGAAATTATCCTCTGCATTCCTTCATTCAAATGGATAACGAGTTTACTTAGAACAATATACATTGGTTCGATATTTATAAAAGTAAGAGATATTGACTCCGTTTGATATTTTGACTCGGTCTCGAAAAATAGTTTCATAACTAATCATTAAACTTTTAACTAGTTTGATTGAGTGATGAAGCCAGTTTCTTATCCTTATGGGGTAAAAGAAGAGCACCGTATACTATAATTGCGATAATGATCAGATAAATTAAAAAGGCACCCGTGGAGTACCATATTCTAGACCAAACTCTTTGTCGCAACCTTCTGTGACACTTGAGGTGTATTTGATCAAGTAGTTCAGATATAGTATGCTTATCTTTTGCAACCTTGATTTTCTGGTCAAATATTTGTATAAAACTGTCAGATCTGAGTGGTACATGATGTTTCCAGAAAAGCCCAAACAACATTATGAAAATATTAGATATCCATATTATAGGGCACAAGATACCCCAAAACAAGAAGCGAAATGTCAATCTTTCCTTTGTAGTCAAGAAAGAGCACGAATCACAAAGGCAATAGCCCCGATTAGCATAATCCGAATCTTTCTCCGATACCTCTAAGGTCTGCTCACCCGAGAGTCGAATGGAAGACAGATTCGAAAGAGCATGGTTTAAAGCATCAGTTTTCATTATCTTTCAACAAGTGAGAGCACAACTCTTGTATTCTTCTTCTTATGTTGCATTACCTACACTTTTATACTTCTCGTTAAAGCTTTGCTTTTGCTTGAGATGGACTTCAGATCAAATATACATCTTTCCTAATTAGGAACATGCAATAGAGATTCCAATCCCACAAAATCTGACCGTTTTGAACAATTAGACGATCAATTTTGCTTATTCATATAGTCAAAGTGGTTTAAAATGGGTCAATTGGATAAGTGTTCAGTTTAGTGTCTCCACAAACGTTTGTAGTTTGTATCGAACCCTTTGAGATAGTTCTCGGAATTATCCTTCTAGCACAACTACCGATAACTATTAGATCGGAATCAATTATTTTCAAAGATACATTGCAAATTTGCCCGCTATTCCTGCCCCAGAATTCTCTGAGGTTCTACATGCACTTTTCTTGCTTGAATGTCTGAGATATTAAGTCAAGGTTTGTGATTCTACTCAGTTTGACTTATGCAATACTATGTCAAATTATGACTTTAATGTGCTATCTTCGTCGTTAGGATCATCAAAGATTAAAGAAAGAAATGAAGCGTTACAAAGCCTTGAAGATTATTTGTCTCTGAGTGGAAAGATTTCTAGTAAGCCATACAGGAGATTAATGAATGCAGTTCTTGACTTCGTAGCACTTGAGCTGAAGACTTATCGTCAAAATCATACTAATCAAGTCTTTACAAGACTTACTAGAGCTTCTGGGCTACTTAGAGTTTTAATCGAGAAGCATTATGAAGATAGAACAATACTGAAATTCAAAACTAAGCTAGAATTAGTCAAGTTTATAATCGACAATTTTAAATGGGACAAGAAAGAGTTACATCCATGTTCGAATGATTTTTCCAAGTGTCTTTATGTTATGCTAAGCCAAACTGATTTTCAGAATCATATGAATCGTAACGACTGGTTAATGGTATATAACTTTCTTGTTGATACAATCGGAAACTTGTTGGATTTAAAAAATGCATGCCAGAACTTGACTGATGTAATTATAGAAGAATTTTTCGTTTGCTTACAAAACTTATTATATTGCAAGCTGAACGTGTCACTTAGTTGCATGCCATTTCTTATAGATCGGAACTATCTGGTCTTGCTTGGTTTACTTCAACAGACCGTCAAATATTGTAAGCGAGAGAATCTTTTAACAATAGTAGTGTTTAGAATGATAAACAAATTAATTGTTGTGATTTCTACTGAAGATACTGCTTTTGTAACTAAGCTTACTAAAGTTGGAATTGAATTAGTGATACAATTTTACCAAAGTCAACTGGAATCAATGCAAACTCAAATCTTAGATTTTCTTAATTTGTCCACTACCATCAAGTTTTCTAGTATAGTATATCTAGAATCAAAGAGCCGACACTTATATGGTGATACAAATAGCCTCGATAGTCACAATAGTATAAAGGGTTCATCTCAAGCTTACGAACTTGGAGCACTTCTTTACAGTTTCCAAGTGTTGATCAATTGCTTGATGACTAGGCTTTTATCCCCCTTAGTTAAATTCAAGGTGGAAGACATAGGCTTGATTCGTTCCAAAGAAACCAACATGACTTGGTTTCGTTTAAGGGCTCTCTATCTAAGATCTGATAATATTCATCTGTGGCTATATTTCTTGGGATTACTGAAATTGATTCTGACTTACTTTAATATTAGAGAATGTGTTGAATTCTTTCATGAAGGCATATCAGAGCAACCAAATAAGCGAGCCAAATTGGATGGCTTTGACAACTACTTGAAAGAATCACAAAATACATTTGAATTTTGCATACGCTTGATGGAATTCAAATCGTCTGAAGTATATCAAAGAGCAGGCCTACAGTTATTGATATTCTATGTCGAGGCGGAGTTAGATAGTTGCATTAATAATGGAGACGAAAGAAATAAACAAATCGTTGATCATCTGCCAGATCTGGTTAACTCATGCGCTAAAGAATTTAGGTCATTCAATTATAAATGGATTTCTCTGAAGTACGAAAGCATATTTGACCACATCTTAAATTTAAATGAGAATAAGAGTTTGGCTCCATGGGTTTTGCTTTTGTCCAGATCATTAATGTTAGACAGTTCAAATGTGGCGACTCAAGATTCATCATTATATTTTAGTACCAAATTCAATCAGTTACTCAATGTATCACTACAAGGTGTGAAGGACTCTGAACTCTTCCGAATTTCTTGTGACTTGGTGAACTTGATTTTAATGCAATATAAAACTAAAAATAAGGGCTATCTTGATAATAATATTCGGATGCAGCTCGAAAACTTGATTGAATTTTCTGAGATAAATGGGCCCTACAGTATTTGTGAAGAAAGCTTTCTGTTTTGGTATGCAGTCTACGATATTGTAGAAAGTAACCGATTTCGAAGTAAATCTGTTTTTGTTTATAAAGTTCAGGAGTGGATGATTTCGAAATGGGACGAATCTTTCCAGTCTTTCGATTTCTGCCTTTTAGAGTCAAATAGTGGCTTTCCGTCTTTTTTTTCGTGGTTGTTTGGCGCTCATAGAAGTGATATTCGAGAAAGTAGTTTCAATACAAGCTTTTTGAAATTTCATGGCAGTGATTGCAATGAATATTGCTATCTTCAAAAGAGATATTTGAAATTACAGATGTTTACTAGTTTAAGGAGATTACCACACGAGCCTGGTTCCGAAATGTCACAAGAAAAAGTAGATCTATCTTCAAGTGATCCTATTGATCGTTTGCTGCTGAAGCTTTTAGGCAATCTGTCTCTCTATTCTAATAGCAAATATTCTTCAAGTGTACGTCTAGAGTGGACGATCCTTGTTCTAGGATTAATAAGCTTGCTCCGAAGGAAACGTTCCTTCAATAATATAATTAACTCTTTGGAATATCAATGTCAGAACACATTGCGAGATTATGGGAACGTTTATATTCCGAACGAAGTTGTGCTTGATTTGCTTAAGGTTTTCTATGGATTTGCATCTTTCGCCTTAGATGATAAAGCAATTCAAATTCTTGTTGCTAATTTTCCATTAAAAAAATATGTGGAAATGTTGCCATCTCTATTGAATGCAACAGAAAATATATTCGAAGATGATAGTCTTACAGTTGAAGAGGAAACTGGTGCTTCGTTAGATAAAGAATTCGAAGTTATTCAGCACTCTAAAAAATCAGAAATAGGGTCCACTTCAATGTTGTTAACAGCTGCAAAATTGAATTATGTGTCGGTTCCTTCAATAGACCTTTTAAAATTTTTGATTGAAACGGAGAATTTGAAAAAGAGTAATGTATCTGACCTTTTTTCTTCTCTTTTAATGTTTCTTGAAGAACTCAAATCGGTGGATGCTATATACTGTTATTATCACTTGCACAGGTACTTTGTAGAAATGAAAATAAATTTGTCCGAGGTCCCTGCTGCATTGTTAATAAAGTTCATCCGAATTCTAGGCGAAGGACCTTTGATAGATGAAATTCTTGATCGCGCAGAATTAACGGTAGTCGTAGTCTCAAGAATTCTAAGTGTATTACTCCCCGTTTGTTACGATTTGAATGATGACTCTCTCATAAAAGACAGCTTGGATGTTTGTGGCTGGTTGGTAGAGTGTGCTACTAAGAATTTTTTATTAACGGAGCTTTCGTTTACGGAGTATTGTATATTCTTACTCCGATATTTGAGGCTCGATAATCAAGCTAAAGTAAATGGCAGATCGTTACGGAACCTATTTTTGGAGGGTTTTGCAACCATGACAAATAATATGAAAGTGACATTGGCAGAGGAAATTGCCGAGGTCTTTAGAGTGTCTTGCTTAGAATTTCAGATTGAGCTTTTCAAAGATCTTCTAGCAAGGCTTCCAGAACCTAACGAATCTAGGGAAAAATGTTCAACGTATGTTCAGTTTCTATGCATTTTATCAAAAAGCTCTTCTTACATATTCGTGGCTGTCTTGTTAAACATAATTGAATGGTCCAAATCTTCAATTTGTTTACCTTACCTCAGGCTTGCGTTGAACGTCCTTTCTCGTTTAGGAAATTTTTCTAATGTCTCTGAATTGTTTGAAAATTTCCAGCTTCAAATTCTCAAGCATTGGTGGTTGTATAATGATTTTGGGTCTTTCCCATTCTTCTTTTTTGGCTATAATGAGCTAAGCAAATTTTTGCTAGATAATTCTACGTTTCTTGCAGCCATTACAATATCTTCGGATAAAGCTGTTGACAAAGTTTCAGTACTAAATGAGTTGGCAAATGCGAAAGATACTGACGTTGAAAGTTTGGTTTATGGATCCTTACCTCTTACTATTGCTTTATCATACACAAAGAAGGGCGTTAGAAACGGAGTATTTGTGTGGCTAGCTGAGTTTTTCAAAAGTGATTACAAGGCCAATTTGACTCGTAAGTTGACGCTTGTAATGATGGAAGTTATCAAGTATATTAATGTGTCGGACGAAAAAACCTTGCAATCACAATTTACCAATACTCTTTGCCTGGACCTTGTATCCCATAATAAAAGTTCCTTACTTCCTACTTTTTCAGAATCATCCATTTCACCTGAATCGGGTTTATCGTTGTTGAATAGTTTAATAAAGAAGTTCAGACATAATCAACCTGGCTGGAGTGAAAGGGAAGTATACTTCTTGCTTAGAAAAATAATTAGTCCTATGAAACGTCGCTCAGAACCTCACGAAATGATCTTGATTTTAAGAAGAGTTAAACTTATTCTTATATTAGGAACACGGAAAACTCTTTCTTATGATGTATCTAGGCTTTTGTTGAACTCGCTTTGCGTATTTTTAAAAGAAGTATCGTTACAATCAGACATTCTCCAGATCTTCACTTTCCTCGATATACAAAACTTAGGAAAGTTTGGGGAGCTCGAATCGCTTCCTTTATTTATTAAATTGTTGTCTTCTGTGATGGAGGTGGGCTTACGCTTTGACGAAAATTTTAAAATTTTTAGTAGCTTCTCAGGTTATTTACAGCAGTACCATGTGGGAAGTAAAGTACATCCAATTTTGCTAGCTGGATGCTGCATACTCAAAGAGGAAAGGCCTATAATTAGATCTTCTATGGTGGAAAATCTTTTAGATGATTCACAACAAATCAAAATGTGTGAGGTGAATGGTGACTTAAGCGATGTCTTGGTTCTAATTTCACAGGTGTTTGAAAAAATTGATATATATGATGAAGATGGATCCCGTGATACTGTCGTCGAAATATTATTGAATGCAAAGATTAATCTGGACAATGATGGAAAAGTATCTTTTAAATTGTGGAGTGCAAATTATTTGTCCCTGTATTATTTGAATGGTGGCTTAAAATTGGGCCTTAATCATGTATACCACTTGAGGGAATTTTGGAATCCATGGGTTAATTCTCTTGAAACATTGTGTGGTCGCTTGGATATGTTGTTGGATTACATGGTGGAGTTTTTGGCTTCCAGCAGCCCAGAAATCGTATCTTCAGTAGAGAATATATTAGGTGTACTAATTTGGAAGTATGAGCAATCGACAGAAGAAGTTCTTGCAGTGATAAATTTTGAGGAGTATTACAGAAAGTACTCGAAATTCATCTTACCAATGGACTTCGAAGCTTATACATCTCTTAATTTGAATAAGCGTGGTTCTGTCGTTTCAAAAAAAATGTCTGATTTTCTAGTTGCTCCGGTCAATTTCTTAGATTCCTCTTCATATTACAGTTGGATAAGTGAATTCTTCCTTGCAATTAATCAGGAAATTGCGTCGTTCACTAGCATATCCGTTCTATTTTCAGATTTTGCTATCAAAGAACCATCTTTTGCTAAAAATTCACTCCCGTTTTTGATCTGTTATTACATACAATTGACTCAGCCTACTAGGCTAAACTTGATTTCTGAGTTGCTTAAACACTTTTTCAAGTTTTACTCTCAAAGTGAGGAATTTTCTGATCTACTCATCAATATTATACTAGCCATCAGAGTTGGTGCCAGAAAAAAAATTAAGAAATATGCTCTCATTTATCAAAACGTATTGGTAGAAGATCTTATACTAATAGCTTCGTCAGTGCGGCTATTTAAAACTGCTATCTTATTTTTGGAAGACATGCAGCATGGCAGAGACAACATTGAGTGTTCTATCGACCTTAATCGATTTTCTTATATTTTTGAATCCATTGACGATGAAGATTATGTGTATGGTCTTCCAGAAAAAACGACAATAGATTATGCCATAAGCGTTATTGAAAGAGAAGGACATACCTCAGATGTTCTTAAGCTTACCAGTGGTATGCTTGATGCTAACACCACTCTTAATTTCAATTATGACCGATCGAATGTACTTCCATCTTTGATGAACTCCGGTATGATGACCATTTCAAGAATAGTTAGTGACTTAGACTCCTCGACTGAGGTTGCTTCATATGAATGGGCATGGAAACTTGGATGTTGGGATCTACCTATTCCAGAGAAAGCTGGCCAATACCATGAAACAGTTTATAAGACACTAAGGCAGATTCATGATTACCCTATTGCTAGCCCCTCGACGTGTCTGAATGCATTATTGGATGTTTTTTTAAATAAGGAAGTACATGTTTGCAAAAAAAGCACAAAAGAAATGGATAGAAGCTTGATACAGTGGTTTAAGACCATGGCAACCATCACCAGTATTGAAGATGCCTTAAAAAACACATCAAGTAATTTTAGTTTTGGTCTTGGTGAATATTCGGCGAAAACAGCATGGTTCGATAGAGCTGATTCGAAGACAAGAGAGGATATTCTTCTTGCAAGGAACTCTACATTTCAGCTTTTAGGAAATTTATGGTTAAATGAAGAATCTTTTCGAGAGAGTGACAAAGCATGGATGTGCTCCTTACACGAGCTAATACGTTATAACAACTATGCCCGATTATCAAAACAGCCCCAGAAAATGATCAACTCTACTATTTTAATGAACGAAATTGCAAAATCTAAATTTCATCATGCCGGAGTAGCTTTTGAAAAAAGCGTTGATTATATGACAAACTATCAAGCTGCGTGTACGCTTTGGGAATTGGGTCAAACTGGCATACCGACTGCTATGCTAAAAAAGTTATCGTCTAGTAATGTTCATTCGCCTTTGATTGACGAATTATATTTATCAAAAGGATTAATCAATGCCACACTTGCTGGTTGGATGGCTGACTCAAGGCAAGAGTTGGCTTCAGACATCATGGATCAGTATGTTCTTCCATCGGCCCGCGAGATTTCAGAAGTCAAAGATTGTTTTCAAAGGGCAAAAGTCTATCAATTGTTTGCCCGTTTTTGTGAGAGTCAGCACAAATCAAGAGTTCTCACAGATGAGCAAGCTAAAATTGAGAAACGAATAGCTTCCAAAACAAAAGAGATAGCTGAATTTAAGGATCATTATGGGAAGACCTCAGTCGATCAAAAAGAGAAGAAGACGGCCCAAAAGTATTATGGAAAGTTAAAGGCACTGCTTGTAGCTGAACTGAAAAATCTAGAAACACTACTTGAAAGTAGAAATGAATTTTCGAAAAAGTGTATCGAATACTATTTGAAATGTATTTCAATTGACGAAAATAATGATGAAGATACTGATAAATTTATTGCATTATGGTTGGAGCAATCTAGTCGAGATGACATCAATATGACAATCAAGGAGGATATTTTCAGTTTGCCTACCTACAAATTGATTGATTGGTGTACTCAACTCACTTCACGTCTCTCAAATGATAAGTCTGAGTTTCAGCTTTTACTTCAAGAATTACTTTTGAATCTTTGTTTGGATCATCCTTTTCATTCTTTATATAGCGTTATCTCTTTGAGAAACTATGGAATGCAAGAGGGAGGGAGCTCAAAATATGCAGCCGCAGATTCCTTACTAGATAAACTAAGTAATAAGGGTAACAGGTCTGTTGATGCTGCTTTGGGCCAAATCATAAGGCTCTGTCATGAGTCTATCAAATTAGCAGAGCTTAAGGTATCCAGGGGAAGACCGATTTCTTTGGATAAATATGAGTTTGGTGGATACTGGTTGAATGAACTTCCATCGATACCGCCTCCTACTATGAACATACCTATTGATAAAAGTAAAGCATACAATAATGTACCTTATTTTTTGACAATGGAAAATAGAATTTTGATAGCCTCTTCAGGATTAAGTTTGCCTAAAATAGCAACGTTTGTGCTATCTAATGGGACAGAGCACAGAGTTTTATTTAAACACGGTACAGATGATTTGAGACAGGATTCAATTATGGAACAAGTATTTGAAAAAGTTAACAAGATTTTCATTAAAGACAGACAAACTAGACGCAGAAAATTAAGAATCAGAACTTACAAGGCTGTTCCTTTAAGCCCGCTGGCAGGCATAATAGAATATGTTCCGAATTCTATGGCACTTCTAGATGTAATCAAGCCGTACCATTTGCAAAGAGACGGCATGAAGTTAGAGAGGGCTAGAGAGATCATGAAGGAGCATCAATCTAAAGATAAGACTGACAGGCTCACAGCATACTACAAAATCACATCTAAAATTGGGCCTGTATTGCGATGCTTTTTTTTCGACAATTTCATCACCCCTGATATTTGGTTTGAAAGCAAGTTGACTTACACTCGTGGAATTGCAGCAACTTCACTTGTTGGTCACATTTTGGGTCTAGGTGATCGACATTGTAACAATATACTTTTAGACAAGAAATCTGGAGAACCAATCCATATTGACTTAGGGGTTGCTTTTGACCAAGGAAAGAAGTTGCCTATCCCAGAATCAGTTCCCTTCAGACTTACAAGAGATATTGTTGATGGCTTTGGTATTACCGGTGTAAATGGTGTTTTCATCCGTTCATGTGAGCACACATTTCGAGTATTGCGCGGTAATAAGGATCACATATTAGCTATATTAGATGTTCTTCGTTGGGATCCCTTATATTCATGGACTTTGTCCCCTATTAGACAAGAAAAATTACAGCATGATGCCGCAGAGGTTCCAATCACTAAAATTGAAGAAGATGGTTCCGAAGCCGGTAGAGCATTATCTACGGTCTCTGATAAGCTAATCGCCGGTGGACTAAGTATTGAAGCTACGGTGAGGGAATTAGTACAAGAAGCTTCTAGTCCTCAGAATCTCGCATTGATATATTTTGGATGGTGTCCATTCTATTAATTTTAAGCTTAAATGTAAATTTCTGCAAAAAGTGTAAAAAGTGTAAAATTTCTAGTTTTATCGTTCCGACTCTATTAACTCTTATCTTAATTACTAAAGATCAATTTGAACCCAAACTAATGACATCGAGAAGCGTTTGGTATGGTAAACTATGAACAATGAAGCTTCTTATGAATCTTCTTCTCTTCGAGGGTCTATAATCTCAATCCCGTTAATGATTATAGACGATACTTCAAGGGCAGTGATAAAAGAGTCACGACTATATCTACACTGCAGTGAAATTCCAGATGAAGAAGGAAACGATGAAAGTCCAAATACAGCCGTTACGGCCATCTGTCAAGAGGGTAGCTTCCATATTGACATAACGTATAATACTTGGCAACAATGTAGAAAGCCGCAGAACAAGTACAGTACTTCCGAGTGGAATATGATGCTTTCAAGCTTGTTTCCATTAGAAATGGGGGTGGACTTGAATGAACGGGATAATGACATCTTGATGAATGCCAAGCTTGTTTCTCTGAAATCTAATTACTCTGAAACAAATAATGAATTACTTGATGATGCTACGGGAGAGATGAATGATTTTCTTACAATAGATATTAAAAGAACTGGTGTATTTCCTGTGACTGTTGGTTCACTCATATTAAAGATGATAGATGATCTGGATGACCTGAAGAGGTTGAATGGTCTGCCTGTGAGTGGTGAGCAGGACTTATTCAAATGGATGGACTTGCTAATGAGAGAAAACAAAAACTTGCAGGAACAATTGAGTGAATCTAAACTGAGTCTTAAGTCTCTTATAAGGCAAAACAGACTCATATCAGATAATTATGAGGAATCTGAAAAGCATCATCGCATCATAGTCGACGATCTTCAGGATAAGTTTTATCAATTGCTCAATGCAAAGAAAGACAAGATATGGCAGTTGCAAAATGAGAGACCAAGGCATTTGACGGATTTGAACAAGGGACTTGAAAAGCGTCCCTTAAAACGGAGTCCTGATAAAGAACTAAAAGAAGAAGAATTCGAAGGAAGTACCGTGACTGCACCGAAGCGCCGAAAAACAGAGAACAAAATAGTTAAGAAGGAGAACGACGATGACATAATTGAAGACAAACAAACGGGGCTGGTGAGCCTGCCCAACGAAGCTGGTGAGTATGACTCGAAAAAACCTCTATCTATGAAAGACGAGGAAATAGTCTCCAGCGTATTGCATGCTGGTGAGTCACCAAGCAATGACTCGTTGAATGACACTGAAATAGATTCGGAGGAATCGAAGTCTCTCAAGCAACTGCCTTCTGCAGGATTCGATCGTAGCAGCCACTCTGACAGCGATGGCGATAACAATATTATTGATATTACTTCGCCTTTACTAGATCGTCAGAAAAGCGACGACGAAATCATCAAAGACAGTCTCGAAGAGCATAGTGGTAGCCTGAGGCAAACGCCTTCTCCAAAAGAAACCCAAATCCAAAAACGTCATTCTCTGCTGCCCTTGCTTGTTCGTGCGTCTTCCGAATTACCCAACGCGAGTCTTCAGCTGGGGGCCGAGACTGAATATTCGTCTGAGGGATCCTCGCTGACTTAATGTCTCGTGTCTCTTTGGGGCCCTTCTAAAACCATGCGACTTTTGGCCGAAATGAGTCGCGCTGCCCCTTTTCGATGGCTGAGTTGTCACTCCACTATAGCAATTCTTCTCAATTATACATATAGAGCCTCTACACTAATCCCTAAGGGAAGATACGACGGACAATATATATATATCATAACAAGTCTAGATATCCATCGAGACTTTAAAGCAGGATCGGGCTGGAGGACTGTAGACTCAAACTTTTTTGTCGTAGAGCGGTCTTATCATTTTGACATTTAAGTACACATGTGCATCCACTGGGTCCTCTTGTTCCTGAAACAGCATCTGGTTCCCCACTACTTTTAAGTCGTGGCGCGAACCAAAAGTCTCTGAAATTTTTTTGAGGCTATTCATAGAAGCGCAGAGATCAAAAAAAAAATCGTCAGCAGTTACTTGAGGTTGAAGAAGTTGATATTGGTGAGCCAGTTATATCTAACAAAGCGGAACCGATAGTGACTTAGTTTCGAATAGAATATACCGATATCTTTAATTAGTCGATAGGCTTTTCGAAGAGAAACAGTAAGGTAGTAAATCGCGTTCATTTTTGAAAAGTATAGTGACGTTTCCTATACGTGTTTAATTATAGAGCCATAGGGTTGTCAACGAAAGACAAACATCTCGAGTTAGAACTTTTCTCAAAAGTGAGTGTATCAGCTTCCGATATTTAAAGGTAAGCTTGAAAACAGCTTCGAGAGAGGAAGTTATAACACTGGATCAAGAATCTCGGTTCAAGAAACACAGACTTTTGCTGTTTTGATCGTATTTTAGAGTTTGATTTCATTTGTTGGCATTGCCATATACCTCAGCGTTCGTTTTAAGGACTTCTTACTTTCGTTTTTTCTTTAAACGCATAAATCCACAGAGGAAATATCACGTCGTCCAAGATTAGAAGTGAGAACAGGACTAGCATCATGACATATTCTTATCCATACCTGGGCATTCCTCAGCAGTACGTGTCTCAGCCATTTTATCCTCAGTTTTATGGACAGCAAGGATCTGATGAGCAGTTGAATGGTTCTCGTTCTATTGATCCCCAACCAACCTCATTTGATCAATACGCTCAATTTCAAGGTGATCAACCATTCAGCTTCAATGCGGACGGGAACTCTGGATTATTAAGCGACTATTACGGTGAAGATATACTGTTGATGAACGATGACAATAGCCAACTTCAAAATCCAAATAACATGGGTTTTCTTAACCCTAACCAACTTCAATTTTCTTCAGGAATGTCTCATAATATTCAACAAGGAAACTCAGCCGGGATTCCAAGCATGCCGAATCCACCTGCCAATCCTCTGCACGAGATCTTGTATAATCAAAATAATTCTGGAGGAAATGCATCTGCTGCCCCTTCAAGAACTGTTTATTTGGGCAATATTCCATCGGATATTGAACCAAATGAGTTACTTGACTACGTTCGATCCGGTATTTTAGAAAATGTGAAGATTTTACCATCAAAAAATTGTGCTTTCATTTCCTTCATTGACCACCAGTCTGCACTTTTATTTCACTCCGACTGTATCTTAAAGAAACTCAATATAAAGGGCCATGATATAAGAATCGGGTGGGGTAAAAATACTTCAATTTTACCTGCTGTTATGGAATCAATTCAAAGAGATGGTGCTACTAGAAATGTCTATTTAGGTAATCTTAATAATCCTACAAATGGTGAAATGATTACTGAACAAGAATTGATTGATGACTTGAGTGCGTACGGCATTATTGATTGTATTAAGATCATACCGGAAAAAGGAATCGCATTTATTCATTTCTTATCGATTTTGAGTGCAATCAGATGTGTTGCCAATTTGCCATTAAAGGAAAAGTATTTGGATAAAAAGTGCTTTTACGGAAAGGACAGATGTGCATTTATTACGAAAACACAGCAGCACAACGCCGCTCAGTATCTAGGACTAGCTCCTGGTATGGAACATATAGTTACTGCTGCTGATAGGGAATTCATTTCATCAGCTCTAGTTCAACAATCTGCAGCTGCAGCTCAAATAGCAACTCAAGCAGGAGGTGCAAATAATTTGGGAAACAGAACTGTTTATTTGGGAAACCTTCACCAGGATTCTTCTGTTGAGGAAATCTGTAATGTGGTAAGAGGTGGCTTGTTGCAAAGTATAAGATACTTAAAGGAAAGGCATGCTTGCTTCATTACTTTTATTGATCCTATAGCTGCTGCTCAGTTTTTTGCCATGTGCCAGTTACATGGATTGACTATTCACAACCGTAGGATAAAAGTAGGGTGGGGAAAGCACTCGGGTCCTTTATCAAATGCTTTATCTCTAGCTGTTTCAAACGGTGCTTCCAGGAACATTTACATTGGTAATATTTCTGACTTTGACTTTTATAACCCTGCAAAGTTAAGAGATGACTTTTCAAAGTTCGGTGATATAGAACAAATCAATTATTTAGAGGAAAAAAATTGTGCTTTTATTAATTTCGTGAACATTGCTAATGCAATTAAAGCAATTGATGGAATCAAGTCATTCAATGACTACAAGAATTTAAAGATCAATTTTGGTAAAGATCGTTGTGGAAATTTACCAAGACAGTTCCAAACACAACTTACCGTGAACCAACTAAACAACATCGATAATATGTCAAATCAATCATTTTCTGATAATGAATTTATGAATGATGAACATCATCAGACTCAGAATCATGCACAACAACCAATCGCTGATGAGATTTGAGCCTTTGGAATTATGGCTAATCTGTTGTCTGTCTTACTGTCGCTTTCATCTTCCTTTTCCATGTTGTTAATTAAGATTAATTTTTTTTTTCTTTTAACTAGATTGATTTCATTTCACCGCTCAACTGTTCATTGTTCATTAATCTATTTCCATAAAAAGTTTTACAAGTTTAAACTGACCTCATGAGGTAATATTAACTTTTGACCATATATTATGATCTGAATTCTTAAATATGTATATAAATTATAACATCCAATAAAACTTGTCATTATCATTAAAACGTTTGTATTTCTACTTTTGTAGACTAGAATACGCAAAGGAGGTTTTTAAAAACTAGGAATAATCTTGATTATTATGACAATGAAAATGAAACAAAGGAATATTATTCCAAACACCTTGAGTAGCCAGAAAATGCCAATTTTATTACCAGTCTTATTCAGAAGATAGTTATTCAAGTTGCCCCCAATTGTAGTCATATAATTTGAGTTCTTAGAGAAGTTTCTTTCAGTATCCTCAACTACTTTAGAGTCTTCAAATAATTTAGTGGAGAAATTCTTCGCTGAACTTTTTAAACTCTTAGATAAATCTGCTAAGTCATCGATCAAGTCATCCTGAAAGGAATTATGATAATTGTTCAGATCTTTTGTAGAATCCAATAGAGATGTGCCTCTATCATTTGATAATAGTCTCTTCCTCAATGAGCTCAAATCATTGTCCTCCACAATAACATTAGATATTGTTTCTTGGGGGCCCTTCTTTGCTAAAATTTGTTCTTCTTCTAATCCATTTTCATCTTTTTCATGGCGTTTGATTAGGACGCTGTTGACATATCTCTTCTCGTCAGTCAAATTTATGGCTGCCTGTAACTCTTCAGAGAGCCTAGTGAATTCCTTTTTCTTTTTAAACTTATTTAACACAAGTTGTAGAGTAAGCAAGTCATTTGAAATAAGACATAACTTGTATTTGTTCAAACACATATGGTTGTTATCAAGGTTGACAGGTTCACGCAACGATTCCAATGATCCAATAGGTAATCGATCAATCTCGCTACTGCATCTCCGTAATATTTTCTCAACCGCCTTAGCAGATGTGATATCCATAGCCGGTTGGATGATCATGCTGAACAATCTCTATTAACCAGTAGAAGTTGCCCCATTCTTCTAGTAAAAATAAGTGCGCCGTAATTTTTCACCATAGTATATCTTAGTGGCTTCGCGAGAAAAAAAGAGCAGACAATCCGTAAGGCTCATTAAAGAGGATCTAGAAACTAGCTAGTACTTCCAGAACCTGGTATTAGCGTTAATCTCACGCTCGGTAGTCAAAAACTCTACAGGCTTTACATAATAATGCTAAGATGTATGCCCAACTACTATCAAACAACGACCTATGAAGATGGTCGTGGTTAGCGAAATGGGCCAATCATTCTTTGGATATCTGCTAGATTAGCAAGCTAAATCATACGTAGCGGGCTACACTATCTAGCTGTTATCCATTTTGACATAAAGATATGAATAAAATACAGCGACTTCGTTTGTGGGCTCTTTTATGAAAAGTGGCACTATTGATACAAGCACGACTTCTTCGGGTTGATTCCAAACAAAAATGTCAATAACATGACTCGCAATGACGCTGCGGCCCCCCTTCCCACCTTCGTGAGGGAAATCTATTAGATGATGCGTTCACCCTCAATTGACCCCGTTTGTCCAAATTCGGTTTGTTATGCACTCATTTAGTGCTTTAATGTATCAAAGCTGACAGTATGCTTTCTGCCAAGGTCGTAATCATCATTGATCAACCTTACCTTCCAATTCTTGGTTGATCATAGATTGTAGTTAGGATCAATGATCAGATGATTATGCATCTTTTCAAAGAGAACTATCGCTTATCCGAAGGGGGAAAATTTCACTTACTCAAACCACTTGCTCTGTACTAAGTACTGCCACAATCCAAAGGCCGCCAATAACGGCGTGTTGCAACTCGCAAAATCCCAGGCACACCTTCCGAAGAGTTTCGCATCTGAATTTCTCCATGGCGGGTGCTTCTGGCACACCTCTAGGCGCTCGAGGCGTATTGTCTCGAAAGGACATCGGCCAATGTTCGAAACCACAACTGCGACAGGAGACTTATGTGTGCAGGCACAATATTTACCATTCTTTTTATAAATTTCAAGTATTTGTTGATCGTTTAAAACTCACTACCTACGCCCCAAAATTTTCTTCTCTTTTACAACGCAATAATCATTGGCATTGGTAACGGTGGTAAGTGGTATAGATTGTAGGCCTTACATCAAAAGTGGTCTTAAGTGGTGGATTAAATTAGATTTTAGTCAATAACAGAAGCTATATCTATTTTTCGTTACCTTGCTCTTTCTGTTTAAACCAACGATCAATTATTTTTCATTGATCCAACAAGATACGGCCACAGATCACTAAACCACAGTGTTCCTTTATCAAGCACTATGCACAGAATTGTGATAATACCATTGATATGGATAAGTTTGTTCGGCGAGGTGGAATCATCGTTTGAAAAAATGGGTTGCTTCAAAAAGTCGTCTGTGCAATCTTTGTTAACTTTCAATGATAACGACACATATCAAAGTTCGGGGTACTGTCAGGAACAGTGTTCAGATGATGCTGTATTTGGGTTGATAGATGGTAAGTCCTGCTACTGTGGTAATACGATACCGGACTCTAGTGACGAAGTGGATGATTCTAATTGCAATACTGTTTGCCAAGGCTATGGTTACGAAAAATGTGGGGGTCTGAATTATTTTTTAATATATACTGACTCTAGTGCTCAGGCAAGCACTGCTGGTGGTGATAGCTCGACCCTGAGCTCTAGTTCACCCACTTCCTCAACTGAGACTTCCACATCAACATCATCCGATCAGACATCAGAAGTATCTACAACCTCACAAACATCGACAAGTTCATCTTCATCATCGTCAACATCTCCTTCGACTTCTTCAGAAGCGACATCAGAACAATCCGGCTATCATACCACAATCGTGTCTGTTGAAAGTGAATCACAGTCCGTCCGTGAGGTCACCAAAACAGTGGAGTGGTCTACTACTCTGTCACACTCGTCGACAGGTAAGTCTACCTCCAGTACTTCTACAGCCAATGCATCAAAGACAACACATGCCTCCACTACTTCCTCTAATGAACATAATGAAACGAAAGATAATAAAGATAGTGGAAAATCACTCTCAGGGGGTGGAATTGCAGGTGTCGTTGTGGGATCCATAGCGGGTGCAGCTATTCTTGCTGCCGGACTTATCTTTTTCATCTGTCATAGAAGACGCTCGGACGACGATAAGGACGACGAATTTACTTTATCCGGCCCAGAACAAGAGAAATCGGAGACATTTGGCGGTGCTGCTGGTTCTCACGTCCAGCATAATCACCAAGCTTCTAATGGCCAAATGCTGGGCTCCTTTGCATCGACGCAGAATGATGACCTATTTATCTACGGTCCCTCTGCTCATCCCAACGACATGACCGGCGATCACAGCATGCCTATTGCCGATTTTGGACGAAGACGACTCAGTAATGGCTCTCTCCCAGATATGGTACAAAGAAACCATGGTTCATTGAAGGTAGTCAATAACTAGAAGTGATAATTCTAACTACATACTGTATACCTAATTTTGTGTATGTCTATTCATAGAACTCTAACTAATAATGACAATTGGGCAATTAATTTCATAACAGAAGGAACCCGTAGCATCGCGATCTAAGCCTTGAACGGTTTTACGATTGTCTGTTGCGAACAAGCGCTCGGTGACAAACCGCGATACATACCCCTGTGTGTTTTGATATAGGCGCGAGAGACGCGCAGGGTCCATTTCAGGTGTTTGATTTGAAGAGGGCGCAAGCCCTCATCCTATCTTTGTTACGCTCAATATATATGTGAACCAAGATTAGTGGACACAAAACATGTGATTACACAAAATTATAATGTCACAATATTTGACTTGATGTTAGCTAGCTGCAGGATCGTTGGTTTTGTGTCGTAAACGACAGGATTCACAGACGTCGCAGTGTGAGAGCTACTGTAAGAAAATTTTTCAGTAACAGAATAGTTCTAAAGATCTTTTGAAGTAGTTCTTTTGTCAAATATACTAAAGTAATAGATTAATATGTCAGGATCTGGTGCTTCAGGAAACAAGTTCCGTATGTCTTTGGGTTTACCAGTTGGCGCAGTGATAAACTGCTGTGACAACTCTGGAGCAAGAAATTTGTACATCTTGGCCGTTAAAGGATTTGGTGCAAGATTGAACAGATTACCAGCAGCATCTGCTGGTGATATGGTCATGGCAACTGTTAAAAAGGGTAAGCCAGAATTGAGAAAGAAGGTCATGCCAGCTATCGTTGTTAGACAAGCTAGACCATGGAGAAGAAAGGATGGTGTTTACTTGTACTTCGAAGATAATGCAGGTGTTATTGCCAATCCAAAGGGTGAAATGAAAGGTTCTGCCATCACTGGTCCAGTTGCTAAAGAATGTGCTGATTTATGGCCCCGTATTGCTTCTAACTCAGGTGTTGTCGTTTAAGAATACGAGAAGAAATATGTATATCATTTAATCATTAATAAAGGCACTTACATTGAGGTCAAAAGTACTCGTTTTTATTACGTGTAAATCATGAGTTGAAATTTAACGATACAGAAATTCGATGCCATGTATTGGACTAAGTACAAAAGTGTGAAATCGTAGAATACATTTTATTTTGCTTTTTGTCTCTAAATCTATTGGACTGCTGAGTCTTTTTCTTGAGTTTCTTCAGGAATCTCGCGCTTCTCTGCATCCTCTCCAGTTACGAGACTTTTCAATGTGGAATCGTCCTCGCTAGCTTTGTTATTCTTGGAAGTGTCCTTGATTTCTTTGTTGACGATGGCTTCATTTGTCGGTGATGAAGCACGCTGACTTGAAATGATAGAATGGTCAGTAGGAATATGCGAGCCAGTTGGATATGGTAAATCTCCCTTGAATGATTCGCTCAATGGATGATATTGCAGATAATATCCATTTGGATCCATTTGATAAAGGGGTTGTTGCTGAGCCGGAGACTGTGTTGGAGCTACACTATAAAAATGCTGGGGCGAATCTGGTCGTGGTGTCATATTCGAGGCTACTTGTGCCTGTGGTGGAGCGCTGGGTGTAAGCATGTAGAACTGTTGCAGGACTGGATCATAAAATTGCTGACCCTGCGAAGGGGTAGCTACAATATAATTCTGGGGATAAATCGATGGATGGAACAGATTACCTAGAGCCTGTGGGGTGCCCTTGCCAGTCTCAGATGTTTTTGACTCTACTTTAGTGACACCGTTCTGAGCATTAAATTGCTCATCGTCTTGCCGAGTATCCACTGGTGTTATAATTGTCCCATCACTATTGATCATATTTCCAAGTCGCGTAGATTGGTTATCCCTTGTTGAGAATGTGGAAGATAGACGATTTAAGTTACCAGGAGACGTATTTTGAGATGTCGGCCTTGACCTCAATGACTCAAGTCTATTTCCATGCCCCGAATTATTTGTGGCTAAAGTTTTGAGCGACTTGCTATTAGTTATATTAGAAGTCAAGCTGGAATTTCTTGATATCTTCTTAGAACTTGAAATCACATTACCTTGAACTTTAGAGCTCTTTTTTAAGAACCGCGCCCGAGAAGAAGGTGTTGGCAAGCTAGTCAAGGTTTTTAAATCATTGTACCAATTTATCATCTTGTCGTAATTGTCTGTCCTGAAGACCCAGTTATGGCTCCTATGCATTAAACCATTAGATCCCTTAGAGCATAAAATAAATTTATAAACTCCTCCCTGTTTTCCATCGTCTTTTGAATGTTCAGTTACAGTACATGAATCTAGAGGAAGTGACATTACAGGGTGAGGGTCTTTCTTCATATCCGAGCTTTTAAATTCATGCAAGTAATTGCAAGTTAAGACATACCAGCCGCTAGAATAGCTCTTAAGAAACTTCGATCGTCTCTCCAAGGTCCCTTCCCTGACTGCAAAATTCAAAGGTGAATCAATGCCTGGTATATTCAAATTATGGACTTTTCTTGCTGGAAAGGAAAGATCGATAAAAGTCCCCCCTTTGTTTTGAGCAGAAATTGGCATAGAAGTTGGTAGGTGATTTGAAATAAATGCATCCCACTCGAAAGTTGACTCTTTTGATAAAAACCCATGATTTACATTAGGAACAAGGAAGTTTGGAATAGTCAGGCTCTCTGTCTCGACTAAACTCAAAAATATGGATATGTAGTTTTGAATTTCCAATACAATTATTGATTCTAGCTTTCCTCCTGCATTTTGCAAATTGGCATAAGCCTCATAAAGATAGTTTTCTTCATTCAATTGTCTCCTTAATTGTCTATCCAATTTTATTTTCACAATGTATGGATCATCATTCTCATGTTGGCTGGAGCTTGAACTATCCAACTTATTTGAATGGTCGATTGCACGACTGAATTGATTCAAAACATGCTTTGTTTCGTTTACCTCTTTTCCTAAATTTGTATGAAAATCGTTCTGCAAGTTCTTGATTTCTTTAATTTTTACCAATAAATCTTTTCTGAGCTCGTCTAGCTTTGGTATTATTGTCTGATTGATATCTTTGAGAGTTTTTGAAGCGTTTGTTATGTTTTGCTGATGGAATTTCGTCAAGATGGCTGGTAAGTCTTGAATAGAACCATTTCCAACTGGTAAAAAGAACTTATTAATTGCATTATCTTCTTTAGCGCTACCACTAGTATGATGATTCTGAGTCCCACCATCTACCAGTGACGATATTTTCACAGCTTGTTGTAATCTCAGTTGTTGTCTCACTATTTCTTCTTGAACACTAGCGAACTCCCTAAAGTAAGATAATAAATCCTTGATAATAGTACGCCATGCCTGAAACCTATTTGCCAACACCTCTGTTGGATAGTCACTGGGTGAATTGAACGTATAAGGTAGTGGTACCACTAATGGATTATTGTGATCAAGCACCATCGTGTTTCTGCTCTTTTTGCTCCCTAGCAGAATTTATCCGAGAACAAGCGTTAGTTTATTCGTTTTCCTTACACACTGCAGTTATTTAAAAATGCCCGAAGATAACCTTCAATTCTGAAATATACTTCGTTCGTAAACGTAAGAAAGCTAAGATGAATATATTTTAATGAAGTATTAAAAACCTGCCAGCCACTTGAAAACAGTGAACGTTTCAGTTACTTTCGATATGCTATACTAGGGTGTGTACTTGCTCAAAACCCAATTTGCCATGACCAGCAGGAATTAACTAGATGAGTTCATTGTTAGTGCATGGCGAGGCTGGCTGTTCCTGGAAGGCAATCTTGGAAAAACTCACCCTGGGAATTCATTTTGTTTCATACTACAAACAGCCATTAAAACTTCAAAGAATTGTTTGTTTATTAGCCGAATCTTTTGATGTAAGACGATCTGTTAGCGCTCCTAATATGCTCAGTAGTAAAATAGGCAGCAAATAGAAAAGTTAACTTATAACAAAGAACATTTTTTTTAAGTCCTTCTTTCTATTTTAGAAGGTTCACAGGTTATGTCATTATCAATACTATTTGGGTGAGAAGTGAAGCAATAAGACAACATAATAATGTCGAATCCCGATTATGTCATAGAGCTCTCATCAGAAGAATCTGGCAGTGAAAACGATGTCGAAATATTAGAGTTTAAAAAAGTATCACAGGACTTGATAGATCATCCACAGCAATCGGCACAATTAAGCAAACAATTGACTGACGTCCAATGCCCTATATGTCTAGACCAGGTTGACATTGCCACTGTCGCTTCCTGCGGACATATATTCTGCTTAGAATGCATCCAGCAGAGCATTGCTAGTTCGCATGCTAGAGGTCAGGTTAAAGGAAGGCGAGGTATTGGCCTCTGTCCTCTATGTCGAAAGAGAGTTTCTTTCAAAGATACCATAGTGTTAAGATTAAAAGTAGCTACAAAGGCAGATCCGCCAGTATTACCCCCAACTGAAGATGATGAGCAAAAAGTAGACATAGAATCGTTTGGCACTAAATAATTAATTTTTATTCGTGGATGCAGATTTAAAATAGTACTCGAAGTAAGCCTTATTTAATTGCTTGCCGTCGTACTTGTCTATTATCAATGTATCGTAGATAGACTGGAAGATTTGGTGTAGCCATTTCTCGCATGCCTTCGGATCGTCTAGATACATGATTGCAACAAACTTCTCGAACAAATCACCGAGCAACTCGTCGAATGTTTTGGAAGAATTATACAATAGGTCTTTATTCATATTTTGGATGAGTTCTTCATGGAACCCTTCGTTTTTTATGCCCCTATCAAAGCCATATATTTTGGCAAGTCTCCCAAAAAGCGAATTTGAATTCAAAAATAGATGATCGCTCAAAAGACTAACGTAATTGACCTCTTTAAATAGGATTTTATGAAAAAAATCAAACGATATTCTTTTTAAGATGATGTCTCCGAATGCATCTAAACTCTTGGCCATGCGATTCAAACTACCTCTATACTTCGGCTCTACTAAACGTGAATATGGGTGTAAAAATGCTAATTTCAATATCAAAGTGGTTTCCAGTGGTCTTTTAAGTAATGGTAATGGCGGTAATCTGGTATCTTTATAAGGTAAAAGCCTCGGTCGGGAGGTACGAACTAGTATATCTTCGTTTAATTTGACGTCATTAGATATGTATTTCGATACCTTTTTACTCAAGGACTTTATCGCAAGGGCGTCAGTAAAATCTTCATCCTCAGAGAGATAGCCTAGGTCCTTCATCACCTTTAATATAAAGTTCACATTGGTGTTCGAATCCTCTACATATCTTAACCCTAAATAAAGATAGAAGGGATGAATCTGTTTAATTTTGTTATTGCCTGCTAGTCTGGAAGTAACAACCCTATTTTCATAGCTGAAAACACCCTCATCGTCAGCCTCCAAATAAAATGTGGGTCGGTATTTCTTCGACTTTCTTAGTTCATGATTTATTAAAGAAATGAATCGCATAAAACATCTCTGGCTGCTTTCAAGGTCTATTAATGCAAAAATTTGGAACGCTTCCTGTTTAAGAGTGTACTTCCCTAAATATTCGAGTCGCAAGAGATTTCTCAAGAATTCTTTTCTAGTATTTTTCATTATCTTATATCTTTTTTCAAGTAGTTCTAAGAACCTACCTCCAGCGAGACTGATTGGTTCATAGAAATCATTATTTCTATCTGTGAAAATAACCTTTTTACTATGAAATAGCTTCAGGTTAGGGCCAAACTTAAATTCAACAAATGCCCTCTTGTTTGGATTAAGCAGGCTCAAGTCATATAAAGCCTTCTTTTCAAAGCTTAGAACTTTGCTATATTCATTCAATTCATCCGGATCTTGATAAACTTGATGCAATAAATCGTCGATTTTAACCGGTATCTTCAGAATTTTCCGTATTAGGCATGTATTATTTAATTGTAAAGTTGTATGAGTGCTTTTAAGCAAAAGCCACATAGATCCAAAACCTGTTTAATACTGATTAGATTTCAGTATTTTTTCTAAAAAAAGTCTCAAAATTAGAAAATTGGAAATTTTAGAGAGCCAGTTATAAGAACAAAAAAAAAAAGCCAGATAACCAGACTTTTAAAGGATGACAGCATGTAAAAGAAAGAAGAGAAATAAAAAAAAAATCTAATAACAATGAAAGAGCGAATTTAGGAGAAATGTGGTTCGATGATACGAAATGTAATAAACTTGAAAAGCTGTAAAAAACGGCCTGTAACAGTTGATTACAGCAGGAACAGATATAATTTCTTTCTTGCGAAAGCAGATTAGCAATAGGACGCTAATCAAATATATACTTCATATGCTGCTACTATTCAAAACTAACATCTTTTTAGCATTCGGTTAAATTCCATAAAATATCAGTGCTCATAACACGACGTCATGATATATAGCAAGATATCTCCCCCGTACACAAAGTTTAAGGAGCCATCAAAAATTACAACAAATGAACACTTCAAAATACGACCCTGTGGATCAAGAATTTCCTCCCGCTTATGATGAGCCACAAGCCTCAAGGTCTCCTGGAGATAATGTCCCTGATGATTTTAAATACTCGGTAGCCGTTGCGTCCTGTGAGTTACCTGTACGCCAGATATTCATAAGAAGAGTGTATTCCTTATTGTCGTTACAAATAATGGGTACTGTGATCGTTGGGATGATTCTCCATTCCAATAGTTCGATAAGAAATTGGTGCTTGAACAATATGTGGCTCCTTTTGGTTACAGGAATTGCATCTTTTGGATTTTTGATTGCCACTCATTTCAAGGCTAGATCATATCCCACGAATTTAATCTTACTAAGTGCCTTTACCCTATGTGAAGCATATGCCGTTGGTGTAGTGTGTTCTGTTGTTGAGACCGACGTTCTAGTGCAGGCTTTATTATTGACCATGGTGGTTTTTATTGGCTTGACGATGTTTGCTTTTCAAACTAAGTATGACTTTATCAGCTGGCAAGGTTTTGCATCTATGGCATTATGGTTCTTAATAGGGTGGGGTATACTCTTCATGATATTCCCTGGATATTCAAAATCGATGGATTTGGTATATTCTGGTGTTGGAGCGCTCTTGTTTTGTCTCTATATTTTGATAGACACTCAGAGGATTATGAAAACAGCATATTTGGATGACGAAATAATATCAACGATTGCCTTGTATTTGGATATCTTGAATTTATTTCTTTACATTTTACGTATTATGCAACGCCGTGATTCCTAGTAAATTGATCGTACGTTTTAGTGAAAAAGAAGAGCGATATAGTTTATGCGTATATATATTTAATCTACAAGTATAATCCTTCAAGATTCTCTTCCACTTTATTCTTAAGAATCCTCTCCTTAGCTTGCCTGAAGTCATCAGCCTTTACTTGCATTCTCCTTTCCCTTAAAGCCAACAAACCAGCTTCCGTACACATTGCTTTTATATCAGCCCCCGATAAGTCGTCTTTCGAAGATACCAACTCTTCCAACTTCACATCATCCGCCAAACTCATCTTTGAAACATGAATAGTCAAAATCTTCCTTTTGGTATTTGAATCTGGGTTCTCAAACAATATTTTACGATCAATTCTTCCTGGTCGGATTAATGCAGGGTCCAAGGTTTCAATCTTGTTTGTCGCCATGATAACTTTTATATCGCCTCGGTCATCAAAGCCATCCAATTGATTCAATAGTTCTAGCATAGTTCTCTGGATCTCCCTTTCACCTCCTGATGTGGATTCATATCTCTTAGTACCAATAGCATCAATTTCATCGATAAAAACAATCGAAGGGGCATGTTCTGCCGCAATTTGGAAGATTTGTCTGACCAATCTTGGTCCATCACCCAAGTACTTTTGGATTAATTCTGATCCTACTACCCTCAAAAATGTAGCACTAGTTTGATTAGCAACTGCCTTCGCAAGTAAGGTCTTACCGGTTCCTGGTGCACCATATAATATCACACCCTTGGGCGGTTTGATACCCATTTCTTCATATAGTTCAGGATGTGTCAAAGGCAATTCAACAGCTTCTTTTATTTCTTGGATCTGTGATTCTAAGCCACCGACATCAGCGTATGATTCTGTTGGAGATTTGTCCAATTTCATTACAGATACCATGGGATCTGCGTCATCCTGAAGTACACCAACAACAGACACAGTCTTATGGTGTAATAATACGGAGCATCCAGGCTCAAGTAAACCCTTATCGACAAACGACATGATTGACACGTAGTATTCAGATCCTGCCGTGCTTGATACGATTGCATGATCATCATCAATAATCTCTTCCAATGTTCCGATAGACATGGGATAACCTCTCAATTCGTCAACTTTATCTCTTTCTTCTGCCTGCTTAGACTCCGTGGGCTGGAATGCTTCTTGATTTGTAACAAATTCTTCTTCCAATAACAAATGATCTTTGATTCTCTCTAATTTTAATAACTTCAATTTACATCTAGTACTAGGATGAACATTCGGCAATCTTACAGCAGTATCGGGACCCTTTCTCCTCTTTTTACCAAATTTTGATTCTACTGGCGGTTCATACTTTGGCTTCTCTTTCTTCTTATCGTCTTTCTTTTTATTAAAGCCATCGCCATTTTGCATGCCAGATGGACCTTGACCCTATTTAATGTTAGTAAACCCCGATGATTTTCAATTAAACGGTTCAATTATACATACCATAGTTACTTCCTTCTTTAAATAATTAGATATAACTGGTTAGCTTATGTGACAATTGATAAATATAAAGTAACTAAACTGACATTGATGTCGCCACCGACAGAAGTCAGAGATGCGGTCACATACACGACTGATATCATAGTAAATACTAATATAAGCGAAGCTCCCAATATCTTCAAGACATGGCATGGACAGGACTGACTATATAACTACATGCTTTCCTTCACTTTACAGACAGTATGGCAAGCTTTTGCTATCTTTGAAAACGTGAGTAATAAAGTAAAAAGTGTGAAATAGAATTTGGCTTGATACTGCTCATAGCGAGCGTCGGAAGCAAAGGTTAAAGCCACGTCTCTTTCAATAGGCTATTGATCAAAAGCTTTACGTGATGAGGTAATAGGATTTCCTTAAGACTTTTTTTTAGTTTCGTAGATTGCAACACACATTGACATATATACTCGCGATCTCCCTGGAGTTTCCAAATGCAGATCAAACATTTAGTACAAAAATATAGCCAAAAAGGTTTTAAGGACTAGAACTCTTATTAAACTGAGTTTGGAGATCTAAGTACCATTCCAATGAGCGAGGAAAGACAGAAACTAAAAGAAAAACAGTTTCTGTCTTTAAATCGAAGTTGGAAAAGGAAAATAGGTAATGGTCCAACACCCATCAATAATCTTATTTCAAGTAATGAGAAGTCAGCCAATAAACAAGCATCGCCAAAAGTTGTTAAAGAGCATAGGTTTTCACCAGATGAGGCGATAAAAACCTCTGAGAAATTAAGAGCTCAGATTACTACTGAATTAGATTCAACCCCTACAAAAAGAAGCGGCAGATACAAATTTACCAGAGAAAAACCTCAAAAAAGTATAGATGACATCTTTCTGTTTCCACAGGAAGACAGCAAAGTATCAACTCATATGCTGACACTAAGAATCATTTCCCTCGATTATAATGGAGAAACAAAGAGAGCCCAAAACAGATTTGAGCTTCTGATCTCCCTGGAAGGTAATCGAATTACATTTAAGAATTCGGAGACAATCATAGACGATTTGGAAATCAAGAGAGATGAAAATTTCGATATAATGTATTTTGGATTTCATTCTATTTTGATACTATTAAGCTGCGAAACTGAATATGTGTTCATTAGGTATCTAGATGATGATCGAGACATATGGGATCAGTTAAAAAAGAATAAATGGAATGTTAAGAATGTCAGACTTTCAAGCGAAGAATTGTTGACAAAGAAGAATGAAATACTAAAGAAGAGAGCTAAAAGTGGTCAAGAGCAGACTAAAGAGCAGACAAATGAAAATAGCTCTGAGAAAAGTGCAAAAAGAGGAGTAATCAACGCGATTACACCTGAAGAAATGTATGAAGGAAGACAAACTAGATCGCAAAGTAAGGAGGCAGGCATTAATTGTGCTCATCCGATTTCAGTTGAAGAGTCCAAAGAAACTCCTCCCGGTTTTGAACCTCCATTAAAGCATTTGTTTGCGCACAACAGAGTGTTCACTGTTACATACTCTGATTTTAAGACCCTTTTCAACACGGACTGGATTAACGATACAATCATAGATTTTTTCATAAAATTTGAGGTCGAAGAAGCCATATATAAGAAGAATTTGTTTAAAGAAAATGAAATTTATGCATTTAACTCATTTTTTTTCACAAAGTTGATGGAAACACAAGACAACCAAGATGTCCCTAGTCATTATCAAAATGTTAAAAAGTGGCTTAATAAAATAGAAATTATGAAATATTCCTCTGTTATCATTCCTATTAATGAAAACGCTCACTGGTATTGTTGCATCATAAGGGGACTACCTGAACTATTAAAAGCAGTTAAAGTTGAAGCTCAAAAGTCTATTCATGTCGAAGCAGAGCAACTGCTCAAAGATTCTGAAATAAATAAGCTGGAACCAAGTGATAATAGCTTTGAGGGAAACGCTGAAACTGAAACGTTGGACGCTGAAAAGTCGGGCATGAAGACCTTAACGAGGATTGCTCGTGCAGAGATCTTTATTTTCGATTCACTTGGCCAAAGGCATACGAATATTCATTATCCGCTAAAAGATTTTCTCATTGATTATTGTAAAGACAAGTACTCTATAGAAATTAAAAGGGACAGGTTAAGAATACAAAATGCAAAGGTTCCAAGACAAAACAACTTCAATGACTGTGGAATTCATGTTATTTATAATGTTAAGAAATGGTTAAGTAATACCAGGGAGTGTGAAAAGTTGTGGAGAAAGTTTCAGCTGAAGCAACGTTCCCGATCATTTTTTTTGGCTGAAGAGAGAAATAAAATGAGAAAAGAGCTTATAAATATATTGCTTGACCTTCACAAAACCCAAGTAGAGTCAGCTGAAAGTGCCCCACAGAACATTAACGAAAATGAGTCAGACGATGAGGTGGAAGTCATTGAATTTGATCCTCTTCAAGAGAAATACGAAATACCCACAAAAGATCTCATATCATCGGAACCTGCATTAAATCTTTGTTCATCTTCTGAACCAGGGCGACGCGAAGAATGTAAGAGAACACTAGACCCTAAAGCCTCATCTTCTTATTCACTGAATCATGCTACTAGCTTAAAAAATGATTCATTGCTGGAGATAATTGATGAATCAAGGCTACAACCAGAAGTTCGAGATTTGCTAGACAAAGTCTTTCCTAAGAAGAACGGCAAACTTGAAAATTCTCAAAAAAGCCTTGCATTGCAGTTGGTTGAAGAAGCCGAAAAACTTAAAGAAAAGAAGGAAAATAATAGGATTAATGAGCTTATCAGTGCGTATCAAGGCAAATTCAACTCTCTAGCACTTAATTCGCATAGCATCAGACCAAGACATCAAACTTTTAGAATTCTATATGACAAAGGGGTTACGAGTGCAGTTGATATAAGTGATTCCGAAGAAGTAAACCAGGACTTAAGTCAATTACAGTTGTCAGATGGAAGTACCTCCCATACACTGTCACTAGTTTTATACGATCGCTTTATCAATAGCAGCCTGGATTCTCCTAAGGTTGCAAAGCTGCCAAAGAGCTCGAGCAATTCTCTTGAAGACAATATCAAGGCATCCAATTTACCCTTATTGGTTTCCAATTCTTCAAAGAGACGCAAGGTGGGATAATAATTAGCATATGTGACATGTAGGCACAAATAGAAGTTTATAATGCGCACAAAATTGAAATATACTAATGTATGTATCATTAAAAACGACAGCACTGAAAAGCAGAATTACAGACGACGAAATGTCAAATCCACCTCCATTACCTCCTAGGGCCGAAGATGAAATCCCTATAGATACTGGCTCAGATACTGTTAAAGAATCTTCGAATTCAGAGATGGGAAAAAACGTACAGGGAAGTCAAGCTAATAGTTCGAATACATCTGGGTCACCGAGCTTATCCGTAAACTTAGATGATGGTTTGTCTGCAATATCTATGATACAGCAACAAGAGCTATATAATTCACCTTGGATGAATGAGTGCTTCGATGCGTTTACTTTTGATAACCTATGGAATGATAATATTATTAATGAATTAAGAGCTACCGAAAACAAATATTTCGACGAAGATAAGTTTTGGTATGATCTCATCACCAATTCTATAAACCGATTGCTTGTAGAAAAGAGAGCAGGAGAGATTGAGAAACATATATCCAATGGCATTCCTCTAGAACTTAGACCGTTGTTGTACATGAAAATTATGCAATTGAAAAACAAGTTAACTAAAGAAAGCTATAACTCAATGTTGAAAAGGGCTACTGCTTTTGAAATACAAGAGGAAGAAAAGAACAAAGCGCCTGTTAATCCTTTCAAAAGTGGAAGATCTAATGACATATTTAAGATATATGATTACTATGCGAGGGTCCTTATATCGGCTAATGGCTCAAGTGTTATTTCAGGCGAGGACTCTTCTGTCCCTTTAGAGACAACTGTTATTATTTCGAACTTGATTAAGGTGCTCTCAGAATCATCTATCGCTCAAAACGAAAAAATACTCTCTTTAGCTTTGAAGTTTCACAAATTTCTCTCGAGCTTATCTAAGGGTGAATTATATTACAAAGTTAGCAGATCTTTGGAAGACAAGCTTCCTGATTTGTTTCTTCATTTGACCAAACAGGGTATAGATCTAAGAATAATTTACCATAAAGCTTTGAGCGACGTTTTACTGAGAGATGAAAGTGACATTTCGGTAAAGTTTTTAGATTTCATTATCTTTGAAGGATTCAACTTTATCATAAGATATATCGTCTATTTGTTTAATGAAAGGAAGGAATCGTTACTGTCGTTAAGTGGGAATTCTTTGTTCCAGTACTTTGTTTCTGACGATTTTTTGAAGATAGCCATCCAATTTGACTCTATAATGGAATTTGAACCCAATTTAATTAAGTATGAAAACGAATATCATCTCATTCATGTTAACTCATTGAACAATAACAACAATGAATTGATCAATCTTAAAGAAGTCAGCGAGGCGCTTCATTCTAAAATTAAAGACTTAAATCATCAGATTGAAAATTTGAATACTACTCATGAAGAGATCTTGGGGCAGAGTAAAGATATTTCTGTCAAGCTTGGTACTGCTTTGAAAGAGAAGGAGTCTTTAAATATCTTGAAAAAAGAACTTCAAGAGAAATATGAAGCTCTAACAATGAAAGAAAATCTAAAAAATACAATTAAGGCGAACAAGGAGTTTTCAGATAGAAACTCTGAGCTAGAGAGTCAGATATCTGAACTCAAGAAGAAGGTGCAAGATAAAAGGATTCAGTTGGCTAAGTACTCTTGAATGATTATATGATAGTTCGAATATAGTTTCCTGTATATTATGATAAACGACCTAATCTAGACGTATAGTTCACTGTAGCTAATAAATAGCTGATTTTTGTCATATTGAACATCGTTTAATAGACTTGACAATGACTTCAGAAAATAATAGCGGCTCAAATAGAGATATAGGAATTGTTGGAGCGGGGCTTGTTGGATGCTTGACAGCTTTGGCATTCGCAAGTAAAGGTTATTCAGTGACATTATTCGAATTGAGGCCCGACCCAAAAACAGAGAAAGAATCCAAAGGGTTGAGGTCTATTAATTTGGCAGTAAGTAGTAGAGGAATAAGGGCGTTAGAGTATGTTGACAAGGCAATGGCGAAAAGAGTATTAGAGAATATAATTCCGATGTATGGAAGAATGATACACGATAAAAGAGGAAGACAAGAATCTCAAAAATACGGATTATTTGGAGAAAGTATAAATTCGATTGATCGATCTTTCTTAAATGACTCACTTTTGGATGAATTGAAGAATGCTAATGTTGAAGTGAATTTCAATCACAAGTTAATAAGACTCCAAAACCTATCTAATAAGCCTTCTATGATCTTTATAAATTTGGAGCTGTCAGATGATGAAAAAATGAAAACCTTTGAATTTGATTATGTTATTGGCACGGATGGAGCGCATTCACAGTTTAGGTATCAACTTCAGAAATCAATGAGAATGAATTATTCTCAAGAGTACATCGATATGCAATATTTGGAACTTTACATTCCTCCAAACAAAGACACGCAGTCTAAAAATAAATTTTCAATTGATCCAAATCATCTTCACATTTGGCCTCGTCATGAATTTATGTTGATTGCTTTACCAAATAAGGATGGCTCGTTTACCTCGACTTTTTTCTCTCCTTGGGCAGTCATAGAATCCTTTAAATCTTCAGATGAATTTGTTCTGTTCTTTTGCGAGCAGTTTCCTGACGCTACGGAGCTCATTGGAGAGCAAAACTTAAAAAGAGCCTTTGAAAACCATCCAAGAGGCTCACTAATGCAAGTTAGTGCATTTCCTTATCATAATCCATCTGGAAGAGCAATGATTTTGGGTGATGCTGCCCATCTGATGGTTCCATTTTACGGCCAAGGAATGAACTGTGGGTTTGAAGACGTCAGGATCTTAATGGAATTATTAGAAATGAATGGTGGGGATATCTCTGAATCATTCAAGCAATATTCTTCGGTAAGGAGGGAGGATTTACGAGCAATTTGCAAGCTCGCTATGGACAATTACTATGAAATGTCTACAAAGGTCACTAGTTCAAGGTATTTGATTAGAAAAGGCATAGACTATTACTTGGGAAAATACGCTAGAAACACATTTCTTCAGTGGATACCCTTGTATTCGATGATTTCATTTAGAGACGACATCTCGTATTCTGAAGCGATCGCAATTGAAAAGAGACAAGAAAATATTCTTAATTTGTTTCGCAATGGTACATTGGGGTTTATGGCTATTTATTTTATTGCTAAGGGCCTTCAATACTGGGACAAATTAAGGAGGAACTAAGATCTTTTATATTATTATTATGTAACTAATCGTAATGTACGTTCAATTTCGGTGTTTATTTCATGTTCTTGAATCGGGCCACCAAGATTCCTCTTCTTGTGGGGTGTAGGTGTCGCATATAGTTCTCCAATATATACCCACAAGTCATGGGGGACAGACCAGGAAGATTAACACAATCTCCTTAGTGCGCTCAAGTTTGTCGCAGAGCCCTATTACTTCTTCTGCTCTGGCTGAATTCTGCCTATGTCCGTGGGGAGTCTTTGGTTATCACTCATCCCCACTATGGTATTTCTTTAAGTGCTCAATGTTGATTACCCGATGTTTCTTTGTCGTACTTGGAAGATGTACTGCGTATTCATTCTAGTTAATCTGATTTACCACGCTGAACGGGCCAAAATCCAATATAATAACGCCCATGCACCAAAGAAGATGAACAAAACAATAGCCAAGACTTTTTTGACTACTCTCTTCTCTCCATGGGATCATACTTGTCGCTCATTTTGTTAGATAATGAAAACAATTGATATAATTATGGTCAGCCTTGAAAGGTATTCAATCAAAACTCCGGTAGTGCTTTGATCAAAATAAAACACACCAGAAAATTTTTTTTTGAGTCCTAAAAGTTGGAGAAGTACTTTGCCATCAAGTAAAGATCGTACTTAATCTATGGTTAGGGGGAAATTGTAATTGAATTGAGTTCCAACTTTAAATCATAAACTTCATTTGGGAACTTGTACTATAATGCGCTCTGTTGTTATAAGGAGCTCAAAGTTAGCTGCTTCAAGAGGAAGTGTTAAATTTCAACCATTTCGATTTTTTCATATATCCCCATCTTATTTCAACCAGAAACCACAGTCTCCATTAAAAGTCTTTTTTGACACTTTTAAAGCAGAGGTAAAAAAATCGGGTGAGCTAAAGGAAAATATTAAAGCATTACAGGATGAGACAGGTAGAGTTGCAGATTCTGATGCATTTAAAAAGGCGAAAGAAGCATATGATCGTGCTCAGAAAGGAAGCTCTGCCGCTGGTAAAGTTGTAAAGAAAACAGCGGGAGCGGTTGGCTCAGCAGCGGCGAAAGCCTGGGACTCTCCTGTTGGTGTGGGCGTTCGTACAACGGTGAAAGCGGGTGCCGATGCTGCGGACAAAGCATTTGATCCTGTGAGAAAGACACAGGTGTATAAGGATGTGTCAGATGTTATTGATGATGGGTCCTCAACGTCATATGGTGGGTTTTTGACCAAGGAGGAAAGACTAAGATTAAGGCAAAAGGAGTTGGCTGAAAAGATGAGAAAGGGGAAAGCATTTAAACCAGTGAAAGAGAACGAAAATGCGGGTTACGAATTAGTAGCTACTGACAGTGAGCCTACCGGTCCATCAATTGGCGAGAAGTGGGAAAGTTTCAAGGTGAGATCTCCTTTAGGACGCGCAATCGTATATTTAAGAGAGAAATGGGAGGACTCTGAGAATGGACTTATTGCTCTCATAAGAACGATATTCGAAAAAGTTACAGGATTTTTTGCAGAAACAGAACAAGCTAAAGTTATTAAGCAATTTAGAATGATGGATCCTTCTTTCCGTCTTACGGATTTCAATAAGACACTCACTAATTACATCGTTCCCGAATTATTAGATGCCTACATCAAGAACGATCAAAAGGTCTTGAAAGAATGGCTTAGCGAAGCTCCTTTCAATGTCTGGCAGGCGAACAATAAGCAATTTGTTCAGCAGGGATTGTTTTCGGATGGAAGAATTCTCGACATTAGGGGAGTAGACGTTGTGACTTGCAAAAACCTACAACCAAACGATATCCCTGTTATTGTTGTGAGCTGCCGTGCACAGGAGATTCATTTATATAGAAAGGCACAAACGGGAGAGATTGCAGCAGGTACTGAAGACCATATCCAATTAAGTACATATGCAATGGTTTTAACCAGAGTTCCCGAGGAGATAGATAACAAAATAACGGAAGGATGGAAGGTCCTTGAATTCGCTCGTGGTGGATCGAGGCCCTTCCATTGATATGGCCCTCTAAAACTGCTTATTATAACAAAAATTGTACATACTTTACTTACATAGTATAACTTAAATACAGACTAACGAATGATTTTGTGTAATATGCCTGATTAACCACACGTCGATTTATTTATTGAATTCGAGTATCATTCATTAGAAAAAAAAAAGAGAAATATTCATCAAGAACTTTTTGGAACTCTAAGGCAATGTCTGATACTTTAGCGACAAAAGATGAGGCCGCAAAGGTGTTTAATCGATTAAGACAGGATCCTGTCAATCAAGTTTGCTTTGATTGTGCCAATAAAAATCCGACTTGGACATCCATTCCTTTCGGAATCATGTTGTGTTTAGAATGCTCCGCAGTACATAGAAACCTTGGAGTTCATATCTCTTTTGTGAAGTCATCGAATTTAGACTCATGGCAAAGGATTCAACTAAGGCATTTCAAGTTCGGAGGTAATAGAACTGCTAAGGAGTTTTTTTTAAAGCATGGGGGATCTCAATATATCAAAAATGATGTTGATGCACATACTAAATATACATCGCCGGTTGCGACGAAGTACAAGGAAAAATTAAAACATAGGGCTCAACAAGATGCCTTGAAACATCCGGACGAAGTCACCTTAGATGATATTAATGATGATAATTCGTTAGGAGGGTCCAGCTCGAATGCATCAACTGATGACTTCTTTTCGAACTGGACAAAGCCAATAAACTCAACACCGTCTCCCCTATCTTCAAAAAATGCAACACCTAGTGCATCTGCCGAGGATTTAACGTTAAAGAAACCCGTCCGTTCTGCTATAACCTCGTCTAGGTTGAAGAATAACAACGCGACAGCAAAGAAGTCGATATTATCATCAAAAGGCAATGGCCCTAAAAATTCCAGGTTAGCGGCCAAGCGCATAAATAAAGTAGATTCTGAACAAATTGATTTTGATGAAATAGAAAAGAAAGCGAAGTTGGAAGCGGAAGAAGCAAAGAAACTAGGCTATAATCCCAACACAGAAATAGAAGAAGAGACAAAGATCGCAAAGCCGATGGAACGTCTTAGTTTGTCTTCTTCAAAAGAAGAAATTAAATTGGCAAAACCAATTAAAGAGACACCACAGCAATTCCAGAGATTAGGGTTTGGAATGACTCAAGGAGCAAATGTTACATCCGCTCCGTCAAAGAAATACCAAGACGTGAAATATACCGGTGAAGTGACAGATAAGTTTGGAACTCAAAAGGGTATCTCATCAGACGAATTTTTTGGCAGAGGACCCCGTTTTGATGAGCAGGCGAAGGAGGAAGCGAAGACTAAGCTACAAGCCTTCAATGGTGCTAATTCGATTTCTTCTTCATCTTATTTTGGTGAAGATGAAGAAGCAAAACAGCATGGACGTCTGAACTCAGGCAGTTTCAGAGACCTCGAGTCATCTGCCCGGGATTTTGCTTCGAAGTTCTCGGGTAATGCCAACCAAGACTTGGATGTCTTAAAAGATGCCTTGGAGGATGGAGCGAACAAATTAGGCTCCTACTTGAGAGATTTTTTGAGATAAATATCTGGTACAGTAACTATCATTTAAAAAGTGCAGGAAACCTTTCCAAACTAGGTAGACTTTTATAGTTAATATTACATCTTAGTTGTGATTATGCGCAAATCAAAAAATAAACCGGAAGTACCGTGCTCTATATGGTTAGCAGTTGATGACGTAGCTGCACGGCTAATGCTTTGGGTTAGTCTTCAGAAAGCTGTTGAAATGTTCAATCGTGTGGTTTTATTTTCGTTACTTAATAGTTGAACAAATGAACACTTCGAACTTTACTTATTCGTGATTACCCAACCTATCGCATGAATGAAAACCCTAGCAGTGAATATGTATCCTCAAGTCACGTGGATATCGGTTAAATGGACTTTACCTCATAAAGAATATTTGAAAACCGGAACATGCAGATGATACCCGGGAGCGACGATCACGCCCCATTATCACCCCACGTAAAGTGAAACAATATATCTTTTAATTGTCATGTTTGCACTTTCCTTGAAACTAAGCTCTCAAAAAATATATAGTAGATATTAAGATTAGTAACAGATCGTTTTATCAATTCTTTATTTTTTCTATTCAAGTTCAGTTGCCAGCAGTTGCTAGCAAGAACGTGAAGGCGCTTTAGCCGCTTTTAGTCCAGCCCTCCAGATTAAATTCACTGGTCAGCGCGCAGTAATGCAATTGCGGTCGAGAAACTTCGGCAAGGATTCTGGATTTCAAGCTGTGATTGGCACTGGCTAGACTTTGCTACCCGAACACAAATTGCAAATGCTCTAATGTTAGATCATGCGCTTGGTTTCCAATAGCTCTCGGATGCTTACTCAGCTCTGCTTCTTGTACTGCTCTGAAGGACACATAGAAAGTATCATAATTGATACCTCTTAATTTAAGTTTAAATAACTACTCCATTCGAACTTTTGATATATTTCTTGACGGAACCCCACTTGTCGGTGTTTTGTACATACTTAAAAGATGAATATCAAAGGCGGAAAAATAGTAATGCAGAAAACTACCCCTCCCTCTGGAAGCGAAGACAGGAAGCACTTTCTTGTTATTGGGATGCTCAAGGCAAGGATTCGAGCTCTTGAAACTTTGCCCAGGATGTTGCTTTTCAGTTGATTATATATAACTGAATCTAGCGGTAAGCATGCGTCTTTCTGCCTTCTTCGAGACTTTGCTCGGACTACCTGTTGTCGCATAAATTGTGGCCGGAATTACCGCTTCATGTTTTTTTTCTCCTTTAGCAACCCAAACCTGGGGAAAGGTATAAATAAGGAAGAAAATGATGATCAATAAACCATAAAAAGCCATAAATTCGCGTGGCTATAAATTCACTGAGTCTGCCATTAGTTTTAAGATATCTCAAAATTTTAAAACTAAATATTTAAAGAACAGCTGGGTACAACTTAAAATAGTACAGTAGCAGACATGTCGGACCAACAAAAGATAGAGGCTGGTCAAGATGTCGGTTTGTTTGAAAGGACTAGTTCTTCTTCGAGCGCTGGAGAGAAGTATCAGAATAACTCTGACTTAGAATCTAATATTTCTCGAGAGAGAGAAGAAGGTGAAAGAGACAACATATTGTCACAGTATACGGAGAAACAAGTTATGCAAATGGGGAGAAACTATGCAACTAAGCATGACTTGGATCCTGAGTTATTTGCTAGAGCTGCTGCGTTAGCTAGGAGCCCGAACGCCTTCAACTCAATGGAGTTCTTAACAGATAAGGAAAAAGAAGGCTTACATAAAGAAGTGACGAACAAATGGCATGTTCCACCCAAGCTATTCTTGGTTATCGCTTTAGGATCCTTGGCTGCTGCAGTGCAAGGAATGGATGAGTCGGTGATTAACGGTGCAACTTTGTTTTATCCCACGGCATTTGGCGTTGACAAGTTGGCTGAACCCGATTTAATCGAAGGTCTAGTCAATAGTGCACCTTATTTGTGTGCGTCATGTATAGCATGTTGGTTGACTGACTTCTTCAACAAACATTTGGGTCGTAAGTATACAGTGTTTTGGACTTGTTTAATCTCAGCAGTTACATGTATCTGGCAAGGGTTTGTTAATAATTGGTGGCATTTATTTATTGCTAGATTCTTCTTAGGGTTCGGTATAGGTATAAAATCTGCAACTGTACCAGCTTATGCTGCAGAATGTACCCCAAAGAATATTAGAGGAGCTTTGGTTATGTTGTGGCAATTTTTTACTGCCGTCGGTATCATGTTTGGATATGTTGCTTGCTTGGCTTTTTACTATGTCCCAAAGAAGAGTTTTGGAACTGGACTTAATTGGAGATTGATGTTGGGATCTGCTTGCATTCCAGCCATCATTGTTTTGGTGCAGGTCCCTTTTGTCCCTGAATCACCAAGATGGTTGATGGGTAAGGGTAGACACAAAGAGAGCTTTGAGTCTTTGAGCAGTTTACGATTAGAAAGGATTGCGGCTGCAAGAGACTGTTTCTATCAGTACGTTTTATTGCAAGAAGAAGGTTCTTATGATATGTCATTCTTGAGAAAAATTATAGAGATGTTTAAAGTAAGAAGGAACAGAAATGGTGCCCTTGGTGCTTGGATTGTGATGTTTATGCAGCAATTCTGTGGTATAAATGTTATCGCATACTATTCAAGTTCTATATTGATTGATGGTGGATTTTCGACACCTTCAGCATTACTTGGATCCTGGGGTTTCGGTATGATTAATTTCATATTCGCTATTCCAGCATTTTTAACAATTGACAGATTTGGAAGGAGGAATTTGCTATTGATTACGTTTCCTTTAATGGCTGCGTTTTTATTAATGACTATGGGAGGCTTCTTCATTAGCACGAACGCTAAGAGTGCTAGGATAGGAGTTATCATCACGGGTATATACTTGTTCGCATGTGTGTATTCTTCCGGAGAGGGCCCCGTGCCTTTCACTTATTCTGCTGAGGCCTTTCCTTTGTATATCAGAGATATCGGAATGAGTTTCGCTACTGCTACTTGTTGGTTTTTTAATTTTATTTTAGCTTTCACATGGCCAAAGCTTAAGACCGCATTTAAAACGAAAGGTGCCTTCGGATGGTATGCAGCATGGAATATAGTGGGATTTTTCTTAGTCTTATGGTTCTTGCCGGAGACCAAAGGGTTGACATTAGAGGAATTAGACGAGGTTTTTGCGATTAGCACAATGGATCATGCAAAATGGCAGACTCGCAATTTATTCAACAACATTAAAAAATACGTCTTGCGTAGGGAAGTTGAGCCTCTACCACCATTATATGGTCACCAGAGATTGGCAGTTACCCATCCCGAGTGGAATGATAAGACTGAAACTTCTCACGTTGAGTAGACTGTAAGAAAAGAGAAAATTTCATTATCCATTCATTTCTTCTTATTTAGAAACATAAACTTATTGTACTTAATACATAGCTCTTAATCTTTAGGATACATGAAAATAATTTGTCTTCTTATTCATTGCTTATAAAAGTACTACTTTATTGGGCGCCCGAACCTTGAAATCTTATCGAACAATATGTCTAATTCTTGCTATGTTGCTTATGAAGTGCACATTATTAATATACATATATGATTGTCGGTGCACAGAACTACTGTGCGATGGGACATTTTCTTAAATATTCAGCTTTATTTTTCAATATTCTAACAGACTTGAAGAATATTTCTTCTGGTGACATTGCGCCTGTGGATTCAACGTTGAAAATAAAATGGTCTCTCTTTCTAGCAAGCTTTACCTTTCCATCAAACTCAGGGTGCCTCAAGACCTCCCTTGAAACAGTGTCTCTTCTTGGATCCTTGACAAACGCATTACCATTATCATCTATTCCGATAACACCAGAAGGAAAGCATTCTTTAAGTTTGAGCGCGGAGGCACCACTGATTTTCTGAGATAAACTAATGACAGGCATCAACCTATATGAAGCTGTAGCGACTGGAGAGAACTTTGCATGATCACTTCCAACCCCAAGAATGCAATGTGCTCTTAATGAAATTTCTTGACCGGGCCTCAATTTTGCAATCAAGATATTTGGATCAGTTGGAACAACAGGCGAGTCTTTGAAAAGTTCCTGCTGTCTTCCTTGGGGCTCGAATTTCAAGTCTCTAGCATAAATGTGAGCATTGCGATACAAATCCTTTGGATCAGTTGATTTTTTTGGAGGGTGGGGATTTTTCGAACAAGTCACATCTAAAGTCAAAACAATTGTGTTTTCATCAGTAAATTTATCTTTTTCATCTTGTGAGCTATCGACCCATGTCAATAAATCTGGATCGACTTTCAACGGTATTAAACCAATTCTATGAGCTAAAACTTCATCCTGAATGACACTAGTATTGTTAAAGATATAAACTGTTTCCGCGGCTACTGATGGGACCTCAGATATCATAATTCGGCGAAATGCATTTGCGATTGAGGTATCTATATGAATAAGATCAAAATTCGCCGTTCTTTCAGTTATGTACGATATATCGATCTCCAATTTGTCCTTAAACTTCTCAATATCCCATGCATAATCTGTACTACCAGCGTAACCTGGGAAGTCAGTCGAGGAGGTATTTGTAACCCGATTGTACTCTATCCCAACTAGGTTATCACTCATCTTTTCAATGTTTTCACAAATAAATGATTACAAAGTATCGGGCATCGAATGGTGATATTTTTTTTTTCCCTAGCTCTCTTCTAGTAATAACGTGCACGTGACTACTATAATGACAAGTCCTATAGCAGACACCACTTAATAAAGACCCGTACCGTTAACTCTCCGTGGCATCATGGTTTATACTTCTCGATGAGTCAACAAATGGATTAGAAGATAATTGATTATAATCAAGCCTTTCACCATAATTCCAAACTTTTTTAATATCACCAAGCAAATCCATCGTGACTAAATTTACGTCTCCACTATATCCATCTTCCTGTAGTATTATTTTATCGGTTTCATATCCATACGAGCTAGTGTCTGGGGATTTGAGAAGCTCAGGCATATCTACCACGCACATAACGTTATGATAGAGTAGTTGAGCCAAAAGTATCGCGACGTTAATTACGACTAGAAGAAAAAATGACGGCAGTTCTCCTATAAACTGGACAGAAAGCCCGCCATGTAACGTATCTCTACCTCCAGAGTAGGATCCTCTGCGTAATATGTGAATTGCAAAACATATGGCGTTAATTATGAATATCAGAATAAGTAAATGTCTCGTCATCGCCCTCTTTCTTTCTTCTGTTAGCAAGCCGGCCGTAATAAATGGATTTGACAAACAGTATTGATTAAAAAACCGTAGTATTAGAAGTACAGAAGAGTTGTCCTTAAGATATGCAATAACAATCAATAAGTATCCGAGGACTTTAATTAAATGCTTGAGATCATCAAAGAAGAGCTTCTTGCGTGTATAAATTATAGATCGGTTATTCTTAGTAGTTTCTTCCACAGACGGATACCTCTGACTCTCAAACTGCTGCAATTGGTCTTCTATACTAAAAGCTGGAGCCATCTTATACCTAAGATACTCCGTAACTAGATGATACAGTCTGATATATATAACGATAAAAGCCTAGTTTAAAGAGAGATCACGTGATTATATATTAGAATGGAGTAAATCTATTAAAGAATTTCGAGTGACTCGATCAAGTCGTCGCCCAACAACTTTATTTGACTCATTATGGCGTCTTTGTTGATTATTACATCATCATCACCACCTGATGTAAAAGGCTTAACATTTATTCCCAATGTTGGTTTTAATTTCTTTTCCGAAGAAGATGTCGGAACAAACACACCAGTAACAACATTGGATGAGTCCTTGGCTAAACTAGAAAACTTCTTTGTAGAAAACAAGATCAAATTCCCAAATTTTCTATTAAGATCATTGACGTATCCTTGAACAAGGTCATACGTCGTTGATATATCGCCAGGAAAAGAACTAAGAACCCCTATCAAGTTTTTGAAACTATTAGCAGGTAAAATTCCCGAAGAGGCAACTAAATCGCTACCTTTGGTGGTTATAACAAAATCATAGTCTTTCAATGCTGGGGTAAATACCAAATCTATTGTTGACTCATTAAATCCTTTCTCGCCGATTAAATGCATTGCCAGTCGTGCCAAAGCGGTTAATCTTGTAGCTATGGGCAAAGATAAGTCATTTGACCATAAAATACCAGAAGGGTCATCTTTAGAGCCAACGAATAGCTGAGTCTTTATCCCGCTTGGATCGTTTTTGCGTATTTTTTCAAAATTCAGTTCGATCACCCTATGGGCCTGGATTGTCAACCTATCACTAAGCTTATCAGAAAGAACTTCTTCAAATTCCTCATTTCGTCTAGCTAAATCCAAAATCAATGGCTCTTCCTTCCAATTCCATCGCGAAAGAAAATTCAATATTTGCAAAAATCCATTCTCAGGAGAGTGAGGAGTTGAGTATGGAGCAGGGTCCACAAATGGTTTAAGGGCAATTAGCTCCACAAGCTCGTCAGAAAAATGATGAAGTAACAATTGAGAGTCGAGCCACTGCTTGAAAATTCTAACGCAAGGAGAGAAAAAAGCAAAATGATGAGCTAATAAACTCACTGTTCTTGTGTGTTTTATGGAACCAATATAAGTACGGTAAAATCTCAAATAAATCTCTTGCGCTAAGGCTCTCTGCTTCTGTGCATTATCAATCGCTCTTAAGTATAAAATTTCATCTCTTTCAGTCAATACTCTGATCTTGAACCCAAATCCTTCCGGAGTTAAAACGTTGAGCGCAGTTGCTTTTTCATTGAATGGAATCGATTCATCTTTTGTGAGAAATGGTCTGTAAACTGTATCCTTGAGAAGAAAATGGGCAATCTTTAACAAGAATGCAGACTTGATATCTTCCAAGGCAGTCAATTCGTCTGGCCATTTACTTGATATTTCAAATTGTAATACAGCATCATTCCAGAAGTCTGGATTAGAGGATGCGAAAGGAACAGGTTGCAACAAGGAGGAGTATCGCATAGAAACCGAAACTGGTAAAAGTGATTTGACTTTTAGCGGTAACTCTAAAGAACTTATTATCTTTGATAAATTTTCAAAGGAGCCTTTCAAGGTCACAAAACTATTTAATGACGTGACATGACTTAAAGCAGCAGGCAATAATGGAGTTGGTAGTCTATTTCTCAAGATAGATGAATTCGTCAGCAAGTACAGCGAAGAATTAGGGCATAAATGAAGATCTAGTACATATTTCACAATAGATATTATAATGGGCTCATTATCTTTTACAGTCCATACAACACAATGCTGTATCGAACCATCCTTAAATCTCCTCAAAGACGCCATATTGCCCCAGAAAATTTTGAATTTCGTTCCAAGTTCTTCATTGTCATTAGCAGGTCCCTTCGTGACTAATTTTTCGCACTCTTCGGGATTCAACTGTAACCCAATTGTAAATTTATGTCGACTATCATAAGGCTTCCTTTTGGAAAGAGGAAAATTTCCTTTGTTTTTTATATTCTTGATAGATATTAATGAAACCCGATGCGCTAGAGCACTATGCAATATCAGATATAGTTTGTGCTTGAAGAAATTCTCAAACGTAATGAAGGAAATTTTTTCGAGCGGTCCAAATCCCTCATACATTTCCTCAGGTGCTTCTATGTCTAAGACCATATCAAACTTCATTTGGTCTTGATCGGATTTTTGAAGCAATATAGGGTCAAATCTATCTTTAACGACGTCATTTAATAGCATGAGTGTTTCTGCCGCTTGCTTCTGTAACAGCTGATACGATGAACTCGTCATTTTCCAGAGTACATTTAATCGAATATTCCGATCAAATACCGTTGGAACATTAAAATCAGTATCAGCATGATATTTCGAAGTAGGGGCCCCTTCTATCTTACTAGAGAATGAAAGGTAGCCGGAGCGTAGATCCATTGTTGCCAAATATTTTATTGTCCCTTTAAATAATTGATATGAGGAAAAGCCATGTAATAATATCTTATTTCCACTTATACCTCCTCCATTCAATAATGCTGCCATAATAACACTGAATTCAAAATGGCCAAACCCACCAGAGTTAAACAGGGAACCAAATCCTCTGTGTTGGGACCAGAGTTTTCCTAATATACAAGCATCTTTGAAAAATTCTGTCGACTTTTTTGCAGCATAAAGATACTTGAGATAATGATCATAAGATGACAGAGAGAGTATAGATGAGTTGTAAATAGGTGTTGGAGGAAGATTGGAAGACTCATGCTGGACTCGAATACAATTCCTATCTGGCAATAACTTCTTTGAGTCGAAAAATCCGCAAGGAAACCCGACAAGAAGCTTAATCGAAAATCTTGTCTTGGAGAAGCACAAGTCTTCTGGATTAGAAGTTTCGATACTTTCTAACCGTATCACAGGACACAAAACATCATCATTCAAGAATTCATACGTCATTTTGACAGGTAAATGGTTTTTCTTTGTCAATGAAATAAGGTTCTCGACCAAATAGGCAACGTAGAAAGCTCGCTTGTAGAGAGCCCTATAGTTAAGATAATCCTTAGGTTGAAGTAAAGTTCTCGGCATTGTTAAAGCGAGATCAATAGACATTCCTTCCTTCAGAAACGTTCCAGTCTTCAACCCAAAAGATCCCACAAGAGAAATGTCTTCAGGTGGTAAATAAGAAAAAGAATAATTGAGTTTTGAAGGTTTGGGGTCTGGAAATGGAATGACGACCTTCTTTGAATTGAAGTGGTGCTCTGCCTGTGACAAAGTCAAGTTTTCCAAAGGAGGGATTTTGGATATGATTCCATGCAATGCCCGCAAAGCTTGCTCAGCCCTTGCGACATAGTGATCTTTAAATTTTAACTCTTTGATAAGCTCATCGATCTGAAGTTTGAAAATATTAGACTTGAATAATTCTGCAGTTTCTCTAGCGACTTGAATGTCATGTGCGGAGAGTTGAGCTTTTTGCTTCTTTGCTTTAGGTTCTTTTTCTTCAAATTCCTCAGCTTCATCTTCTTCATTATCCAGAAAGCCATCAAATATTTCTTCTTCTTCAGGTTCTTCTCCATCTTCAACTTTTTCAACTTTTGAATCTTTCTCTTTTAGCGAATCGTCTTCATATGCCTTTGAGTGCAAAATTTTCCCATTCTGTTTTCTCTTCACCATATTATAGAGATTTTTCAAACGAATAAGCACGATATAAGTAAGAAACCTCACTCTTCAGCACCGTTACTTCTGCTCAACTTCTTTCATAGATTTCTGCTCAAAGTGCGATAATCACACGACCTTAGCGATGCTTCATCGAGTACTGCACACTTGCTCAATATACGTCGTAGCTGTAGTGGAGACTATAGCTCACAGTTCTTTTCAATAAACTTCAACTTCAACTCCTTTCTTTTCTTTTCTTTTAAATGTTATATTCAGAGCAATTAGGTATCCCAGGCACGGATTCAAAAAGATGGAGATTACATGTTGACGAACTCGGAGGGGAAACATGGCACTACTTGGATCTAACTGATGCGGAACGAGAGCCACAGACTAATTTTGTGAAGTATTTGTTGGAAACAGACGACTTCCCTAGGCCAAAAGCTGAAGTTTTGAAAACGCCAAAAGACTCTCTTAACAAAGGAGCAGAGTTTCTTGAACTTTTGCAGGATGATTCAGGGATTTTTCCTTGCCAGTATAAAGGCCCGATGTTTATGACGATTGGATATGTCATTGCAAACTACTTTACTAAGAATGTAATTAGCGAGCCCTATAGAAACGAGATGATAAGATATATTGTGAATACTGCGCATCCTGTTGATGGGGGATGGGGGTTGCATTCAGTAGATAAATCGACATGCTTCGGAACCACAATGAATTATATTGCATTGAGATTATTGGGTCTTGACGCAGACCATGAAGTATGCATTAAAGCACGAAAGCAGTTACACAGATTAGGTGGAGCGTTAGGAAATCCACACTGGGGGAAAGTATGGCTCTCAATTTTAAACTTGTATGAGTGGGAGGGCGTCAATCCAGCACCACCTGAGATGTGGTTACTTCCTTATCTGTTTCCCATACATCCAGGAAAATGGTGGGTTCATACAAGGGCCATATATCTACCTGTGGGATACTTGTCGGCTAATAGAGTAAAATGCCCTTTGGATCCTCTTTTGAAGAGTATTAGAAATGAAATTTATTTGGAAAAGCAGCTTCCATATGAAAGCATCATCTTTGGAGAAAATAGAAACAATGTATGTGGGGTTGATTTATATTATCCTCATACCAAAATAATGGATGCATTAAATTGGGTTATTGTAAAATACGAAAAGTATTTACGGCCAAAATGGTTATTGAAGTACACAAATAAGCAAGTTTACGATTTAATTGGTAAGGAATTTTATAACACCGATTACTTGTGCATTGCACCCGTGAATTTTGCATTCAACATGATCGTAGCATATTTGGAAGAAGGCTCTAAATCTGAGACTTGGAAAAAACTAACTAACAGAATGAACGATATTTTATTTCATGGCCCTCAAGGAATGACTGTAATGGGTACAAATGGTGTCCAAGTTTGGGATGCTGCCTTTATGGTGCAATATTTCCTTGTAGCTGGCCTCGGTGAAGACAAGAAGTTTCAAAGTATGATCAGAAAGGCTTTTAAGTTTTTGGTAAGATCTCAATTTGACAGTGAATGTGAGCCTGGTAGCTTTAGAGATAAGAGAAAAGGTGGCTGGCCATTTAGTACTAAGCCACAAGGGTACACTGTTAGCGATTGTACAGCTGAAGCTATGAAAGCTATAATTATGGTTAGGAACCACCCATTATATGCGGACCTTCGTGAAGAAATAACTGACCAGCGATTATATGAAGCGGTAGATGTTTTGCTTACATTACAGAATACTAAGAGCTTTGAGTTTGGATCATTCTCAACATATGAAGTAATTAGGGCTAGTCCATTGCTTGAAAAATTAAATCCGGCAGAAGTTTTTAACAACATAATGGTCGAATATCCTTATGTTGAGTGCACGGACTCCTCAGTGTTAGGTTTGACATATTTTTCCAAATATTATCCGAATTATCGCTCCGATGAAATAAATTTCGCCATTGAAAATGCAATAAAATATATAATGAAGGCTCAAAACAAAATCGACGGGTCATGGTATGGGTCATGGGGTATATGCTTTACCTATGCTTCAATGTTTGCACTTGAGGCTCTTTGCTCTGTTGGATTAGTATATTCGAATTCTGATAATGCTAGAAAAGGCTGCGATTTTCTTATTTCTAAGCAGCTTCCCGACGGCGGATGGTCGGAATCTATGAAGTCTTGTGAAACTGGCACTTACGTTAATGCTCACAAATCCTTAGTTGTACAATCGGCGTGGGCAATAATTGGTTTACTATTAGCTGAATACCCTGATAAGGAATCTATATCGAAGGGCATTCAATTTTTAAGGTCTAGGCAATTGCCTACTGGTGAGTGGAAATTTGAAGAAGTCGAAGGAGTATTCAATCATAGCTGTGCAATTGAGTATCCATCTTATAAGTTTCTATTCCCCTTAAAGGCCATTGGTCTATATATCAACAGATATGGCAACCTGTAACTTGGCGGGATCCAAAACTTAGTTGACAGTAAAATGTGTCATGGATCCAATTTTAAATTTAAAACGGTATTAAAGAAGTAACTGCTCCAGAATCCGTCTAGTCAATACTAGAACTAAGACTTATCATTCATCTTACTGTATATTTATATATATATAGATATCAGATCGAACTAAGTTCTAGGCTCTAATAACAATGTTCCTAAGGGGATGTCAGAATGACCTTTACCCAACGCAAATACTGAATTTCCTCTTACAATTGTTTCCATGACTCTCCCTTTAAATTCCATACCATCATAGGCTGTTAACTTATTCTTAAAAAAAGTTTTGTAGTTTTGTACAACGTAATTTACGTCTGGATTAAATAATAAGAGATCGGCATCATACCCAACGTCTATTTTACCTTTTCTATGCTCTAACCCCACTTGCTTGGCTGTATTAAGTGAACACCACTTACTTATCTCCTGCAATGTCACAGGAGGATCAAGTTTGGTTCCTTCGGTGTATAAAATTGGCAATCCAAACCCAACAGATGAGATACCCCCCCAAGCAGAGAAGAAATCACCTTTGTCCAAACCTTTAAGTTCTGGAGTGCAAGGTGAATGGTCTGAAACAACAGTGGTTATAATGTTATTTCTTAAGGCTCTCCATAAGAGCTTCCTGTTATCGTCTGTTCTAATAGGGGGACAACATTTAAAATGAGTTGAACAACTTGAAATTTTCTCTGCGCTTAACGATAAATAGTGAAAACACGTCTCAGCTGTGATTGGCAAGTTTCTAGACTTTGCAGCTCTTATGAGAGGAATAGCCTCATGTGTTGCTAGATGAACTATGTGCAATGGTACCGTGGGTATTTTTGTTGAGCAATGTATGATTTCTGCAATTGCTGTTGTCTCAAAATTATCTGGTCTTGACGCCAAGAAGGTAGCATAAGACGTTGCATCGACATTTGCCAACGTAGAATCTTCTTGCTGAGCTAAAAGTAAAGGAGTATCAAATGAGCTGTCATCCTTATATAGTTGATCTTCACGCATTGCTTCCACAAATGGAGACAGATCATACTTTCTGTGAGCTATTCTAGCATACTTACCAAATCTCGGTTCCGATGCTGCTAAAATTGGAGACTTTGCTAATGCTTTAGCTTGTTCATCGCTTAAAACATTATGATCGATAGATCCTGCATGGTTATGAGGCAATCTGCAATGTTCATGTTCATCATCATGGCCACACTTCGAAGAGTTCAATAAGTCCACAACGGGCTTTGGGGCTCTATTAATGAAGGATGCCGACATCCCTAAGCTAAATTCATCAAGATCAGTACTCAAGGCTTTAAGCTTATCATCAGTATGAGTCTTTGCAGTGCTCAAGGAATCTCTAGCCACTGAAGCCAGTGATCGATCTTTAGTGGTTTGAGAGGAACTCTCATCCTTCAAGGTTCTAGTCGAGCTATCTTCATCTTCATCAGCTAGTGAAAAATTAGCTCGCTTTTCATTTACCACTAGTTTAGGACTGGTATTTGCACTTTCTTTTACAGTGAGTGCCGGCCCTTCATTCATATTGGGTTGCATCTCAGCGTGAAACATGAGTAATGTGGATAAATTCTCAACTTCTTTCATAGCTTGCAATATGTAATTCCCATCGATTGCTGGAAACTCTTCAACTCCACTGTCAATCAAAAATCCTTTAAAACCCCTAACACCCATAGAGATTAAAGGTTTCAACGACTCCAAGTTATCAGGAACCAAACCTCCCCAAAACCCAACGTCAACCCAAGTTTGACCTTTCGCAGCACAAATTTTAAGGTTAAAGTTGGCAACAGTGGTTGTAGGCGGTATGGCGTTCAATGGCATGTCAATAACCGTAGTGACACCACCCGAAGCTGCTGCTTGAGTTCCAGTTGCAAAACCTTCCCATTCAGTTCTTCCAGGCTCGTTTAAGTGTACATGCGCATCGACAATCCCAGGCATAATTACTAAAGGTGTAACATTTCGGTAATCTTTTGGCAATACATTATAAAGCCTCAAGAGTGGATCACTTTTTTGCAATACTTTTCTTTCGATTTGTAATATTTTCCCAGATTCGATAGAGAATATCAAAGTTGCAGGAATGATTTCATCACCAATCAACACTCTTGTGGAAGACAAAGCTCTAGACATAGTCACTTCTAGATTCGTCTAACAAATGATCTAGCTATAGCACTGATTACTCTTGGGTAGTTTGACTAAAAGTTTTTGAATTCTTCCTCCTCTTACCAGTTAATATCTATAATACTCCTCAACTTCCGGAGAACCTGATGTGGAGAATATTATTACAGAACCACTTTTTAACCGCAGATTCAAATGAGCAGCAGACGCTACTGATAAGAATAGTTTTTTTTTCAGTCTCGGGCATCTCCTGCGGAACCGGCTAACCGCTTAATCGTTTTAGTTAGCAGCCTGTGCTAGTCTTTCTCAGGTGACATATACTATGTGCAGGTCCATCGGAATTAACCGGGCCATAATAGGACTATAATTTTATTTGTGAATCGAATCGATCTACCACAGAAAGTGCTTTCTACATAAAGCTAAAATATTCAAAAATTGTTTGCATAGTTTTATTATATCATATGTATACGTAAATAAAATTAATAGGTTATCAACTGCTTTCCCTTCTTGGAGTTCTGAACACCTTCTACATATATCTCACTCAAGGATTTAGACCCGTCAGAACTAAAATGACTCTCATGGGACGGAGCATCTTGAAGTTTTCCGGACTCGTACCAATCTACAATTTGATTCAAAGTCTTAAGCTTTAAGTCAAGGTCATTCTTAAGAAGCTCAGTGACCCAAAAACCTGACGAAGTGATGTTTTTGAATATATGTAACGAGGTTGGGATGATAACTGGTTGCATGGACATACCACCATATGTCAACATGAGTCCATTTTTGTCTAACTTTCTTGCAACTCCAGTAGCATTCTTTCCACCTACACAATTCAAGGCCAATTTTATTGCTCCACCAGTTTCTTTGACCCATGATTTGATAGTTGAGCCAAATTCTTTTGAGTTATTATCCTCTTCAGTAATAACTCTAGTTGCCCCCTTTTCCTTTATCATTTCTTCAATTAATTCATCGACATTTGGCCTATCCCTTATGACAGAAATAGAATTGAAACCCAATAATTTACCCATTTGTGTAGCAAAAGTTCCTACGGCAGAATTTCCACCGTTTTGAATAAACCAATCCTTACCAGGAGTCAATCTAACAAAATGGGTAAGCATCAAGTATGCAGTGGGTGGGTTCACTGATATAGTTGCACCTTGATTAACAGTCAAACCTGGACCTTTGCCCGAAGCCTTCGATTGCTCTGGGTTTGGGAGTCTAATAAAATTACGCTCACTACCTAAGGCATGAGTCCTCCAGGTACCGAAGTTTACTGCTGCCGGAACTACCCAGTCTCCTACCTCAAACTTGCTGACACCCTGTCCAACCTTTAATACTTCAAACAATCCTTCATTACCGCAAACAGCAGATGGTTCTGCTGTACCCAATTCCGTTGTCTTCTCTGGCTTGGATGGATAAACTCCTTGGATCTGATTAATATCTGATGGATTCACAGGGGAACCGAGGGTTTTGACAATTACAGCATCATCAGCGAGATTTATATCATCGATTTCGTATTTATGAGTTTTTAAAACATCTTTTGGCTCTCCATGTTGAGAATATACAACTGCTTGAGCCGTAATCATTGTCCTAAATTGGGATAATGAAGTGAAATTTTTCGAATTGAGTCTAGTCAAACTTCTTGGAAACATCATGGTAAAAAATTTCTAATTTAAGGATGGATTTTCTTAATGATTGTGGAGAAAATTAGAAGTTTATCGGTCAGCTTATATTCTCAAACAATCGCAGCTCGAAATTCAGGAAACCGAACTTATTGCTCTACCACTTAATACACAGAATCGGCATAAGTAATTGAGTGTACGTCGGACTTAAGTTTACTTTACGTTTATTCAAAAAGGAAATATTTATTCATATCCTATCTATCATTGCTCCTTTTCGACATCAGCTAGAGACATATTCCTGTTGAGTCTTTTCATTTTCGTATTTTGAATCGTACCTAATACAAAGTACACGGCGTTAAAGAACACAACCCAAAGTTCTGCCTTTATGAAGTTCTGCGCAATCACCAACGAAACTAGTGATGTCATAACTGATGTTTTTAATATAGTTAAATAGTTGCTCTTCAAACCTTTTACAACTATAGATCTGATCTTCAGAAGCTCCGTGTGAGCATCAAATGTCTTCAAATTAGAAGGCAACTTATAATTATTTATTATAGCAACCCAACTTGTGAAAACGGCAGCCAAAGTGGGTGTGATTGTAGTTAAGGAAGTTAAAATTTGTAAGAATTTCATTCCAAAAGACAAGTTATCTCTAAAAATTTTGTTTAAAGTCCCATACATCTTGTGTGATATGGGCGTAACGATAAAACTCCCATATATTATCATTGTGAATAACTTTGGACTAAATACATGTTTGATCTCACGGTCTCGCATGTTTATTTTCTGGAAGTCTTTAGTCAACGACGATGCAATCACCTCATTTAGACCAGCTAATATTCCTGCAGTGACTGACTTCGTTAATAATGGGAACTTAGATAAGTAAAGCAAATATTGGGCATTAGCCTTTCTCAAGGTCATTTCTATCGTTTTGATGTAAATTAAATGAGTTCGTTACAATTGAATTATGCCTACTAATTTATGTTTGACAGAGCAACAATCTGAAATGTTTACACAATGTCACACATATTTTCGGGTACTCCGTGGATCGAGACTCCTTTTGGTCGCGATATCTTATCGCAGATATGATCCGGAGATGCCCTCTAATCGAGGAGTCGTTAAGGAAAGCAGGAGATGTCTCAAATAGTATTCTCCTGAGGGGGCTACTCAACAACGTGTTGTGACCAGGGAGGAAAATTTACCTGGAAAATCACACGATATCAGTTTGGTTAGCATAACCATATACTCTATTTTGACTTCTCACAGCAGAATAGTAAAATAGTAAAATATTGAAATAATAAAGTAATAACAAAGTACTATAATATGATAGTAATTTATTAGAGAAGTCATGATACAGTGCTACAAGTCATTTTCTGTAATGATTGGATTCTTTGTTTGTAGCCCCAAGCGTTCTAGCAAGCCCTTTTCGATATGCTTTCAGACATTCTTGATCAAGCTGTTTTAGAGATAAATCTCGAACAATTACAAATATGAGTTCTTAGTAGGATAGAGTTTGTTATCTTTATTTAATTCTTTTTTCGAAATCGGAATGGATCAAGGTTCCACAGCCTATTTATCTGCGACTTTGAGATGTCGCATTTTTTTTTCCATCTTTCAGATAAAGATAAACGAAAGTGCTCTTTGTACGGCTAGGTTGAAGTAATGGTGTCTCTCTCGGGACCCTTTAGTGATAGCGCCACACCATTGAGTCCTAATGAAGTTCCCAGGTCGGCAAGTCCTCACATAATCAAACCACCTACATTTCCTAATAAACAAAGATCGTCGTCTACAAATTCTATCACATCAAACCATTCTATAATCAATGCAAACAGCATCATTCAAGGGCAGGGCAACACCAGAAGAACATCTATTGTGAGTTTAGATAGTCCCAGAAATTCTATTGTGTCAATAGACGATATTAGGCCGACCAGAAACAGTAGTTTAGTGAGTTTGACTTCGTTAACAAGCCAAGCTGCAGGTACAGCTAGCTCGTCAAATGTCAATAATAACAAGCCTGTGAAAAAGCATAACAGGAGCGGTTATGGCTCAGCAGTGGTACTATCAGATGATGAATCGGATGTGGATTTAGTAAAGACTGCCTTTAGGACTCTACCTAAGACCAAAAGACGTCGCTCATCAGAAAGATCGCCAGTTGAAACGCTTGAAAATTTCAATTTTAGTTTTGACGATGAAGGTAACAGAAGCCATAATAAAAGTCCCAGGATAGTGACTTCTTCTATTGCGTCTCCTCCGTTGCTCGATGTCAACGACTTTGAACCTAGCAACACTCTCTTGCAACAAAAAGGAGGCGTCAAACATAATAAGAAAGCTACGCTAAGTCGTCTGTCTATATTTTTGAAGAAAAAAATATATTCCAAAGATTTGCAGTTGGAGCTTTTGAACCACAACTCTCATCTTAATGGTCGTGAAGCAACAGAGTCAAAATTTTTTAAGAAAAAGAATCTGCTGAATTCTAAGAATAATACTAATTACCACAGCGAATTGAGTGAAAGTTACTCTGAACTGAACAAATTGATCAATGACTTAAACCAAAAATGGAATAAGTCATCCAACGAGAGTCAAGTCGTTGACATATCCATAAACTCAAAGAAAAGATCGCGGGGATTATTCGAAGATGACACCGAATAGTAAGTTTACAAATGTGATGACGATCGTTACGAAGTGTAGTTATTTTGCTAAGTTATGTAGTATAGTGAGTTTTAATTCAAATATTGAAATATTAGAAGAGAACTTCATCCTCTTGTTTATTTTTGAGCTCTTCGAAAAATGGCAATTTAAGAATATACTTTGCAGACATTCTTTTCTTGGGATCCATTTGAAAGCATCCGTTTAGCAATTCTATTAGATTCTTGTGATCTTCGTAATTCTCTGTGTCTATTTGAAAATTATCAAAGTTATCCGGAGTACCCTCTTTGGGAGCAATTAGTTTATCCCCTTCTTTATTAAATAACTTCAAGGTATCCCAAACTACAGAGTCCTTCGGAAAGCTCTCGTTATCCCATTCGTATCGTAAAAAAATGCAAATTAGTTGAAGTATTGATACATGATCTGTCTGCATATGTTCTAAGTCTATTTCTAATCCACATCCGTGCAATTCGGCACATTTTTGTAATTTTTCGATACCAAAAACTAATGCCAACTCCAATATCGCATCGGTATCATCAGGTGAATTAAAAAGAGGAAATTTCCTCAATATAATAGAAAGTCCAATTATTCCCGCCGACCATATATCAAGCTTTGTGTTTTGATTAGTACATTTGAATAGCACTTCGGGCGCCCTAAAGCCTCTCGTTCCTGCTCTATTGGCTCTTCTAGGAGGTCTCAGATCTTGTTTCGGGTACCCACCTTTTAGACTTAATCTTTTCCCTTTTGCTATTCTTTCAGTTGACTCACAAGGACATGGATTAGAAGCTTTTTTGTTATTCTGAACCTTTTCCGCCAAACCAAAATCAACCAATACACCATGTCCTTTGAAGGGATCGTATAGAAAATTCGTTGGTTTTAGGTCTCTATGTATCACATCTTTATCATGAACAAAATCCAAAGCCTGGAATAATTCCCATAGATACTTTTTGATACCTTTTATGGGTAGGTCCCTATAAAAGTCACGGAAGTCGGAATGCTGATAATAAGGTAATATGGCTAGTACTTGGTCTTGGTAGCGTAAGACATCTAACAATGGTGCAACATGTGAGTTTCCTGTTAATATATACAAAAGGTTCAACTCATTGTGGATTCTGTTGGGAGAAGAAGTGACATATATTTGTTTTAATGCGACAATTGGATTCTTCCTTTTAGAAGCGTTCTTCTTCTTTCTGAGGGGGGGTGATCTCCAAACATCAGACCCCAATTTTATTGTACCATTTAATGCTTCTGCCTTGTATACAGTAGAGAAAGTTCCTTCGCCTATTTTGTCAATTAGTCGATAGTTCAGTGATAAAACTGGAAAATATTCAACTAATTTACTCATTTCTTCTAAGACCTCAAGCGTTACTTCATCTTCCTCATGATTTTCATTTTCAAACTGCGCTTCATCAAGCCTTCGAGTTATATATTTTGCATTTTTCATTTTTTGTTGCACATCCTTTTGATCGTCTATTCCTTTCGATGGCAGGAATGACGTCGCTTTATTATTCTTTGATGGTTTTGACAGTTTCGTATTTCTAATGGAATAAGAGCCATCGTTTTGATCTTTCACGTTTTTTTCACTTAATACTAACTTTCGGCTCTTACTTTCAGGATCAAAAAAGGGATCATCTTCACTCCTAGATGTTTTTCTTTTTCTAACCAAAGTTGACGCGTTTGCCTCAGAGTTTCTGCCCGGTGATATCCTCAGTTTTATCAACTTTATGAACTCCATCAAAATTCTTCAAGGATTATGGTGAATGAGATAGGTATCCTTTCGTTTGTTGTGGTGTTATCTTAAAAATATGGCAGCACTTTATACTGAGCGCCTATTTTTTTTCTAATGTAAATAAACGCAAATAGTTAAAGGTATGAATGTCTCTGTATATATGCGACATTTTAGGATATTTTTATTTCTATTGAAAATTTTGTTCAACTGAACATCTTAGAACTAATTTTCAAATCATAGACCAGCAAATGATTAGTCAGTACTACAAGTTTGGTGGACGTTATAGTCCTTTTTACCAGCAAGTGCGTACCTTGAAGAGAAGATTGGCATATCCACAGTCGTATAAGGCAGAGGCAGATCCTCAAACGCACCCTAAGAAAGATCACTCTAGTTTTTTCCAGAGACATTTGAAGAAATGGCTTGGCCCTATGAATATTAGAGGAGAGTATTATAGGAACAAATATTATTATCCGCCTCAAAATCATAAACCTAATTACATAGTACCTGATGGAAAAACAATCGTAGATCCATCAACTCCTGTGATCCCTGATGAAAGGAGATACAATAATACCAAGAGGGATCCGTCCCTTCAGCCTTTTCCTCAAAATCCTCATTGTCGGACTGCCTTAATGATATCAGATGAATTGAAAAATAAAATTTACGAAGAGGTGAACCTGAATGGTATGCATGTTCAGGAAGTTGCTCATAAGTATGGAATAAAAATATCAAGAATTGAAGCTATAGTCAAATTACAAAGTATTGAGAAAAAATGGAAGGAGCAGGTAAGTAATCTTTTTTTTTTTTGATCATTTTCCTTCTTAAGACAGATGTGAAATGACTTATACTTGATAACTTGAAATGATGAGATTATTTTTTAAATTCGATTAGTCTTGAAGACAAACATATGGTTAGATTTTAAGCACTGAAATCAAGTTCTCAACTGAATATAAATTCACTGACAATAAAGAATAACTTTACTAACTTTTTCGCAGGATAAAATAAGTAAGGATTTGCTGACTTTTTCCAAAGTTATGTATCGTATGTTTCCGTTATATGAACCACCAATACAGGCTGAGAATCTTACGGAGATCCCTACCCCTCTGAGGACTTTGCATCAGAGGTTTTTGACTATTTCTGAGTCAGAACCCTTTGGACCAGTTGATGCAGCCAAGTTGTTCAACTTGGAACCTGCTCAGGAAACTTTGAACAATTTGACCGAACTTCGCGACGAAGATCAATCCAATAAAGTTAAGGTTCATAAAGTCTCGTTAGGTACTGAGAAGAAAGGTGACAGAACGAACTTTAAATTCACGCACTCTAGATCAGGCAATGTTGGCTTCCGTTATGGTGCTTCAAGAAGAGATAGAAAGAAAGACAGAGCAATCGGATTTGATAGCGAAGGGCGCATGATATATTTGTAGATCTCGTTGGCCCTGAATACTAGGATTCTTGTATATAATATTCTATTAGAAGAAATTCATTCACACGGTATGGAAAACATGTAATTTTATAGGCGCACGACTCCAAAAACTAGACACGTCTGCGAAGGTATTGACAAACATAAATCGACGCAAAGTAGGTAGTGATTTTAGTAAGAGCTTTTAAGTTTACATTTTGACAATTCCTAAGAAGAAGATATGCTCTTAGCACTTTTGACATCTTTGCTAGTATTCTCTCAGTCGATCAGTGCATCTGCTTTGACATTTACGTTAGGTGCTCAAGAGAAATCATGTTTCTATATTTTCACAGAGAGACCGAAAACTCCAATCAGTTACTATTTTGCGGTACAGAGTGGTGGATCTTTTGATGTCGACTACACTATTATTAATCCAAGAGGAGAATATATCGAATCAGGTGAAAAAGAAAGACAAGGCGATTTTGTCTTCACAGCCGAAATTCCAGGCGAATATGAATTCTGCTTTGCTAACGGAATGTCTACATTCGCAGAAAAGGTAGTTGATTTCGAAGTCAAATTTGAAAATGAAGAAGACGAGAAGGGGTTCAAAGCTAAAATGCCTGAACAGCCTAATGTGAGACCAATTGAACACGTTGAAAATATGCAAGCTACAGTTGATGAGATTGATCAACAATTGAATAACCTCTTGAGAACCTTGCAATATTATAAGACCAGAAATAACAGAAATCAAGCAACTGTCAAATCAACTGAGTCTAGAATTTACTATTTCTCAATATTTGAGGTTTTGCTTATGGTTGGAATGGCATTTTTGCAAATAACTATTGTCCAGTTGTTCTTTAAAGGATCTAGAAAGCAATTGGTCTAATGGCTTCTAACTTTTCGGCATGAAACAAAAATTTATTCTTTATCGTTTAAAACATAGTAATTTACCTTTGGTATCAAATCCATTTTGTAGTTTGGCAAACTTGCTTGTAGTTTTTATTTTTATCAACAACAAATATATCCAAACTCTACTTTAGTACGCTATTTTCTTGGTCAAGGAATCATTATAGCCGTAATTATCTGATCACCATTTGGTGCTTTCATTTCGTTTTCGCATTTGGAATGGTGTGAAAAATATGGCGCGAAATTTGCATATATCTGCCACATACCGACCGAAATTCTTTCGCTGAAAGTTCATAGATAAGGGTGAATGCATCATAATAAAAGTTCTGAAATTTAAACTTGTTCCTACTGCATTACTAGAAGTCTTTGGTCTATTCCTTACATTTGGAGTCTATCTGCTGTAAATAACTGAAAGCATACAAGCTGGTTCGAATATGAGTTCGTTTGGGACCTCTTCTCCATCTGAAGCGAGTAAAGTTTCTAGCAGAGAAGTAGATGACTCGAGAAAAAAATTTTCTCTTTCAGAAGCTTATGGTAATACTTTCAATAGTAGCGTGAGTCCAAGCTTTGACTTCGGAGGTAGAAGCTATGTTAGCATGGGCCAGAGGTTGGCACAGTATCATTCTCCCACGGTGTATTCTGGATACGATGTTCACGAACAAACGGCAACTCTAGCTGGCATTGGTGTCACAGATGATACACAGGGCCAATCCAATGATTACCTGCAACCTGAGAGCACGGATATCAGTTCCTCTCCTCCTATTCCTATTACGAGTGATGACTTTTACGTTGGGAAGACATATGAAGTACCTTTTCATGATCATCTGGTTGAGACAAGTGAGGATACGCCACTAATAAAAGATTTAACTAAGGGATATAGTGGTTACGGAGAATCATCAATCCCAATTATGTTTGACAATGATTTAGAGGTAGGTGAAATTGCGTTTCATCACTCCAAAGATTCTCCAGATGATAACTCAGGCCTTGTTCATAAATTTATTGTTAAGCCCCTAAAATATATTCCTGCGGTGTTCTTAGGGACTTTGTTGAACATTTTGGATGGCTTGTCTTATGGTATGATTATGTTTCCAACTAGTGAAGCAATCTTTTCCTCCTTAGGTCCTGCTGGCTTGTCAATGTTCTATATGTCTACAATCGTTTCACAGCTTGTTTATTCAATGGGTGGATCAGCGCTCAAATCTGGAATTGGCTCAGAAATGATTGAAGTGACACCATTTTTCCATACGATGGCAATATCAATAGCCAGTGAGATGAAACAATCTGGCTCTGATGCTATCATTGCTACAACGATCCTTACATATTCTATATCTGCTGTTGTAACAGGTTTGGTCTTCTTCTTGCTCGGAAAAATGAAGTTAGGCATATTAGTTGGGTTTTTTCCAAGACATATTTTGGTAGGATGCATCGGAGGGGTTGGTTATTTTTTGATTGCAACAGGTATTGAGGTGTCGTCAAGACTAGAGGGTGGACTCACTTACAGCTTACCAGTCCTCGAATTCCTTTTTCTGAGCACAACCACTTTGTTGGAATGGAACATCCCGCTCCTCTTGGCAATAATATTAGTTGTTTTACAACACAAGTTTCACAACTCTCTTTTGGTACCATTATATTTTGTTGGCGTGTTCTTACTATTTCATTTGATTGTTTACCTCGTTCCTTCATGGGATTTGAATATTGCGAGAGATAACGGATGGGTTTTTCCTACGGTAGAAGACGATCAGCCATGGTATGGATTTTACGATTTGTATAAATTTAGACTTGTTGATTGGTTTTGTATTTTAAAACAAACTCCGACAATGCTTGCATTGACTTTTTTTGGAATTCTCCATGTTCCGATCAATGTTCCAGCCTTGGCAGCTACGATAGATATGGATCAAGTTGATGTGGATAGAGAATTAGTGGCACATGGATATTCAAATGTCCTCTCTGGATTGGTAGGCTCTATTCAGAATTACTTGGTCTATACAAATTCTGTGCTATTTATTAGAGCCGGAGCTGATTCAAGATTAGCTGGTATTTTGCTAGCAATAGCAACAGCAGGTGTGATGTTTGCTGGTCCCGTGGTAATTGGATATATACCAATTAGCGTAGTAGGATCTCTCATTTATCTTTTGGGATATGAGTTGCTCAAAGAAGCATTATATGATACCTACGGGAGGCTCAAAAAGATTGAGTACAGTACTATAATCATAATAATTGTAACCATGGGTGCATTTGACTTTGTGATTGGGATTTTTGTTGGTATTCTTTTGGCTTGTCTTTCGTTTGTTGTTGATGCTGCTAGAAGACCTGTCGTTAAGGACATCTACACTGGATCTGTAGCTAGGTCGACTGTATTAAGACACCCTAAACAGCAGGAATTTTTGAAAGATGTTGGTGCTCAGATTTGTGTCACAAAATTGCAAGGCACCCTTTTCTTTGGTTCTATCGGCGGTGTTGAAACTGACATCAGATCAAAATTTGAAAATGACAATTTTGATAAGAATCCGATCAAATTCTTAATTTTGGATATGAAGGGGGTTGAATCCATTGACTTTTCTGCTGCTGAAGGATTTCGAAGAATTCTAAATCTTTTAAATGAGTTCAAGACTCATTTAATAATTTCATCTGTTTTTGAGGATGACGATATTATTAAAGCTTTGAGAGATGCGGGTTTATGGGACAATGGAAGAGATATCAAGCTTTTCAATACACTCAATTACGCTCTCGAATGGTGCGAAAATTCCTTCTTGGCTACGTACAGTAAACTTCGAAAAGAAAATAAGATATTAGTGAATTCTGGTAATACATCTTTAACGCAACCGGCCTCGAAACCAAACTTCAAGCTGATCATGAACCAGACTTTTGGTACCCCAAGAACAACTCAGATATACCATGCTGCCGCTAAAACAGTGAAAGATGAACAGAGAATTCAAAATCAATATTACACAAATTCTGACTCGTCTTTCAAAAGGCAGCCATTGCCTTTGATAATGATTACTTTCTCAGGATTATCAAAAAGAGACGAAAAATTCTGGTCCGGAATTACGAAATTTTTCGTCAAGGAAAAAATCCCAGAAGACTTCGAGTTTTATAATAGCTCAAAAAACGCTCCCAGTTTCTTCATAGTAGAGTCTGGTCTTGTCAAATCCAACTTGAAATTTGAAAATAATAAAGCGATAACATCCAGTATTTTGCCAATGACCGCTTTTGGTGATTTGGTGCAAAATGATCACCAGAAGAATATTTGCTACAGAACCGTTAATCCTTCTGTTGTATGGAAGTTGTCTCAACCAAAACTAGGTGAGCTCTTAGAAACGCCTGAAGGAATAACGCTATACAGGGAGCTATTAGAAATAGACATAAAGTTACTTCGAGAAAGGCTTGACGTTTTGACGTCAAACCTTGTTATTTCAGCATAATTAGAATTCCATAGCTCATTTTAGTTACCTAATGTATTTAGTACTATGCCAAAGAGAGCCATATGTTTATGTTCTGCATATAGCTAACTAGGGCGAGTTTTAAGTCGTCATATCCTTAAGCATTTATCTCTTTCATACTTAGCATTGGAACAAAGCATTGGAACAAATAGTTAAAAGATGGTTTCATTAAGATGCTTCACACAGGCAGTTTTGGCATTTACAGTGGTCGAGGGAATTTCTTTAGTACCCCTTTTGAATCCCTATGCAGATAGTATCAGGTCACTTTGGAAAGGCGTGGACTCGTCGAGTCATCAAGCACAAGGTTTGCTGCCTCTTGTGGTCCCTGGCGACAAGCCTGTGCCTGGGAACTCGCCAATTGTTCAATGTGAATCGGATATAGCGCAACTTTTGGATTTGCAAAGCGTTGTTATACTGCCAAATCCACCTGTCAGGGGTGAAAATTTAACTTTTATTGCTGAAGGTTATGTTAGTAAAGATATCGAGGATGGCGCTTATGTTGAGGTTGATGTGAGATACGGATATATCAAGCTTATCCATCAAACTTTCGACTTGTGTGAAGAGATCACAAAGGTTGATTTATCTTGTCCAATTAATAAGGGAAACCAAATTATTAAAAAGGAAGTCGAAATTCCGAAGGAGGTTCCTTCTGGAAAATACATTGTAAATGCAAGGGCTTACACTAAGGACGACGAATTCATAACTTGCTTGAGCGCAACTGTTGAATTCCCTACAAGTTAGCATCACTGACAAAAGTTTGCTTAGAAATTTCAATAAATCATGTTCTCTTACTTTGTTTTTTTCCTCAATTTTTCTCTGAATCTTGGTTTTGTCTCAATATCTAGACTTTGAATTTGTTTCTTTTAGGCTTTCGAGCATCTGACTATATAATTAATTGAATATTATTTTTAGGTTTTGCTGCAGGTATAATTATTTTGCAGGTCACTTGTCGATATAAAATTTGTGAAGAAAAACTACAAAGAGCGCGCTCTAAAGATGAATTCTACGAAATAATATTAACGGTTATATTATAAGTAAGAAAAAAAATGGCTTTTGAAGATGTTTTTTCCATTCAGATCTTCTTCATCATATTCAGGGAAACTCTTGAAACTGCCATCATTATATCTGTTCTATTGTCATTCATTAACCAAAGATCGGATGTGAAATCAGTCGATCCGGATAGTCTGTCAAGAGGCGCTGAAAATGATATTATCGCCATGCAACGGAAACTTAAGCTTCAGGTCTGGATTGGAGCGATCTTAGGCTTTGTTGTTTGTGTATCGGTGGGACTAGCTTTTCTCGTTTGTTTTTATTTCTTTGGCAAAGACTTCTGGTCTTACACAGAAAGATTATGGGAAGGAATCTTTTCATTTCTGTCTAGTATAGTCATTACAGTGATGGGTTTAGGGCTTCTTAGAATCAATAAAGTTATGAAAATAAAATGGTGGATCAAATTGGGTGACGCTTACCACGATAACGGTTTTGCAAAGCAGACAAGTAATAGTGAGAATGAAAATAATGTTGCTAATGAGAATCATTCGGAGGATGACGAAGTCACTCCGCAGAAAGGAGTCAAAGAAAAGAGGAGGAAAGGGTTCTCTGGTAGATATTTTTTGGCCATTTTACCTTTCGTTACTACTTTAAGAGAAGGGTTGGAAGCGGTAGTGTTTGTGGGTGGTATAGGGATGTCACAACCACTTACTTCTTTACCTCTTTCAATTGCTGCCGGTGCATTGCTTGGAGTTAATGTTGGATATGCACTCTATAGAGGTGGAAACAAAATGTCACTACAATACTTCTTAATATTCCTGACTTGTTTCTTGTATGTTGTTAGCGCTGGACTTATGAGTAGAGGTATCTGGTTCTTTGAGCTAGAGCGTTATGTTAGATTATGTGGTGGTTTGGATGTCAGCGAAACAGGAAGCGGTCCCGGATCATATGATATATCGAACAGTATTTGGCATGTGAACTGTTGCAACGGCTTGACAGATGGCTGGTGGATGGTATTCAATGCTATCTTTGGGTGGACCAATTCTGCTACCTACGGTAGTGTCATATCCTACTGTGTGTATTGGGCAGCAGTAATAATCTGGCTAAAGGTGAAGTTATACGAAGAAAGAGAAGGTGTACTTCCTTTTATACCTTTGAAATGGCAGCTAAGAAGAATAAAAAAGAAACTTCATATTTATGAGGCTAGTCGTGAAAGAGCTGAAGGAGAACCTATTTGCCTCAGAGACACGGCATATCATGATCCCAGAAGCAGTCTTTCTTTGGATATGAACCTCAGAGAAGCTGAAGCTCAGGTATTGTTAGATTCATAGATTGTAGAATTTTTCTTATCTTGCATGTTCCTCCTATCGCATTTAATAGCTTTCATTTTATTCGCAATTTACAGCTTTTGACTCGTAATGAAATTTTCTGAGACAAACGTGATTTATTTTGGCATCGACTTTGTATTGAAAGAGAACGCAGAATGCGCGGATCTCAGATCAAAACTAAACACGAAAATTGAAATAAAGAGAAAGAGAAGTCCAACGAAGATAGGATCCAAGCTAAGCCAGTATCAAATGAATCTCAAAGACTCACCCTCTAATGGGTTGGAGAGGACGACAGACGCTATGTCTCCGGTAGACCGAAAACTGTCTGTGGCCTCTGTTTCATCAAACCAAACAGAGGGGTCACATTACTCTTATTATTCTCTGAACTCACAACAGTCGGGCGAATCTCATACTTCATCGGTGCTATTAAACCCAAGTTTTTCTGGTTTAGGTAAACAAAGTATTCAATCCAGTGTCTTGCACTATATCAAAAACCACGAGCACGAATTTAATACTAATGAATTGTACGAAGAAAGACAGCAAAGTCATTACTTAGGAAAGAATATGACAGTTGAAGAAGATAATTTGTTTTCAAGCAAAAAAAACCCCTTGTTTTCTACGAGTGTTGGTCCTAATGAAAATTTTGATGACGAAACCGATAGTTTAATAGAAGACATCTTTTTTGCTGAGACAGATTCAAATAGTGAGAGCAACGTCGATGGAGATGAGACGACATATATTGAAGAAACCAGCCATGGGGATGACTCAGAAGACTTTTATGATGACGAAAGTGATGTGGATAGTGAAGATGTGGACGATGATGATCTCTTGTTTCCTCCATCGCCTCCTCGATCACCTCCAAAAGAGTTAGATCCCGATAAATTATATGGGTTGTACGACTTTTCGGGCCCCGATCCTCTGCACTGTACTCTTTCAAGGAATGAGCCTGTGTATTTGATGAATGATCTGGATAACTACTGGTGGCTAATACAGAAACTAAGCAAAGAAGAACGCGTAATGTATCGTCGAAACCACGCGAATACATGTGATGATGAAAATGAAATAGAGTCCGATGAAGAGGACGGTAAGATAGGGTTTGTCCCGGCTGAATGCTTAGAAACTTTTGGAGAAAGGTTGGCGCGTCTTAACTGTTTCAAAAATGAAGAATTAGAAAAGCTTTCCAAGGAGAGTCATTCTTATGTTAATTTTACAAGCGACAGACTCAATATAAGTGATGAAGATTCTGGTAGTGAATACGATAAGCAGGAAACGCCTACGCCACCAACTACTAATTCCAGTGAGCCACTGCTAATAAGAAAGTACTCAAAAAACCGAGGAACTGGTAAAGCTGTCACATTCGAGAACTTGACAGACGTTGATTTAGATTTAGACAATAACCAAACTCATGAAGTCGATTTTGATAGCCATTACTTCGGATTTTCTATCCATGATTTACAAGCCGCGAAAGAAGAAGAGAAGTCATCGGAAGTATTAAGTGACTTATATCCAGCAAATCTGCCTTTAATCATCAATAAATTTGATAAAAAGACAAAGAGCTCTTTATTTCATGAAAAAGCGCCCGATGAGGTTTCGGAAAATTCTTTGGATACCTATCGACCACCTAATGTTCCAAGAGACATAGATGACATCTCGATTGGCTCATTTTCTCCTGACACTCCCCTGTCCGCATTTTCCAAGAGCTCGCCAGCTCTGTGTGGGCCGTCCAATGAGGATGAGATAATGATTGGCCGTCTTAGAAGGTCTGCGATACTTGATCAGCTTACAAAAGTTACTTCAGATCTACAAGAACTTACATTTGATGATGATGATGACTATAATAATAATGATGAAGTGTAGGTAGCCGTAGAGTTTTTTTTTGAATTCTTTTATAAATAGCGTGCATTGAAATGCCCTTCTAGCATCTTTTTCAAACATTACCTCTAATAGTGTATAATAATTAATACCTTAGTCGCATATATTTTTACATGTTCCTCGTGATAATCATCCACCAGCCTCATCAGAACTTTAAATTTTTTTTTTTTTTTTTGAACTAAGCAAATGGTAAAAAAATAAAATAGATCAACTAAAAGAAAATATTTGCTAATACAACTTTTTCGAAGCTTAGGTTTTCAAGTAGTATGTCGTGGTCCGCTGATTCTCATTCTCTAGAACAGCTTAAGCACATATTTAGGGGCACCTTATCAGCAAACAATGAAGAAAGAGATCTTGCGAATGGGGCGCTAAATCAAGCTCGAGAGCAACCAGAGATAGAGAATTACCTTTTCGAAATATTAGTGTTAGACAATACAGCTAAATCTGACATTAGAGCTGCCTCAGGAATAAACTTGAAGAACAGTATCTTGAAAAATGATCACCCGCTACAAACTAAGCATAGAGAGTATTTGATGGATAACATATTTAAAGGTCTTACTGTGAAGGATAGTATGGTCAGAAATATTACAGGTAACGTAATTACATCACTATTTTCTATCTATGGGATTGACGGATGGCCGCAGTCTTTGCCTCAGTTGATGGAGTTGGCGAACATGGGCTCATCCGATGGTGTGTTCGATGCGCAGGAAGCTGCGATGAGTGCTCTCAGTAAAATATGTGAAGATAGTGCTTTACAGCTAGATCAAGAGTTTAATGGTGAAAGGCCCTTGACCGTTATGGTTCCATACTTCATTAAATTGCTCGATAACCCACATAGTGGAAAAATTAGATCTTTATCAATTCAATGCATCAACCAAATAATTCCTTTAAGGTCTCAGGCATTTCTAGTTCATATTGACGAGTTTTTGCAAAAGCTATTCAATCTAGCTAATGATCCTAATAGTGAGGTAAGAAGAAACATCTGTACTGCTTTTTCACTAATTCTTGAAACGCGCCCCGATAAGATTTTCCCACATATAGATGGTGTCATTAATTATTGCTTACATTTGATGCAAGATGCAGATGAAGTTGTCGCTTTAGAAGCTTGTGAGTTCTTATTAGCGTTATCGACATCCCCCGAAATTGAAACAAACAAGTCAATATTTCAACCAAAACTAAAATTAATCTTGCCTATTCTTTTGGAAAAGATGGTGTATTCTCCTGAGGAGATTTTTTTAATGGAAATAGCTGATGAGAAGCAGGATGCTAATGAAGAGGACAGGGATGAGGATATACGTCCCCTGGCAGCTAAATCGAAAAGCTCGCACACTGCTGCGACTAATAGAAAGACTGTGGGTTCCCAAATTGAGTCGGATAACGAAACTGATTCAGAATTTGAAGATGAAGACGATGATGAAGACGGTTTGGAGTTTGACCAATGGAGTTTAAGAAAATGTTCTGCTGCAACCTTAGATGTGTTGTCTATAAATATGCCCAGTGAAGTGCTTGAAGTTTGCTTGCCAGTACTTCAAGAGAGAATAGTCTCTTCGGAATGGCCAGTTAGGGAATCCGCAATATTAGCATTCGGTGCTGTTAGTAAAAGCTGTATTGAGCTAGCAAGAGACAAGTTGCCCTCTTTGGTTCCATTTTTAGTCGATAGATTGCAAGATAGTGAGCCTAGAGTACGGCAAATTGCATGCTGGACTTTATCGAGATTTTCATCATGGGTATCTGAGGAAGCGCATGAAGGAGGCGATTATGCTGGTTATTTTCAACCGACTTTTGAATCTATTGTTCGTTGTGGTTTAGATGGAAAAAAAGTCGTACAGGAGGCTGCGTGTTCGGCCTTGTCGTCATTTATAGAGGAATCTGATACCATTTTAATGGTTCAGTATGTGGAGCCCTTATTACATCACTTTGCAAAATGTTTTGAAACGTATCAGAGAAAAAATCTAATTATTTTGTATGATTGTGTCCAAACTTTCGTTGAAAAAATGGGATACGAACATTTATCCTCACCTGAATATGTTAATTTATTGCTACCACCGTTACTTCAGAAGTGGCAAATTCTCGACGATATGGATACGGATTTATGGCCACTATTGGAGTGCATGGCATCGATTGCTGCTACTTTAGGAGAGTTATTTGCACCTTATGCTGTTCCAGTTTATGAGAGAGCAGTTAAAATATTATCTACCTGTATTCAGCAGGACCAGGAGAGTCAAACAAATCCTTTAATTGAAACACCTGAAAAAGATTTCATTGTCACTTCTCTCGATTTGGTTGATGGGCTTATTCAAGGATTCGGTTCGCACTCCGTAGAGTTAATGCAGCTGAGTAGTTCGAATTTGATGGAACTCGTTCTTTTATGCTTCGAAGATTATTCAACCGATGTGAGACAGTCTGCCTACGCATTATTAGGAGATTTAGCTATATTTACGTTGGATGTAACAGTCAAGCCGTTCTTACAGCATGTCTTCATCAGTATCGGTAATGAAATAAACAATAGATCCTACACTACATTTGCAGTTTACAATAATGCGATTTGGGCTCTCGGAGAAATAAGTATGCGATTGCCATATGAATTGTTAGAACCATATATAAAGAATATGGTGGACTTGCTCATTCCAGTTTTGAACAGCTCTGATACTCAACAAACTGTCCTTGAAAATGCTGCTATATGCTTAGGTAGATTAGGTCTCGGTCCTGGATCTGAAGTCATTGCACCCAGATTACAAGAATTTATATTGCAATGGTGCTCTCAAATGCTTTATCTAGTCGATAATGAAGAGAAGGAGACTGGTTTTCAAGGAATGATAAACATAATTCATAAGAATCCTGATCTTGGATTTGGAGGGTTGTCTAATCAACAAGGTAGAAAGAACTTGGCAATATTTGTTGTTTGTATCGGAAATTATTCTGATCCTCCAGAATTTCTCAAGCATCTTTTTGGACAAACATTAAATGGATATAAAGCTCTTCTTGGAGATGACATCTGGGAATCTCAAATAATGTCCCACGTTGATCGTGAAACAAGAGAATACATAAAAGATGTTTATCAGGTCTGACTGCAAAAATTGGTTACTTATGTAATCTTAATCGTAATTCGTAAATCATTAAAGCTTGTACCTATATAGATGAAAGAACCGATTCTTCATTGAGGAATTAGTTCTGAATATAAAACTTCATTCACTAAAGTTATCGGTAAATCTTTCACTCCATTAGGAATTTTAAACACATATTGGACTGAATCGTGAACTATATCATCATCCGGACCTTCTTTTTGATTAGCAAAACTCGAATACGTGTCAAAAAAATTTCTTCCATCGTCTAATGCCAAGGTCCTAAACTCAGTGTTATAAAGAGCCAATGCTACGTACATGTATACCATCATAATTAATGAATAAGCCGGAACTGCATTCGACCAATATTTATCAGGAAAATAGTGGATTGAAAATACATCATTTAATATCCAGTTTGGTGCTAGCGCCCAGCACACCCAACAAAGTAGTAGCAATTCACTGACAACATATATAAAGAATCCCTTGTATTCAGCATACAGAGTTACATTCGTAGACACAATGACATCTGACTGCCTTGCCAATGAGTCCTCGACCTGACTGTTACTCTTATAATTTGTCGTCATCAGTACTCTCAGGCAAGTCGTGAGACTGTTGTTTAACTATTATACTTTACCTATGCTACCAATTATAGATGTCCTCAATATAATGCCCTTCTTTGTGTAACATATTTGAGTTTGCAATAGAAGCGGAAAGCTTGACCTGCATTCAGTGTTCAGTTCACTATTGATGATGAAACCAAGCTTTTATAGAACTACGAAAACAGTTTTAGATAATATTGAATGTAGAGGAGTTTCAAATTATGAAATTTATCAGTAAGAAGTATTTATAAATTATAGCTACCTTGTTACAAAAAATTCTTCACTTTTGAAATTTGATTGAAAAATTTTACTGAAAATTCGCAATCTAAAACTTTTTCAAGAATTGGCAAAAGATGCTGGAAAAAACAGGAACAGTCTTTTGGAGTTACCTTGCCTTAAGAATCACATAGCATTCTCTGTATAAAGTTTATTTTCAGAATGACTGTACCTACACTAAATAAAGTCACTGGTCTCCATTACGTCAAAGTCATGCTCCAAGACGGGTAACCCCTTCTCTACTGATCTTACAACGCGGTTAGCCCTGACTCATTACCTTTTTTGGCCGGTTTTTTTTTTTTCAACATCTTTTGAATAACTTTTCCACTTTTCTTTGAATCTATCTTTGACCTTGACTTGGAGACATTCTATCTATATAGCGAGTAAGAGGACATGATATCATTGAGATTAGCTATTTCTCAGAGTTTGAAGAAGTCCAAACCTTTTGGTGGCTTTTGCTCTTCAACAAGTTTAGCAAAAAAATTTTCAACCGTTAACCAACCGTTGAGAAATTCTTCGCCATCTTACGCTGGAGCTAAATTGTTAAAGCAGTTCCATAAGGATGATGTTAAGACCTCTGCAGATGTATCTAAGGTATTAGTGATTGGATCGGGTGGTTTATCCATTGGCCAAGCTGGTGAATTTGATTATTCAGGGTCACAAGCAATAAAGGCCTTGAAAGAGGCCAATAAGAAGTCAATATTGATAAACCCTAATATTGCAACGAACCAGACATCACATGCATTAGCTGATGAAATATATTATTTACCGGTCACCGCTGAATATATTACTTATATTATTGAAAGAGAGAAGCCTGATGGAATCTTATTGACATTTGGAGGTCAGACCGCTTTAAATGTCGGTATCAAGTTAGAAAAGATGGGCGTGTTTGATCGATACGGTGTTAAGGTTTTAGGAACCCCAATCAAGACATTGGAAACTTCTGAAGATCGTGAGCTTTTCTCTCAGGCTTTGAATGAAATCAACATTCCCATTGCAGAATCCGTTGCTGTTGAAACCGTCGATGACGCTCTTGCTGCTGCCGATAAAGTGGGATATCCAATTATTGTTAGGTCGGCCTATGCTCTTGGTGGATTGGGATCCGGTTTTGCTGCTAACGAACAAGAATTGAAGAATTTGGCATCTCAATCTTTGTCTCTTTCCCCACAGATTTTGGTGGAAAAGTCATTGAAAGGATGGAAAGAAGTCGAGTACGAGGTTGTGAGAGATAGTGCTGGAAACTGTATAACAGTTTGTAATATGGAAAACTTTGATCCATTAGGGATTCATACAGGAGATTCTATTGTCGTAGCACCTTCTCAAACGTTGTCGGATGAAGAATATCATATGTTAAGAAGCGCAGCTATTAAAATTATCAGACATTTAGGAGTTGTTGGTGAATGTAACGTCCAGTATGCTCTTCAGCCAGATGGATTGGATTATAGAGTAATTGAAGTTAATGCCCGTTTGTCTCGTTCTTCCGCATTGGCATCAAAAGCCACAGGATATCCATTAGCATACACTGCTGCAAAGATAGCTTTGGGTCACACATTGCCTGAGCTTCCTAATCCAGTGACTAAGACTACGACTGCTAACTTTGAGCCTTCATTAGACTATATGGTGACAAAGATTCCAAGGTGGGACTTATCGAAGTTCCAGCATGTAAAGAGAGATATTGGATCAGCTATGAAGTCAGTAGGTGAGGTTATGGCAATCGGCAGAAACTTCGAAGAGTCGTTTCAAAAAGCTATCAGACAAGTTGACCCTTCCTTTATTGGCTTTCAGGGAGATAAGTTTGATGACTTAGATGATGCTTTAAAAAACCCAACCGACAGAAGATGGTTAGCGGTGGGTCAAGCATTACTTCATGAAAACTACTCTGTCGATAGGGTCCACGAGCTTTCAAGAATAGATAAGTGGTTCTTGTACAAGTTAATGAATATTGTCAACATGTACAAAGAACTAGAAAATGCCGGTAGCCTTGATAATATTAACAGCGACCTAATGTCTCGTGCTAAGAAATTGGGGTTCTCAGACAAGCAGATTTCGCTTTGCGTCAATTCATCTGAGCTTAAAGTTCGTAAAGCAAGAAAGGATTTTGGCATTGTACCATTTGTGAAGCAAATTGATACTTTAGCTGCTGAATTTCCAGCTAAAACGAACTATTTGTATACTACTTATAATGCATCTAGTTCAGATGTCGATTTCACTGACAATGGTACTATGGTTTTAGGGTCTGGTGTTTATCGTATTGGATCGTCCGTCGAGTTTGACTGGTGCGCCGTTTCCACTGCAAGGGCATTACGTGAATCTGGACATAAGACTATAATGATAAATTATAATCCGGAGACTGTCTCGACTGATTTTGATGAGGTTGACAGGTTGTACTTCGAAGAATTATCACTAGAAAGGGTGCTTGACATATACGAATTAGAGCATGCTTCAGGTGTTGTTGTAAGTGTTGGGGGCCAATTGCCTCAAAACATTGCCTTGACATTACAAAAGGAAGGCTGCAATGTTTTAGGAACCAATCCTGAAGATATTGATAAAGCTGAAGATCGTCATAAGTTCTCCCAAATTCTTGATAAAATTGGAGTAGACCAACCTGAGTGGAATGAATTGACATCTATTGGAGAGGCAGAAACATTTGCAAACCAAGTAGGATACCCTGTTTTGGTACGTCCATCCTACGTGTTATCAGGAGCAGCAATGTCTGTTATCAGAAACAAGTCTGAATTAGATGCAAAGTTGAATAACGCTGCAAAGGTTTCTCAAGACCATCCAGTTGTTATTTCTAAGTTTATCGAAGGAGCACAAGAAATTGATATCGATGGAGTTGCAAATAATGGTGAGGTATTAGTTCATGCTGTTTCAGAGCATGTCGAGAACGCTGGCGTTCACTCTGGTGACGCTACGTTGGTGTTGCCTCCACAAGGGTTATCGCCGGTCATTCTCAATAGATTAAAAGAGATCGCTGATAAAGTTGCAAAAGCATGGAATATTTCAGGGCCCTTTAACATGCAGATCATCAAGAATGACAAAGATGGTTCTTTGAACGATAGTAATTGCGAACTCAAGGTTATTGAATGTAACATTAGAGCTTCACGTTCTTTTCCATTTGTTTCAAAAGTTTTGGGTGTTAATTTCATCGATGTTGCAGTCAAGAGTTTAATCGGAGAAAATGTGCCTGCTCCAGTAAATCTCATGGATGAGACCTACGACCGTGTTGCTACGAAGGTACCTCAATTTTCATTCACAAGATTGGCTGGTGCAGATCCCTTTTTGGGAGTTGAAATGTCTTCTACTGGTGAAGTTGCATGTTTTGGAACCAACTTATTAGATGCATACTGGGCTTCTATACAATCGACAATGAACTTCAATGTCCCTCACCCAGGACATGGAATCTTATTTGGAGGTGATTTGTCCAACAGTAAACTTGGAGATGTTGCCAAAACTATATCTAGCAAGGGCTACAATTTCTACTCAGCTTCCCAAGAGGTTGCAAATTATTTAAAAGACTACGTTAAAGAAGATGTTGAAGTAATCGAATTCCCGAAGACAGATAAGCGTGCTTTGAGGGAGATTTTTCAAGATAAAAAGATAGCTGCTGTTTTCAATCTTGCAAGAGCAAGAGCAGATGATTTACTAGACCAAGATTACGTTATGAGAAGAAACGCAATTGACTTTGGTATTCCTCTTTTTAACGAACCAAATACGTCCTTGTTGTTCGCTAGGTGTTTGAAAGAAAAGATTGCAGATAAGCCTACTTTTGACCAATTACCGTCATCGGTAATTGTTCCCGAAGAAGTAAGGAGATGGAGTGAGTTTATTCATGGCAAACCTGTATAGTGCAAAATACGAGAACATCATGCAAATTTGCTCCAAGGAACTCTATAGTAATGTATGAAAAGAATTTAATAGACGATGTAGATGCTGTTATGTCTTGTTGGAAAGTAACGAGCTTAGCGAACTGATATAGTAGTGCTCAGCATTAACAGATCACATGTGAACTGCAGTTTGTATTGCCGGAAAGAGCCAAAAGAGACAAGAAGTGCGTAGGAATGCGCACCAGTTCCCTTTTCGTCAACATTTCTGTTGTATTCTGCCGTGTCAAACGGCTTTTAATTACCCTTTGAAAAAAAAAGCCCTAATACGAAATAGTTTTGCAAGACAATAACGGGTTTCCTTCTTCGAGCATCTGCTCTATATAATAATCCTCAGTATACCTTGACAAACTCTTCTTAGCCCTACTAATTTTTTTTCTTTGGTGCAGTTTTTCTCATCGAAAATTCAAGTTAATAGCCCCGCTCTCGTTGCTCATCCGGTAAGGAGTCAAAGACAATAGCAGGCCAGTAGTAATAAGATTCCAAGAAAATTTACGAAAAATGTCTCAGCTTCCTCTTCGCCGCCGCCTTGTAATTTTTAACACTATTATATAACATCGACGGTTGCGCAATTTTTAAATATTATCTTTTTCATCATAATTATCAGATGAGCGTTAAAAGTAACGACAGTCTAAGGGACGGCAGTCGAGAGTCGGAGGTTTCTCAAAATGGATTGGGCAAGGAGACGACTGTCTCAACTAACCAGAACCTACCGCTGGCAATTGCCAACTCTACTACGAAATCTATTGGTGTTAGAAAAATTGAAATTTTAAATGCCCAATATGAAAATATTTTTTTGAGAATCATTTTATTCGTATGCGTTTTTTTCGTAGCATACTGTTATGGGCTCGATGGTACAGTTAGGGGCACACTTCAGAATTATGCTACAGATTCGTACAATTCCCACCCCTTGTATTCAACAGTCAATGTGATTAAATCTGTAGTTGCAGCAGCAGCGCAACCAACATACGCCAGATTATCTGACAGATTTGGAAGACTTGAGTTGGTATTTGTTTCGATGATATTTTACTCAATGGGTACTATTATTGAATCTCAGGCTTACGATATCAAGAGATTTGCTGGAGGAGCAGTTTTATATCAAATTGGCTATTCTGGTATTATCATTTTACTTCAAGTAATTGTGGCCGATCTCTCAAACTTGAACTGGAGATTGGCCGTTTCTTTTGTTCCAGCTTTACCTTTTATTATAAATACTTGGGTTTCGGCCGAAGTAGTTAACAGCTTGTATCCTACTCATTCCTGGAATTATGGTATAGGTATTTGGGCTTTTATTTTTCCGTTGAGCTGTGTTCCATTGATTGCATGTATGCTTTATATGTGGATTAAAGCTAGGGTTACTCCCGAATATCAAGCATTATTGAAGGAACAAAAGTTGAAGAAGAATTGGGTTTCAAAGTCAGACAACATATTTGTACATTTATTTTGGGAACTTGATTTAATTGGAATTCTATTTATCATTTGTGTTTTCGGTTTTATTTTGGTTCCTTTAACAATAGCTGGTGGTGTTCAAAGTACCTGGCAAAAAGCTTCAACTATTGTTCCATTAGTGATTGGGTTTGTGCTTATACCATTCTTTGTTTTATGGGAAGGAAAGTATGCAAAGTTTCCAATCATGCCCCTTCCATTGATGAGAGATCGAGGCGTGTGGTCAGCCTTGATGGTAGCAATTATGATCGATTTCGTATGGTATATGCCAAACGACTATATGTATACTGTCTTAATAGTCGGAATGAGGTCTAGTATCAAGGCAGCTAACAGAATTGTTTCCCTTTACTCTTTTGTCTCATGTGTAACTGGTCCCCTTTTAGGACTTGTTATTGTGAAATTTAGGAGGCTAAAAGGTTTTATTATATTTGGAGTTGTTTGTTGGATTATCGCTACTGGTATTCTTGTTCATTTCAGAGGTGATAACAATGGAATTGACTCCGAAAAATATCTCAATGGTGTCATTGGTGCTCTTTGCTTAATGGGTTTCGGTGCGGGTTTCTACACATACTCCACTCAAGTGTCTATTTCAACTTGCACTAATCACGAGTACATGGCTGTCATAATTTCGCTTTATTTGGCTTCCTACAATATTGGTGCTGCAATTGGTACTTCTGTTTCGGGTGCTGTGTGGACTAATGTAATGTATAACCAAATTGTTCAAAAGATGTCTGCTCGTGGCGTGGATACAAGTCTTGCAACACAAGCTTATGGAGCTCCCTTTGATTTCATTATAGAAAATACTTGGGGTACTGATGCAAGAATAGCTGTCGTTTTGGCATATGCTCATGTTCAAAAAATTTTGTGCATTATTGGTCTTGTGTTATGTTTCCCATTGTTAGGCTTCACTTTCTTCTTGAGAGACCATAGGCTTGATTCAGTTCAATCGCTTGAAATTGAACACTCCCATGAAGAGGGAGTCAAGTTCAATGACGAAGTGGTAGTCAATAACTACGACGACGATATTCTTGTGAGCAAGATCAAGTCTCTTTTTAGACGCAGGAACAAAGAGTAGCATTCTAATACACTTTTCTATTTATACAAAACTACTTCGACTTTAATAGTGCTAAACGAGATATGAAATATATTTATACTAGTGATATACTCAAGCTGGTAATATAAATCAGATAAAAAGAAAAATTGGAGAAAGATTGAAGCTAAAGATAAACTAAGTTCGAAGGAAAGATTGGCCAAGGGGTTACAATAAATCATCATCATCTTTCTCGACAACAGAGTTTTTAATTGTTAACAAAAGTTGAGTCTTCAATTTATCTAGTTTGCTAAATTGATCATACTCAAAAACCTTATCCGAAAAAAGTTGCACGTCGCCTTGCTCGATGGCGTCTAGTATATCCTGAATTAGCTTATATTCCCTTGTAGATTGCCAAGATGGCTCTTCCATCAGATAATTCTCAGACTTCTTCAGTGCCTCAATGGTATCATGAAGACATAAAATACACAATATGCTCTTAAAGAAGTAATCCTTCAAACTCCATTTAGTCAAGTTATTTCCAAGCAGATTTTTGATAAGGGTATCATATAATTCAACTGCCTTCTTGTAATCTTCCTTTAAAGCACATAAATCAGCACACTTTAAATACGATTTATTCGATAGAGCTTCGGCATGATCTGTGACGTAATAATCACCAGCCTGTTCGTAGCTTTTTATGGCATTTTCGGTATCGCCAACGGATTCATATAGCTCAGCTAAGTCACCAGTGAAATTAGCTGCTCTTCTGAATTGGCCATTTTGGGTCAAAAATATATGAATTGCTTTTGATAACGATTGTATTCCTTCGGAAGGTGATACGCCTTTATAACACTTGTATGCCTCAACCAAATTATTGGCAACATCATTGTGATTACCAAGCCCTTCCTGAATATCTGCGGCTTTGACAAACTGATCGCCGGCTTCTTTGAATTCCTTCTTTAAACGATACAGGTTCCCGGCTTGAATAAACAAGTCACTAGCTTCTTCTAATCTATAAGATTGCGATGACCCAGTGAAAAACAGTAAGACACCCAGCTGGGGTTTAGTTAATTTCTCTGCCTCTGAAATCAAAGAACGAGGATCAGCCATACTTATATTGTATTTTTATTAATTATAGAATGAAAAAGTTGATAAGGACCTTATACATGGGAAGAACTTATGAGCATAAGAAGTTTTGTGCAATTATTTTTGATCATATGATTTCATATCAAAATACGAAAGTTAAGTGCAAGATAAACACAACTTATTGAAACAACAAAACTTATGTCAAACTCGCCCAGCAACTTCGAAGCAGTTCGATATGAGCGACTTAAGAAAGTCTGCCGTAAAGCGCTAGAACAGCTGATCAAAAAATCATTATCATTGGAGCAAATAAAGATGTGTTATCCTACAATAGCGAGTACCCCAGAAGGAGTTAAATCGTTAGAAATAGCTAGATCTCAGGTTATAAACTTCTGGCATACAAAATCATTGGAGGAATTTGAATTCATATTTAAGGAAAGGGAAATAGAAAGTAAGTTGAATGAGCTAGATGAAATAATTCAAACTGCTCAGTTTAGGAAACAGGAAAATTTTGAGAAACCTGTACCGGTTGACAGCTTAAGTCCAAACGAGTTGATAGATTCTACGGTGCTTGTCGGAAAGACAAACTCGGTTGAGAGCCTTCTGATGATATACAACCAATTATGCATGGACAACGAAGATTTACTTAAATCTTTGAAATCACTAGCAGATGAAAGTGAAATCATTCGAAATGAGGTGGTAGAACTGTTCTCGTCTTTAAATAAAGAGGTTGAAACTCTTCGAAGCGAGGATTCAAACATTAATTTTAAAGAACTATTCGAAAGCTTTATGAAAGTTGATAAATAGAATGAAAATCACCTTATATGAGCATGTAATGTATATTAAATAATAACGTTAAAACGACTGACCCAAATTTCTCTATATACAAAAATTTTTTACAAGATCTAATCCAAAGGTTTATGTTTATTATCTTGTAACAATTCGAAATTCTTTTTGGCCAATACATTATAATTTTGAATACGCTTTTGCAAGTCGATAAGTTCTTGTTCTTTTGCTTGCTGTTTGTCTGATAATTTGACTAACTGTTTATCTCCCCATACTTTATAATCCTGTAAGTATTGCCTTCCCATGTTGAATTCTCTTGTGACAACATCATCAGTTAACCCAAGCTTCGCAATGGTATAAAAGTATCTTTCAGGATCACTTCTCTTTAGGTACTTTAATATTTTTTGTCTTTGTTGAACTAGTTCACGAACATGTTGGATATGATTCTTATCTTTAGGTAACTTCTTAACGTGATCCATACCCAAGTGTATTTTCACAGTCATTACAGCCGCCTGCACTTCAGGAGACCCGGTATCACCATCTTCTCTCTGAAACTCTGTACGTGCAAATTTTACTGCTAGGGATTTCTTATCTTGCGAGTTTGAGTTTTTCAAGTTAAGAATCGTCAATAATGCTCTCTTTTTTCTTTGCTCTGCGGCCGCAACAGATTCCGACAAAGCATTTGGTGCACCGAATTTTTCAATAGTAGACTTTTCTGCACCATAGAGTAGTTTCTCGAATTCTTCACGTTCGTGACCGTAAGCTAAATTGGTAGGATCTTCCAAATACGTTCTGAAACGTTTTATGAAAGAGTTATTAGATTCTCCCAAAACTGGATCAACTTGAAATTGAATGTTTTTCAAACTATGCTTCTTTAAATTGTTGACATCTCTTACGATCTGTCTCTTCAATCTGATTTCTTTTCTTCTCAAGCTTCTTATTTTCGACCGAGTGGCCAGCTCAGGAATGAACTGTTTCGCAGCTAATATGGGTTGTGGCTTCACATGTGTCGTGGCTAGAAGGGAAAGACGAGTTGAAAAGAAACGATTTGCTGTTTTAATCATCTTTGCAGATTGAAAGGCTAATATCGATCCAATTCTATATGAAAAAAATCGAAAAAAGAAGCAGTTATTTTCACCGAATGGTACACACACGTAATATCAAAATATGTAATAAGTTTAAAGAGCACAAGATATTGCCTTTAGAGCAGCATGGAAAATCGTTATCCTAGCGATAGGGACGCATTTGAAACATTGGATCATCTCTCAAAGAAATGGTTTCCAAGAGCTCCCAAAAAGTTCAACAAAAATCACATAAATGATATTCACAAACTTCTAAGCATCGAATCCAACGATGGATTACTCCAAATCCTATTAGATAAGAGATACTTTGATAATGTATTATGGCCCAATTTTGAAAAAGATGCATCCAATAATCATATTGAATTAATCATGGTTCTAACCTTGTTCGAATCAAAAGTGGGAACAGGCATCTACTTTGATATCCAGCTTGATGACGAGGTACTATTTGAGCAATTACTAAGGAGATTATTGGAACAGACAAGAACATTTAATGATTCAGTCAACTTGAAATTGCACAGTATAATTTGGATATATTTTAGCGAACTCGTGAATACGAAGCAGCAGCATTCAACTTTTCAAAAGTCTTTCCTTCCTTTGTTTGAAATCTCTACATGGGAAAACATACCACAGTATTCTCTTCTTCTCAGCAATGAAAGCAAAAGTGCATTTCAATCTAAGAAAAATGCTTTTAATGAAATTAAAGATAAACACAGTAAAGCGTTAGCTCAGTTGAAAAGTGGTTGGATTTATAGAGTCTTGAATAATTATATGTCCCGAGTAGTGGCTTCAGATTTTGAAGATTTGATTCACATCAATACGATGCATGAAAAGTACTTTATAGTGTATCTGGAAGCACTTTTGTACTTTCTAAATTCAATAGTGTCTCAGCTGAAAACAAGACTTTATATGATAACTTTAATCGAAAAGATTGGGTTTGTATCGAGTTTTGCTCGAGTTAATGAGAAATACAGCAAATTAATGTCTTTTGTGGACTTACTATGGTTCTATTTGAACTATCCATTAGAAAATCGTGACAAATATGGATCTAGACGTTTTTACCGTCTTCAAATTACACTTAATGAGTTATTTAGCGACTCAAATGCATGCAAAACATTGTCAATGGTTCCATCGATCGTTGACATAACTACTAATGAACTTTGCCGCATCCTAAAGGGCTACAAAATTAATGAACTCGAAGAAATTGCTCAAGCTCTAAATGTGCTGCAGCATGTCGTGAAAGAATACAAGGTGTTGCATTTTTTAGTAGATCTTATAAAGAGATATGTGTTCCTTCCAGGCTATAATTTGAAGGAGATACAAAAAAATTATTTTGACTTCAACGAGAAATCGCTTTTTGAAGAGCTGGGTCTGACCGATTTCTCAAACTTCGGTCCTTTGATGCCCATAAATAGGACACACGCTTTGTCTTTCGAGGATTTCATCAATAGATTGGCGTCAGAACTTTCATTCAAGTTTCGCAGGGAATTAAATTGTTTCCTTAAACAAGTGTTAAGTAGAATGAAGATTAGTTACGACTCAAGTTCCAATTTGAGTGTCAAAGGTTCCAGTAAGTATATGACTCAAATCCACAATATATCAAGAAATTTTGAGATTATAGAGCTTCTGACTAAAGAAAATAAAGAGTGGGAAGTCGAGAGCTTGCAGTCAGGAGATATAATTTTGCTTTTGGAAATTATTAAACCTAATAAGTATTCGCCATATGACAGGGTCAAGCAATATGGCTTGAATATTATTTGTCCCTGTGAGGTACTTCAGGTGTCTCGTCTGAGATCTGAAAATCAGTTGATTTTGAAGAGTTTTATTTCTATTGAAGATGTTTCGATCGAAAGATTTAACTACATACTTAAAGTCTCCTATGGTTTAACAAGTCAGCACCGTTTATTATCTCGCTTCATGAGCGGTATTTTAGTTGGTGGAGGACGACTTCCAATGTTCATTGCAAAGCTGTTCATCGACATGAAATTCGACGGAAGCATAAAACATCCTAAACTGCTTAAATTCAATTGCCTTTCCGAAAACTTTCTCTTTGAGGAGTTTGACAGAGAGAAGTTGCCAAAGAAAAAAAAGCGTAAAATAAAACACGGGATATTACTGAGCCCAATAAAACCGTGCTTGTTGACTTTAAATTCAGAGACTCGCAATTATGACGTCAAAGGAATTAAAATTTTGCCAAATGAAGTCAGCTTGACCTTTGAACAGTCCAAAGCATTAGTAAGCTGTTTAAGCGAAAAGTTAACTTTAGTTGAAGCTGTTCCTTCAAGTGGGGTTTACGATTTATTAAACTGTATCTTATCAAACATGAATTTGAACTTTTCTGCACAACGAGTTTTGATCATTTTACCGAACAGAGCTACGTTAGACCAGTTTGATATTAGTGGCGAAATGAAGCATCTTTCTTTAAAATACAAAGAAGATTTTTTTGAGATTCAACTTGAAACTTTTTTGAAATATGTTGATAGCTATTTAAAGGATGTTGAGCAGTTAGCCTCTTTCTTAGGTATGGAAAACGAAGGCTACCAGGAATCCTGCTTTAATGCACTATGCTTCTTTGAGCTTCATATATCGAGGATATGGAACAATTTTGTAAGAGAAGTTGACGAAAGGCAAGATAAATTGGACGATATTACATTTCCTAGTTTCTTAGGCTTTATTGCCGAAGGAAAGTTTGATGAAAGACTTCAGATAGCAATTGAAAGCTACTCGAAAATAAGAATGAAATTTGACTTCCTAGGGAAGATGGCTCCTCTTCTGAAGCTAAACACTGCTGTCAAAAAAATTAATTATTTACTCAATTGCGTCACCAAATATGTTTTTGTAACTGCCGATGATATTGTTCCCTATTATGAGAGCTTATTCAAGTTTAATTTCAAAGGAGTCATAGCATTGGGGAATAAAGATATCGTTCCGTCTCTTCTTCCGGCGTTCAATAATGAACGGATGAAGAGACTTATTATAATCAACGATCCTGTTACTGAAAGAGATACAGAGTCCCTTTATGCTAAATGCAGACTCTCGGAGCCCACGATTAAGTTAACGAAAGTTAAAGAGGTCAGAAGGGAATTTTTTGATGCATTTAGCTCCTTTTACGAAGAAATCACTTATGTCGACAGTAATCTACCTCTTCACAATCCAGGATTTAAGCACACATGGCAATTAATTAATGTCAACGAACTGGGTGGTCCACATGACGCAAGCTTACAAGAGGCCGAATACTGCGTTTTGCTTTACAAGTATATGCGCTTGTTGGGATACCCCACTTATAAAGTCTGTATTACTGTGCATTCATCTCGTCAAAGGATGTTGATTGACGAAATCTTAACTAAGGAATGCGGAAAAGGAAGTGTCAGAGGATCGAAAGACTTCTCTTTCGATATACCTGTTGTGGATCTCTATTCTCGCTGTGCACCTCACGATTTTATCATTGCATCACTCGTCGGGGCGGATCGCTCTTCGCAACCATTTCCGTTCAATTTGGCGCGTCGGGGGCTTTATATTGTAGCTAATATTGGTCTCCAGAAAGAAACTCCTAATCATAGAAGGTTTCAAATTCCAAAGGAAATGCCCTCGGGAGAACTTGAAATTTGCTTAAAAGAATCCTACACTTCTGAATGTTCTCAAAGAACAGAGGAGCAACTATTAACTTTGAAAGACTTGAAAAGTGCTTCCCGATATGTAACAAATATGTTCAATGATTTCGTAAAACGGATTTAGGTACCTTAATGATCAAAAAATTAGAGAATAAAAAAATAGCTTTATCAATGTTAAAAATATTTAGATTTTGTGCTCTTTGTTTTATCTTTCGTAGCTATCAAAAAATTCGATCACTTATCAATGGTTACATAATAAATATTACAAACAAAAAAAAAAAAAAAAAAAGGACGGCCGTAATCAAAGAATTTCACACAAAGTCTACGACGATAAAGAAATTTTTCTTCTCTCTTTTTTAGGCAGCATAATCTAAAGGACAGTCTATTGGGACAAGTTTCTTTATAGAGAGATAAAGATATCATTGTGCAATTACATAAAGTTCAAGTGAGCAGGCTACAACTCACGTTGAAATTGCAATCTGATAAGAATTCCATTTATCTCTGATAAAAGTCGTCATATCAAGGCACTTTTCATATCGTCAATCTTTTTGAAACATTAATTTACTGAACCAGAATTAGGATCACCCTTGACTAACAAACGTTTTGAAAAACGTAACATAAGCTTCTTTCTTTGAGAAACCTATTGACAGAATCACGCTTGCAATATTATATAAATTCAGGGATATTGCAATATTGGCATTTTTTCAGACTGTCAAGTTAATTTAATCGAAGAGGAAACGGCAAAAAATGAGCGAAATCCAACTGCGTTTGCCTCCGACTGTCAATCACAACCCGGTGCATCCAAATGCCAAGACAACAACACATGTGAGTAATGGCACAACAACTACGAAGACAAACATTACAAGTCCCGTTTGTCGGAACTGTAAAACTCAAACCACCCCCCTTTGGAGAAGGGATGAAACTGGTCAGGTATTATGCAATGCTTGTGGTCTTTTCTTGAAGCTCCATGGGAGGCCCCGACCAATATCCTTGAAAACTGACACCATCAAATCCAGAAATAGAATTAAACAGCCAAATTCGACGAAGTCTTCGGGTCCCAATACTCCAGAATTAAAGTCAAAGGACTCAAAGCAAGTAAATAACAATGTTAAAAAATCTCCCAAGGCTAAGAAAAAGTCTAGTGCCCTTAACATTACCGCTACAGATGCGAATTCTTTGACTCCATTACTACCTGCTGCTAATGGCGGGAGGGGTCTGCAGAATACCCAGAACGCTAGCCAAGGGTTACCGCATCCCTCTTTTCATTTGGCAAATCATCTTCAACAGCAGGTGCAACCGTTACATTATCCATCGTCTACTCCAACTCAGTTCGCTCCAGGCCTTCAGAGGATCACTTCTCCATTGCTACTTTCTTCAACATCGTCCATTTCCCATGCTAGATCCTCTTCAGGTAATAATCCGAATAATAATGCGGCAGTGCAAGCAGCTAGCACCCTTGAAAATATGTCACACGAATTAGGTCCCAGTGCAACCTTCAAGTCTTCGGAGAGCAGTGAGACAAATAATGGCGTTTCTTTAATGAATAACAGCCTGTCAAGTGCATCCAAAGACCCATCATTGGTTTTGTCAACTCCATCTACAGCATTAAATCCAAACCCACAGCCTATTCCTCCTAAGTTACCTAGCTTCAATTCTGCTCCGAACTCGGGAGCTAGTAGTGCAGCAATATCCTCACCGTCTTTTGGACCTCAATTTCACTTACAAGCTTCGCAAGCACCAAGTCTGCAAACATCTAAACTAGAGGTAAGTCCAGTATCTGAGATTTCGGCTCGCAATGATTCTCCTGATCTAAAGAATATGTCACTTCCTCCGATAAGTAAAGTGTCATCTGTATCACACAAGGCACCTTTGCCTCATTTTCAAAACAGCTTTGGAAATTTCAATAGTCACCTGTCCAATAACCAGAGCCAATCGTTTAATGAAAGCAACGATAACTCCAATCTTCGAAACGATGATGGCCTGGGTAACCGTGGTAATCGAAGTAATAGAGATAACAATGACAAGAATCATGATGTAACACATTTTAAAACTAGAATCTCGGAGCTCGAATTAGTGAATGATTTATATAGAACCAGAATAATGGAATTGGAGGCAATGGAACAGGCTGCGAGATTAAGAGAAAATTCTATGAGGAAAAGACTTGACGAAATTTTAAACTTACAAGATAAATCTATCCTAAGTTTGAAGAGAGAGAGCGAGGAACAGTCTGCAAGTCCTGCAAAAAGGTCGAGGTTAGACATTTAATCAAGATTAGATACATTAAGAAGTCGGCAAGTGAATTGTGTATGGTCATGTGTTACGATGGATTGGAATTATTACTTTATTTTTATTGTTTTCTTTTTTTTAGTACAATTTTCCTTCCTTTTATTCTATATATTATATTACTCTTATTAAGTATAAGCAGCAGCAAGATCATCGTTTTCCTATCTTTCTCATGTATTGCATAATTATTTTTCAACCATTTATTATTTATCGTGTGGGTTGATGAGGGACTCACTTCCCATAGTGTATTCCTGAATTCTTTTTCTACAGGTATGGCGTCCCCTATCTGTCGTTCAAGACATAGTTCAATACGAATAATTCTACATAGTTTTGTAAAGTAACGTATTGGCGTGCTGCCTTGACGAATCTTTCATTGTATACTACAAAATTATACGACAATCTCATTAAGCATACGTTGAGTAATAGTTGATTCAAATACCTAAGTACGTACGTCTGGCTCTTCTTTGCCTAAGAATTGCTTGAATTTTAAGAGCTCTAATACGAATGCAATTTCATCAGAAAGGAAATCGTCCACACCAAGCGTGAACTTGTGATGGTCACTAGAATGTTTTTCTAAGTACAACCGAACCGTGGCACCGGAAGATCCCGTTCCTGATAATCTGACAATAAATCTTAAGCCATTTTCAAATTTAATGTATAAACCTTGATTAGAGGAGACGGAACCATCCAAATCGGTGTACGAAAAATTCCCAGCTTCCTTGATTTTATATCCTGGAGAAAGTTCAGATCCTTTTTGAGAATTATCAACAATGGAAGTCAATAACTCAATGACTTTATTTGCCCCCTCAGAGGACACATTCTCATAATCATATCTAGTAAAAAATGTTCGCCCATATTTCTCCCAAAACAGTTTTTGAACTGTTTCTATTGAGGTAGACTTTTCAGGGTATTGCTTATCGAAAGCAGCTAAAACATTCAACCAAGCGATGATTGCCCATAATCCATCCTTTTCTCTGATATGATTTGAACCTGTTCCAAAAGACTCTTCACCACAAATGCTCAACTTTTTAGCATCAAATAAAGAGCAGAAAAACTTCCAACCTGTAGGAACTTCATATACTTTGAGTCCTTTATCTTTACCAACCAAATCCAATGCACCTGAAGTTGGCATTGATCTGGCTAAGCCATAAACTCCATTTTTAGCAAAATAGGGAATCGAGTCAGCGTATTCTGCAATAATAGCGACAGAATCACCAGGTGAGACAAAAGTACCGGCTCCGTATATCATGTTTCTATCCCCATCTCCATCAGAAGCAGCTCCGAAAGCAATACCTTCTTTATCGACTTTATCGACTAAGGTCTTGGCATAGGTTAGGTTCGGGTCTGGATGCAAGCCACCAAAATCTGGTTTTGGTTCGTAATTTTGAACTGATGAGGGAGGAAGGTGCAATTCTTCCACAAATATTTTCCATCCATACGGGCCTGTAACCCCATTTAATGCATCAAATAAGACTTTAAAACCTTGATTTTTTGCGGCACTGTGTATAAATGACCTGATTAAAGGAAAGTCAAAAATCGATTTTAGCATATCGATATAATCTTTGGTCGAATCAACAATTTGAATTTCAAGTGGCCCAATCTTATGATCTCCAAGCTGCAGTAAATCAAAATCGGGGAGATCAATCACTTTATATTCTGTGAGGTTCTTTGAGACATCAAATATACGATCAGTCACAGACTCAGGTGCTGGACCTCCATTACCCAAGTTGTACTTTATTCCTAAGTCATTTTCAGGGCCACCCGGGTTATGGGAAGCTGTCAAAATGACACCACCGGTAGCATCTGAAATTCGAATGATGTGGGATGTAGCAGGTGTAGAGAGAATACCATTTTGTCCAATGATCAACTTTTTAACACCATTAGCCGCTGAGATCTTTATGATTAAGCTGATTACCGTATCATTGTAAAAGCGCCCGTCTCCACCTATAACTAAAGTAGAACCTTTCGAGCCCTCAGGAATTGCATCCAAGATAGCTTGAATGAAATTTTCGGTATAGTGTGGTTGCTGAAACACTTTGACCCTCTTCCTTAAGCCTGATGTTCCAGGCTTTTGATCCTTAAATGGCTTGGTGCTGATGGTCCGAATTTCGCTCATATCTCTTTACTAAAACAAGCCTTGAGAAGAACTAGCGAATCTTAATTGAGAGATGAATCAATTGCTAGTGTTTTAACTTTAGGAAGTTTGCTGTGTGATCATGGATTTCTCCTCTATTTTCCGGCTCGCGTTTTAAGAATTGTTGAGTGTTTGTGGCACTATCCAACATTAGATTCAAAACAAACTTTAAGAGGTTCCACGAAGTAAAAATATTATGAAGATTAAGAGTTGACCTTATAAAATCTTTTAAAGCTTTTAAAGCTATCTATAAAATTAATTAATTAATTATTAATTACTTGGTTGATCGCATCAGCTAAGTAGTCAACGTTATTATCATTGATTCCAGAAATAGAAAACCTACCATCTTCAGTGGCATAGACGGAGTACTTTTCTCTTAACTCAATGACTTGTTTAGCAGTTAAGCCTGTAAAAACAAACATACCTCTCTGTTTTAACAAATGGTCCCAGTTATACTTGGACTTGTCTAATTTTTCATACAACTTTTGTCTGACAGTGTTCAATCTTGAAACTACGTGATCCAAGTCAGACAACCATTCATTCAACAAATTCTCATCTGCGAATATGGTTTCCACAATCTTTGACCCATGTATTGGAGGAGAAGAGTAAATAGGTCTAATCAACTTCTTCAACTGAGATTCAATAGCAACGGATTGTTCCTTGGATTCAGTAATAATTGAAAGAGATCCTGTTCTCTCGCCGTACAAACCCATATTCTTAGCAAATGACTGACATAAGGCATATGTTGGGATTTTGCCTTGTACTACCAACTCATTCATTCTTCTAATCAAACTTATATCTTTATAAGGGTTTCCTGAGGCGAAACCTTGGTAGGCCATGTCAACTAAAGGAAATAATTTTTTAGCTTGAACAATCTCCAAAACTTCTTCCCACTGTGAGCTGGTTAAGTCCATACCTGTTGGATTATGGCAACAAGCATGCAATAAAATAATAGATTCCGACAGAGCATTGTTCAAAGACTCCTTCAACTTCTCAAAATCTAAGTCATTTTTAGAGGTATTGTAGTAAGCGTAAAAGTCTGATTGAATACCTGCATCAGTGAATACCGCAATGTGATTCGCCCATGTTGGCTTTGGGACTATGATATTCTTGCTGGAATAAAACCTTTTCAAGAATTCAGCTATAACCCTCAAAGAACCGGTTCCAGATATGGTCTGGGAAGTTACAATTCTTCCTTCTTCTATTAGCTTAGCTCCATTGGTATCCTTATTAGAATTGTTGAAAATGAAATTCTTTACGATGCTTTGGAAGTTTTTGCTGCCGGTTATTGCAGTGTATTCTTTTTGAGTCTCTGTCTTCAACAACACGTTCTCCGCTTTTTTAACGGATGGAAATATGATTGGTTTTCCTGAATTATCTCTGTATGCGCCAACACCTAAGTTAATCTTCTTAGTATTATTGTCCTTGACAAATGCTTCAGCGATTCCTAAGATCTTATCAGGTGGGGCCAACGGAATTTCATTCCACTTTTGAACTCTGTTATTCAAAACAGAAAAGTTCCTTACCGAAGTCAACCTTCTGGTGCTCTGAACTTTGGACATCATGTTGATCAATAGTATACTCTATAAACTTAGAATCAACTTCGTTTTCTTTTTCCTCTTTTTTTTTTCAGCCTTCAGTAAAAGAAATTTCTTTCCTAATCTGTAGAGTGTCTAACACCACCTGCCTATTCCCTTAATACTTTAGGATTAGATAAAATATATAAGAATTATGATTATAATCAAGAAGCGGGACAAAACGTCGGCTTATCATAGCGGCATCGAGCCATTTCAGCTTTTATAGGTTCTTGATTTCCGAAGCGGGTTTACTCTACATTTTGGAGAGGGGAGTACATCGTAAACTTCTCTAATGAGTCAAAGGGCTACATCTTACACGCCACAAAAACTAAGCGCGGCGGGTTAGCGGAAGCATATGTGTCTTCGGGAAAGATGTACGCGAGATGAACCGCGGCGAAACTATATTTTGGTAAAATACAGCTACGGGTGGGGGGCAGCCGTAAAAAAGATTTTAAATTACGATATCCAACGTAAGCAGACAAAAACTAAGATGGTGCGAACACACACATGCACGGATACTATCGGCAACTGAAAATTCTGCCGGCAAAGGATATTTTATCCGATGAATGTGGCAGTCGCCTCAACCATCGCAAGTAAATGCGGCTACAAGGAATATCTCAAATCAGGCGAAAAAATATTAATTTTGTTACTATACACACACTTAAATCTAGACATGCTCCTCTTCAGGCTTTGCTTCTGCAGTTGTTGCAGCAGCAGCGATTGTTTGTTCTTTAGTTGGAGGGATCCAGCCCGATGATTGCCATGGGTGAACATCCAGCTCATACAAAAGGTCGACTTCTTCTAACGACAACCCCTTAGTCTCCATTACAAAAAAGTAGACATAGAATATTGAAAATGCCATGCAGCCCGCAAAAACGAATCCATAATAGAAATGGATAGCGGAAGTGATGAATGGAGTGAAGAATGAAATTAAGAAACCCCACAACCAGTTTGCTGCGCTCGCAACAGCAATGGCTTTAGATCTAATTCTAATTGGATAGGTCTCAGATACGATGGTGTAAACACCACCTGCCCAGGTAGATGCGAAGAAGAAAATGAATAAACATGTAATGAAGATCATCGCATCTCCAGTTGACTTATAAGTATTATTGTTATTGTAGGAATTGTCTTTGTATAAATGTACCGAACCCAAGACTGAGTAGATAATGAAGCATACAAACATAGCCACTGAACCAACGAGTAAACAATTTCTTCTACCATATTTTTCGATACAATAGATACCAACAAAGGTTGAAGCGAAGTTAACAACACCTAAAACAATGGACGTCTGGAATGAGTCTTTCATACCGACAGCTTGGAAAATAGTGGTACCGTAGTAGAAGAAATAATTATCCCCCGTCAATTGTTGCAATGATTGCAAGAGAATACCCATTAAAACTCTTTGGAAGATTTTTGGCTTTCCTGTTATCAATTCAGTCCAAGAAGCACTACCAGCCAAATTTTCCTTTTCAATACCTGCTTGAATTGTCAAGACCTCAGTGTAAACACCAGGATCTTCGATAGGAAGGTTATTTGACCTTGCTATTGATTTCTTTGCATCCTCAATTCTATGCTTTTCAACCAAAAATCTAGGAGATTCGGGCATCGCCAACATACCGACGACCAAAAAGATTGCCCATGCAAAACACAAACCCAAAGGAATTCTCCATTGCCTTGAATCAGAATAAACTTTAGTACCATAAGTCGTACAGTACCCTAAAAAGATACCTAACGTGATACATAACTGGAAACAACACACTAAAGTTCCTCGCAAGGTTTTAGGTGCTGTCTCACCAATGAATAAAGGTGACAAGACGGAAACAATACCGACTGCTAAACCTGTGATAGCACGACCGATACAGATCTGATACCATTTATGACTAGTAGAAATTTGAACTATGATACCAACGACATAAATTAACATTGAAAACATAAGACCTACTCTTCTTCCCCATACATCTGCAATCTTGGACAAAAAAATTCCACCGACAGCACATCCAATGTTAAAAATAGAAACAATTAGACCAGTTCTGACATTTGATAATATGTATTCACCACTAGAATTAAGCTCTCCGAACCTTCTCAAGAAGTCCGACATATTAACAAAACCAGAGATAGTACCAGTATCGAAACCAAAGACGAAACCGCCGAATGCAACTAGCAAACAAAATAATGAAATTAAAGCGTGATCCTTAACGGTCTTCTCAGGTAGCTGTGGTAAGTGGAGAGAATCTGAATCTTTAGCATCATTTTTCTCGTTATCAATTATAGACTGTGAGTCCACTGGTGTCTGGCCACCAGATGCCAATTGTTCTTGTGACATGGTTTTCTCTTACAAAAAAGAACCTAAATAATAACTTAATAGTTGATAATTAAAACATCTTCCTCTCTCTATTTATAAGCATATCAACAGAAGCGAAGTAGCCGGAAAAATCTGCGGAGAGACTGCTTTCCGACATAATCTCCTGTAAAGGGTTATGCTTATTCTTTTTTATTACGTGACATACTTTACGGAACGACAAGGAACTGGCTATAAAACTTAAAGCCATCGGATGATATGCATGACCTACATACAGCACACATGACGCAGTCACCACAAACCAAACGCCTGTTTTTAAGGCATCTCGAACGACTTAAAAAAACAAAACAATTTATCGGAACTCGGGGTGCGGAGTAGAAGTGGAGAATGCGAACTCATCTGTAGCCTTATGATTATCCAATGATAATAAATCAGGGACCACCAGTGCGTAGAACCATGTAGTCCACTGCCGATATCGCTTCAACGGTAGACCAATGCAGAAAACGTCACTCCATAACAATACAAAAATTATTTCTTGAGACCCCTGGATGTACAATTTTCTTTTGAATTTTGATCTGCTTCATTTTTGAGCTGCCGCCCCAATCATAAAGCCAGTAAGAAAGCTTTTTTGCCTCATAGTAAAAAGTCTGCGTAAAACCAAGAGCCTGCATAATACTATCTAGTGTGTTCTTGTCAAAATATCTTGAATTGGCAATGCATGGTAGAGGTAGAACTAAAAATAAACTAGACAAGCCTGTTGAAGTTGGCTCCTTGAGAAACTCAGTTATTCTTCTTAGCATGAGGCCCCTTCCCGTGGGAGAAGGAACAAAGTTAATAACTAATGAACATGAGATCATATTAAATTTTTCTTCGTTCGAGATAGGTAAAGGTCTTTCCATGAAGTCCTGCTCTAATATCAATGAGTTATTCGATCGTAGATCAATTCGAACCACCTTCTGAAATATGCCGCATGTTGATATGTTATTCCTTGGGTCTAATGAACCTATTTCTAAAGCACTTAAGGGCTCGTTAAGTTCGTATATTTTTTGATATTTAGACTCTCGTAGCCAGGTTATCAACCTCTTTGAAGAGTCTCCACCTCGTTTCTTGTCTTGGCCATGTGTTGATGCTGCTTGATAAGCATCAATTCCCCCTCTAAAAGCAAGCTCAGCATTGATTTTCCCTAAACAAGATAGTAGCAGGTCAATATCCAATGTTTTAGCATCGGCTAACGGCCCTTCACTACGGGCAACCTTCAGAGCCTTGAACTCATCGTATGATCTTTTATAAGTTTTGAAGAGTTCCGAAGATGAAGCTTTGAGAGCTACTTCGAATGAATCTTCTGAATCTATTTCCTTAAGTTTTAGTTCTTGTTTCAATTTGGCAATCATTGAAAACTTGAGCTTCTGTAAAACATGATATCTTCTTATCAATTCTCTAGTCTTTTGAGGCTTCAAGCTAGATGGACGATGCTTCGTACCAGTTATGGTGCTACGGCCATGTAGGATCCCAAAACTTTTCTTTTTCTTTGCCATATGTTGCTTTCTAAAATCAACTTCATAAGTATTACATTATATATACAGGTGTAACGAGATGAGATGTGTATAATTTTTTTTTTTTTTGTGATATTCTGTTTTCCATCTGTTAGCCAACTGCTCAATTAGTCTATTCATTCACACATTAGAACAATGAAGGCCAAATCAAAGGCATCTGGTAAAAAAGGCAGTAAAGCAATTGCTCGTCCAAAGAAAACCGAGAAAAGAAGTAAACCTCTATCTCTCAAACAAAAATTGCATAAAGAATCCAAGGTTGTCAAGGTTGGAAATTTAAACTGGAAGCAGGTTGAAATACCAGACAATTTAGACGATTACGAAGGATTTTATGGCCTTGAAGAACTAGAAGGAGTAGATGTTAAAGTAGTTGACGGACAGCCTCAATTTTTGATTGCAGATAATAATAGTAAACAGAGCGACGAAGAGTCATCCCATATTGAAGAAGAAGTAAAAGAAGAAAAAGTAAAAGAAGAAGAAGAAGCAGAAGAAGAAGAAGAGGAAGAAGAATTTAAAGGATTTGATGATACACTGTCGACACGGGAGTACGAAGATGAAAAAAATGATGTTCGCAAAAACTCAAAGTCAGGAAAGTTTAACGATAAAGATTCTAAACACAAAGAAAAAGATGATCTTGAAAATGTTGGTTTTCAAAGCTTGAGCTTTCCTTTGCCTGATGATATTAGTCTTCCTCATTGGGAAAACATCGGGAGTGATCAAAATGTTGTATTAAGCTCATACACCTTAAACGCACTTTCTTCTGCAGGTTTTAAGAAACCAACGCCGATTCAAAAGAAAACAATCCCGCTAGCATTAGCAGGAAAAGATGTTATTGGAAAAGCAATAACTGGATCAGGTAAAACGTTAGCATATGGAATCCCAATATTGGAAAAGTATTTGTCCAATGTCGAGTCATTTGAAGAATCCAAATCAATAAGGCCCCCGGCTGGAATAGTGTTTGCGCCAACTCGAGAACTTGCTCAGCAGGTTGTTGATCATCTAAATGGCATTGCAAAATATTCACCCTTATCGGTGAATGGGATTGTTGGTATAACTGGGGGTCTTTCAATTCAAAAGCAAGAGAGATTGTTATCTAAAGGGCCAGGAATTTTGGTGGCAACCCCAGGAAGGTGCCTTGAAATATTGGAAAAAGACCCAATTTTGTTAAAAAGATTGGCAATGACAGATATTGTAGTATTGGATGAAGCGGACAGGCTACTCCAAGATGGACATTTCGAAGAATTTGAGAGGATTCTAGAATTGTTACAAAAGAATAGACCTAAAGATAATTCAATACCTTGGAAATGGCAAACACTAGTCTTCAGTGCCACTTTTTCCAGAGACCTTTTTGGGAAACTTGATAAAAAACCGAAAGATAATAAGTCACAGGGAAGCTCATTAATCGAGAACGATCACATCTTACAGCTACTTAATGAAAAATTACATTTCAAGGATTCCAAACCAGCATTGGCTGATGCAAATCCGCAACATCTAGTAAATAATAAAATCACTGAGGCTCTTGTCGAATGTGGGCCAAGTGAAAGAGATTTGTACTTGTATTACTTTCTATTAATGTTTCCTGGATCGACATTAGTTTTCGCAAACGCAATTGACTCAGTAAAACGATTGGTTCCATTTTTAAACAGTTTGAACATTCCTACATTTTCGATACATTCTTCGATGATTCAAAAACAAAGGTTGCGCTCTTTAGAGAGATTCAAAGAAGCTAGCCAAAAAAACAAAGTTGCAGTATTGGTTGCTTCAGATGTTGCTGCAAGAGGGTTGGATATTCCTGCAATTGACCATGTAGCACACTATCATTTACCTAGAAGTGCAGATATATATATTCATCGTTCAGGAAGGACTGGAAGAGCAGGAAAAGAGGGTGTCTCTATCATGTTCTGCTCTCCTCAAGAAGTATCAGGTTCGCTTAAGAGGTTAAGAAAACTAGTATCAGGGGCAAAAAACTCATTGATAGGAAATAATGGAGATTTGAAGTTGCTTCCTATTGAAATGGACATTTTGTCTCAATTGAAACAAAGAGTTTCAATTGCAACAAAGTTAGCTGATTCCACCATTTCGACTTCTTCAACAAGAAGCGAAAAGTCATGGGTTACTGAAGCAGCAGAAGAGCTAGGGATTGATGAGGATGCTGACGTTGACATGTTTCAAGATCCTAAGCTAGATAAGAGCAGAAGGAAGAGAGAAAATAAATTGCTTAGTAAAGAAGAGTCTAAGTTTCTAAGACTTGAATTGAAAGATCTTTTATCGCAACCCGTTAGACGAAATATGAGAAAATCATATCTCACTAGTGGATTGCAGAATTTGGCACATCAGATGATTACGGGAAGTACAAATAAGAATATTATAGGACAAGAAGAAGTGAGAGCTTTAGATAAATTGAAGGTCGGTAAAAAGAATCAAAAGACTTTCGAGGGCAGCCAGCGTAAACGATCCAAAAATTAAAAGAAAACAAAATCCAGAGAAAGTAAATGTAAAAGTAAATTAAATGTATATACTATACCTCTTTAATATCTTTATATTTAAATGAAATCGTCGTCATCGTCATCATAGTACTCATCATCAGATTCATCCGTCAACTGTTCGAAGTTGACTTTATATCTTAACAAAGCACCCACACCACCAAAACCTTGGACAAACTGCGCACCTTCTGATGACCTATCAGTGACAAATTCCAAATTTGCACCAAAACTTTTATAGTTCTCGGCAAGCCATTCCAAAAACGATTCTTCCTTAACAATTTCCATTTCTACACCTGTCTTTTTATCTAACTGCCAGGTTTTATCCGACAACTCAGGATTTGCATGAGTGATGACTTCTTCTCCATCGGAATCCTTCAATGTGTAACGCACAGTATTCAAGTTTTCGTAAACAATGATAGTCTCACAAGCCCCTAAATCTAAAGCTTTTAAAGTATCCTCAATTCCGTAACAGAATTTACCAGAATCAAGAGAAATTTCTTCAAAATACTGATTTAACAATTTTTTCTCTTGAACAAATTTGACATTGGATAAAGTTTCAGCAGACAATTCAATGGCCTGATTAAATCCGTTTTCTCCACCGTAAGATATATCTACAATTTTGATTACTTTAGCTTGCAATCTTCCATCAAAGAGATCAGACTTTGATAATTCTGTTTTAAAATCGGCGGAACCAGCCAAAATTAAACCCTTAACGTTAACTTTATCTGCAGTAATGAAGTTTTGTACTGCTACTTCGGCCACCTTTCTAACATAATTGTGTCTCTTCTCTTCCCTCAAACGCGAGAAACGAACAGCGGACTGTCCACCTCTTCCGTGCTTCTTTGGTAAATCAACTGTGAACTTTTGTAATACCTCTCTATTGTTTCCACATACTGCACCAAACAACGCTCCATGACCATCCATAACTATGAAACCGAATCTATCGTCATCTTGAAGTAGCTCTGATAAAGCCTCTACATGAAATTTATTATCACAAAGATATAAGGACGTGTTGATAGGTTTAAATGGTTCAAAGTCAATATTAAGCTTCTTTTCTTTACCTTCATCAGTTATCACGTCACCACAATAGACGACTAAACCATTTCTCGGGACTGAGTTGTATAACTTTAATTTCTGTTGAGTCGAAGTGATTGCAGATAAGACAGATAACCTGTTAACACGAGACTTAATATTGGATGCTGTACCATATTCTTCTGTTAACATTTTTTGTGTAAGCGAAATCTGTCCTTTCGGTGGGATGATCAATGATATCATCGAAGTTCCATTACCTCTCGCAGCCTCGAGAGATTTAATCAACTTTTTTACCTTCCAGATTTCAATATTCTTCGCAACATCTGTTTCTTGGGACATTTTCTATTATATTCCTTTTTGTTTAAACCTTCCAATGGGTCAATGATGCTGAAATATAATGATTTAGGTCTATAGTCTTAGCTACTCAAAAAATTTTTCATATAGCGGCCCTTGGATTATTTTGTGATACCTTTATTGTTAATTTATATGCAGATTATAAATAGTTTTTAATGTAACTTATCAGGCTAAACAAATCACTTCTTTACTTAAATTTCAAGTACAACATTATGGCTAGTGAACTGAGAAGTGAAGAAAATCAGAATGAGGGGCCCTTTGGGCTGGAACAACAAATGCGGCAGGAAGAAGGATCGAATTATGATTCTGACTATGAAAGCGAAGTGTCTTCTGATGAACCTTTGGAAGAAAAGAAAACTTCACATCGTCCTGGTGATAATGCATTTAGACAGCAGCGTCTAAGAGCCTTCAATCCCGTTATGACTGCAAAGACTGTTATTCCAATATTGATGGCTATCGCGATCATTTTTGTTCCGTTGGGGGCTGCTATGTGGTATGCAGCCCATAGGATTCAAGATGTTACTATTGATTATACACAGTGTGAAAAAATGGCTTCCAAGCTGTACTGGAGTGAAATTCCAACAGAATATGTAACATATAACTATCGCACCAAAGACCACTTGATCAAACAGAAGGCTCAGTGGAAATTAGAGACAGACGAGTCTCAACAATTCGAGGATGAAAGAAACGTCTGCAAAATACAGTTCCCCGTAGCAAATAAATTATCATCGCCTATTTATTTCTTCTACAGATTGAACAAGTTTTATGCTAACCATCGTCGTTTTGTTAAATCGTTTAGTGAGGAGCAGATCATAGGAAACGCTGCCTCCGAAAACACCATTAAGAATACACCTGGTCAGAACTGTGAACCTTTATCGGTGAACTCGGAAGGTAAGAAATACTATCCTTGCGGCTTGATTGCAAATAGTTTGTTCAATGACACATTTACGACCACTTTGCAAGGGGTTAATGGTACATCACACGATTATAAGCTTACAGAAAATGGCATTGCTTGGAAAGCTGATAAGAACAGGTTCAAGAAAACCAAGTATCATTATTCCGATATTACTCCACCCCCAAACTGGTATAAAAGATTCCCTGATGGATACAATGAAAGTAATGTCCCTGATATTTCAACTTGGTATCAATTTCAGAACTGGATGCACCCATCTGGATTGCCTAGATTCAACAAGCTTGCTTTAAGAAATGATCATGATGATCTTGAAGAGGGAGTCTATGAAATCACAATTGGTCTTCACTTTCCTGTGTTACCTTTTAATGGTAATAAGTACGTTTACATTAGTCAAAGGTCAGTGATAGGTGGTAAAAATTTTTTCCTTGGAATTAGTTGGATCGTTGGTGGTGGCATCTGTTTCTTGTTGGGTTTACTGCTACTTATAGTCAATACTATCAAGTCTAGGAAGACTGGAGACATCAACTTACTCAGTTGGAACCGAGAAGAATTTGCAAAGGATGAAGCAATGGATGTGCAAGGAAGCCCCGAGAAATAATCCTGTATAATGGAGAGTAGACGCTTTCAATATACAAAATGACACCTGCCGTCATACTGTAAATGTAGCCCGCTTATTTCGAAGTAAGACTTTTTTAACTATTAAAAAGAAAGTAATGACAGAACCGTGGAAGACAACTAACGAAATTCTCCTTAAAAATGCGCCAACGAAGGAAGTGACTTTCGGATGGGACAAGGAGAGTTCAACTTTTAAACTTGCTTCGAAGACAATTGATGTGAGTGACGTCAAAGACGGGCAGTTTATAGCCAAGGTGATATACCTCTCCAATGATCCTACCCAAAGAGGATGGATGCAGAGGGGCGCGGACTCTTCAAGAATGTACACTGCGCCTATTGTTGAAGGTGATGTGATCAAGTCGGCTGGTATAGCTGAAGTTGTCTATTCCAAGAGTCCTGAATTCAAAGTCGGAGACAAATTTACTGGTTCATTGGGATGGCAAGAATATAAGATTTGCGATAAGAACAATGTGTTTGCAAAGATCGATGAATCAAAGAATGTACCCCCCGCCGCTTATCTTGGACCATTTGGCTTGAATGGTTTAACTGCTTATTTTGGACTAATTGAGGTCGGAAAGTTAAAGAAGGGCCAGACAGTTGTTATATCTGCAGCTTCTGGAGCAACTGGGTCTTTATGTGTCCAAATTGCGAAGCATATAATTGGCGCGTCTAAGGTTATTGGATTAACCAGCTCAGACGAAAAATGTAAATGGGTGAAGTCACTTGGCGCTGACGAGTGTTTCAACTCTGCTGATGAAGACTATAAAAAAAAACTTACGGATGTTTTAGGAGAAGATTACGTTGATGTTTACTTTGATAACGTGGGCGGTCAAATCTTAAGTTTCATGCTTACAAAGGTGAAGCAATTTGGCCACGTTGTAGCCTGTGGCTCAATATCTGGTTATAACGATGGAGAGAAACTTGTCGTGCACAATTGGGGTCAAATTATTACAAACAGACTCACTGTTCGTGGTTTCATCGTGATGGATTTTAGTGAAAAGTTCCCCGAAGCCCTTGGAGTTCTCACAAGAGCTACATTAGAAAAGAAAATATCCATTTCTGGTGGAGTGAGTGTACTTGACGTAAGCAAGTCAAATTCACCGTTAAAAGAAGTTCCTGAAATTTGGGGCCAGCTTTTCAATGGTAAAAAACCTCACGGAAAACTCATAACTAAAATTGCTTAGCTTAAATATCTGAAGTAGGAAATAGTTGTGTATTGAAAAATTTAAAGGCTAGCTTTGCTTTCGTTCAAAATATCTTATAAATGCTATCCTCTTAGGATACCAGTGCTTGATCACCTATGAGATATACGAACTCGGTAGTGTATGCAGTTATGCGATGGGCGCGACTTGTAAACATAACATTGATTTGTGGCCCAATTGACTGCTTAATATTAAGGCAAGCCATTGCATCTTGTTTCAAAGTCTATTACGGTCGTTACACTTATGATAAATATACATCCTTTTCAGATTATTTAGGGTTGGATTAAATTTGATCATGTAAAAGAATCGAGACACTGATGTTTAATACTGGACCTAAGAAACTAGCAAACTCCCCAAAACATTTGAGGGATGAAGTTGCTACAAGAGATGATGCTAGTAACTTACAATCTAGAGATACTGAACTGCTGTATGGTAATGCGATACTACTGGAAAAACAGAATACTTTAAAAAAATTTATGGAAACAGATGATATTGAATTCTCAAATGATTTTGATTTAGATGAAGAAATAGATCTATCTTATTCAAAGTTTTCCCATTTGTCAGGGATATCATTTCAGAATAATCCACTTAACGATAACCGCGTCCTTGATTCTCCATTTGCCCAAAGAATTAAATCTAAACTAAACATTGAGCTCGAACAAGAAAATATTGAATCTATTGATGTGACTAACGAGGGCGCAAATAGTCGTGAGAGCTTAGCTCCCATTAACGAAGCCACGAAATCCAAAAAAAAGACGCATATTGATGAGCGAATAAACCCGGCTCTGAAGCCATTTGGTAATAGTTATCAGAACATCGGTGCTTTTGCACCACAGGAAAATTATCAGAGTCCATCTAATTATAAGAAAACGCACACCAAAAAGCACAATATGGAATCTCTTTCATATTTCAAGAATAACCAGATAGATCCAATGGAATATGCTATTCCCAACTTACAGACACCCGGAAGATTTAGCCATCAAAGAGTTTCACCTGTCAAAGTGTCTCTCACGCCTGCTCAAAGATTGGAGCCTAAGGTGGACTTCAAGTTGTCCAATGCCTTGGAAAATTTTCAATTTTCATCTTTGATAGGTAGGGGAGCGTTTGCAAATGTATACAAAGGTGTAAACTTAAAGACTCATAAGGTTGTTGCAATAAAACAGATCCTATTGGATGATAGTCAAGATGTGCGTGGTCTAATGGGTGAGATTGATCTTTTGAAGATTTTAAGACACCCAAATATTGTCAAATACCACGGGTTTGTCAAAACGTCTACCTCATTGAATGTGTTCCTCGAGTTCTGTTCTAAGGGCTCTTTAAGACAACTATATAAAAGAATGGGACACGGATTGCCAGAGAGTCAAATAATAAAATATGTGAGGCTGATATTGGAGGGTCTTAACTACTTACATGAACAAGGTGTAGTTCACAGAGACGTCAAAGCTGCAAACGTATTGATTACTGAGACAGATGAAATAAAGCTTGCTGATTTTGGAGTAGCTGCCCAGGTCTCTTCAAAGCATGAAAGTGTAGTGGGGACCCCAAATTGGATGGCACCCGAAACAGTCTTAGGTGGAGAAGGTCTTTGTACGGCGTCAGATATATGGTCACTAGGTGCTACTGTAATTGAGCTATTCACCACAAATCCGCCATATCATGATTTAAACCCAATGGCGACTTTGCATGCTATAGGAATAGATGATCATCCACCATTACCCACAGGAATGACCTCTCTTGCGTTGGATTTTTTGACAGAATGCTTCCAAAAACAACCAAAGCTTCGGACGACTGCCAAACTACTTTTGCAGCATAGATGGCTAACATGTAATAGGAAGCCAGTACGACAAACTTCAAAAATTAACTCCTTAAATGAATCCTATACACCTGTCAAACCAATCGAATTGTATGCGGAAATAAGAGAGGATGCGAATTGGGAGAATGACTTTAAGGAAGTCAATAAAGAAAACTGGAAGTCTTTGGGAGCTGACATGATCAAACTTGAAAACATTGAAGAGTCCATGTTCACATCTAAGGAGACAAAAACTGAATATGGCAGGAACGAGCTTTTAAACAAGTTTTCAGAAAGTAATGAAGATGTGAGCTTTGAATCTTTACCTAGGATTTCTAATCAATCTGCCAATGACAGTATTCAAAAGAAATTGATCAACCAAATTGAGGAAGAAGATCCATTCTTAAATATTGAGAATGAGAACTTTGATACTAACGAGCTTGAGATTCAAAGCAAGATGGAGTTTTTGGTGACAAAAATGTCAAGTAGAGTAGATCTATTTCATTCTCGTCCTGATGAGGTGGCAACTTCGCTTCTCAAAGTTACCACGAGAATGCGTCATCTTGTCAAAAAATACTCAATTCTGCATTCGATATTAATCAGGGAGCATGGAATCTTGACTTTACTTGAGCTTGCATCATGTGCACCTGAGATGCCAAGGTTGCAAGAACTATGGTTTAACACACTTGCAATTCTCAATATCATTTTTGATTCAAGTTTGTCCCAATTTGAAAATTTTTGTTTACTTGGTGGTATACCAGTCTTTACGCATTTCAGAAACATTTCATATGATTTAAAGATAAGGTTGGAGGTTATAAAATTCATAGGAAAGATGGAGTCCTCCGAAAGAGCCCTTTCTATGTTTGTATCAAGTGGTGGTTTAAGAGTCTTATCTAAATTTGTGGAAGAGGACTTTGATTCGACACCTGAATTTCCTTTGGTTGCAATTGGCTGTATTCATGGTGTTTTATCCAAAGATATTACTAGATCCAAATCTGATCTATGCCGCATATTATCAAAGTATGGTGTATTATTTTGGTTTGTTGTTTTATTAAACAGATTATGCAAGTTACAAGGGCATTCATTCCGAAGTCACTCTAAAGAAGAAATCGAAAAAGCAGGGGATCAAATTATAGATATTATCAAATACTTTAGTATGTCTGAGGCTAAGGTACGGATCAATATTTCAAGTGCCGATCTTTTTAAAGTTTTAATCAAAGTGTATTCGAACATCGAATTTCGGCACCAACTAGTAATTCTTAAATTCATCAGGTCTATGTCATGTATATCAGATGTACTTAATGCGTTACATTCGGCTGATATTTTAGAGTTCTTGATAAGATTATTGGAGTCATATTCTGCTAAAACTCCTCATTACAAAGAAGTTATGAATCTCGTCTGTCCCATAATATATAATATTTGCTATCTTAATCATGCACGAGAGACTGAATTAGTCAATTTAGGAGCTGTTCCTTATTTGAACTCATTGTCCAAAATCAACCTTGAATTTCGTCAATTTGTTTTACCTATTTTATGTGAATTGGTTTACTGTGACGGAGTTCGTAACATCCTAAAGAAGAATGATGTTTTATCCATTTATTTCAACCTACTTGTCGATCCATATTGGCAATCTAATGCTTTGGATGCAATAATCACTTGGGGTAAGCATGATCCAGACTATGTCAACTTCAACACTCGAAAGGCGTGTGATTGTTTAGTAGGTGGCTTCATGTTATCAAAAACATCGAACTTAGAATCCGCGTTAGACAGCTATTTCAAATTATTGTCTACGAATGAACAGCTATGCTCAACTATGCTTAAGGAGTCTTTGATACAGAATATATTACTCAAATTGAATATTAATAACAATTACCCTGCAGTTCAATTGGGCTTGCTTAGAATTTTACGGTTGTTGACAATATATGGAGAGAAATCAGGAATCATTTCCTCCTTAAATATTACAACTAATATAACTTCTGAGCTTAGATCACTCAAGGCAAAATCAGTCTTGGTGGAAGAGCTAGCCATTGATATTATATCGCATTTATAGTACAAATATAATAAACATATTTGTTGATGATTTTCTGACCTGTAGGAAGAAATGTCTAGGGTCCCTCGGATAAAATTAGGAAATAATTTAAAACGAAACGAGCCTCTATATTTCACATATAATATAATGGTGCAGATATCTTATCCTTCTCCAAGGGTTTCACAGCTCGATGCCCATATATTGGATGCCGAGCTAATATCTCTTTTGAAGGAACAGCTCGTTAACATTTTTCAATTGCACACGAATAGTTGGTGGACCTATAATCACCATCCAGAATTATGGACCTTACTATTGAACTTGCTTGTATTTAAGCTAACAGTATTGAGAAGTGGCTCCTCATATGGACTTCTGCTACAAAATTTGAAATTAACGGATTCCAAGAGCAGAGTCATTATAGGTTATTTTAAGAGATACGCATTACTAACTATTATTGTTGGAGATTACCTCTACAAGAGGTTCTCTTCGTATTTGTACTCCATAAATGAATCTGATAATCAACAGCCAAAGAATGGGGGGTTATTCTCAAGGCTATGGTCAATTATTGAGAAGAATAGGACTAAAATATTAACAAAGCTAAACGATGTATTCAAGATTTTAAATTTAGCTAATTTCACTTTTTTTTTGGTGAATGGTCAATACCCTTCATTAGTGCATAGACTTTTGGGGATTTCTTTGACACCAATTATTTCTGACCTATTGAAGTTCAACGGAAGTAATGTTAATTTTGAATTTCAAAACAGACAACTTGTCTGGAATGTAATGACTGAATTTTTGGTTTTTACTTTACCATTGTTGCAACTAAATAAGATCAAGAGAGTAGCAAACAAGGTTTTATCAGGGACGAAGAGAACTAATGATGAAAATAGCAATGAAAAGACGGTCACACCTTTTTCAAATTTACCATTATCACAATGTGCGATATGTCATTATAATAATGATCTTACTATTAACTCTTCTTCTGGCAAGACACCTTACTCATCATTTACGGTCACTAACCCTTACATTACTAATTGCGATCATATTTATTGCTATGTCTGTATAGCTTCTAAATTTAATGCGATAGAAGTGGATTCTGATGATGGTGAGTGTCCTCGGTGTCGAACTAAATTACATTGGTTCAAAGAATATGGTGATGACGATGCTGAAATTGACGCTGTTGTCATTGAATGTGAAGGAATGGAGAATAATAGTGATCTAAATGAAACTGAAAATGAAGATGAACATGAGATTAATGATGCTTCAGTCGATGATGATGCAATACCATCTGGGCAGCAAAGCTCGTCTGATAGCGACTACAGTGAGGAAGAAGAATACGAGGCAGATGATCTAATTTTATGAGTGAACTTTTTATATTTTTTGAAGTACTCATTTGTATATTTAGTTTAATAGTCTAAGGATTAATTGCGCTCCTTTATTGTCACTATCCGCCGACAAAAGATCCTTAATAGCAAAGATTTCATGACGAAACTCTTCAAACTCTTTTTGATAGTCTGATAACTGTAAAACCTCATATATAGCAACCACAACAAATGCACCTTGGCCAGAGCACCAATCTGCCAAGCTCTTGGAATCCAACATGTACTCTTTTAGTCTTAACGCGAGGTCAACGCCGACGTTTGGGATTTTGGTAGACGACTCATTCGATTTGACAAGTTTTTTAGACTCATTGTCCCAGCCAAATTCGTGTGCTTGAATCATGTATTTTAATGATCTCGAGAAATTCGGCGACATATTTATTAAATGATGGTCTTCTAAGATACCAATTCTTTTCAATTCTTTGAAAATTGCATCCATTAATTTTGGTCTCAAGTTTGAGTTTACGTCTTCTAGATCTGTTGGAGTTAAAACTAACTCGGTCACAAACTGAGCACCTAGATTCTTAGACAAGATATCTCTGAATGTCTCACCTGACTGACTATTTTCCTCTGCAGTTTCTAAAATAGAAGAGTATATTAATGGGAGAGCCTTAGAAAGTAACTCATTTCTTCTTTGACCCTGTGGCTTTTTGGAAGTTTTTTTGTACGCAAGTCCTTCATAGTTTAAGAGCTTACTTTGAACAGGTGGGGCAAAATAACGACGATCAAGACCTTTCAAAAGGTACAATATGGGTCTCCTTGAAAATTTATCACTTATTATATTAGGGAGGTTATCGCCCGTGAATAATTCGGCACTAAAGCTCTTATGCAACAAAACGGTATCATCTACCGTCATAAATAAAGTAATCAACACTAAGTTTCCGTGATCGTTCTTAATTAATTCTGTAGAATGCTTTTTTAAAGACTTGATAATATTTTTACGCTCCTTAGCATTCGCTAATGCGATTAAAGTTGCTGCAACATCAGAACCCTCAGGAGTATGAACTAATTCGGCAAATTGCTCACTTAAAAGTTCAATGAAACTTCTTATTTGGCTATCATTTGCGTCGATATCGTCAACTAAAATTGTGAGGTATTCTTGCATAACTGCGTGTAAAATTTGAAACCCACCTGATCCTTTTTCAACACTTGCATTCAATGTTCCAAACAAGTTACTCAGAATTAATTGCTTTTTCTCCGACAGCTCCTTGGTAACGTCCAAAACTGATCTGTCATCATCGGAATTTCTAAATACAGCATATTCTGCGCCCCAGAATTCCCTGAGCATCTGTTTTTTCTGAGATCCTGTAGCATATAACACATACAAATCCTCCACAACATATGCGCCCTCTCTATGCCTCATCAATTTACGCAATTTTCCATGGAGCTCATTAATAATAAGAGACCTGGAATCCTTTGAGCCATAGTGCAATAGCTTAATAAGTAAATATTTTCCATAAGAAGAGGTTGCTAGTTGATAGTAGTTGCCTTTGAGAGACTTTACTATTATCTCTCTTCTTTCCTTTGAAGAATATTTAACTAACGTTTGGACAACCCTAGAAGCATCGTGCTTCAAAACTAAATCTAATATTACATCTTTTGACAACTCCCAAATCTCATCACATAATTTGTTTCTTACAACTTTCGGTAAAGGAGGTTTCGTTACCCTTAGTTTTTCCCACAAGCTCTTGATTCTTTGAACTTCAGTACCAGACTTTCTCTGTAACTTCCTTTCCGATAATAATTTTCTCTGCTCGGCGTGCTGCTCTTTTGATGTTTTTTTATTTTCGTTAGACGTGGGAACGTTTGAGTCATTTTCGAGCCCAGCTTCTTCGTTGTCAAGTTCATCAAGTTCATCTCCTTCACTATTTTCCTCGTCATCGAGTACGTCAAGGTCATCACTTTCATCACTCTCGACGGATTTCAGTATTTCACTTTCACTTTCAATCTCCTCGATATCTGAATGAGAGCTCAATTCATCCTCCGATTCAACTTCATTTTCCAGTTCTTCAGAAGATGATGAAATCTTGGGAGAAATTGGCACCTGTGATACTTTTGGTTTCTTGTTATATGGTTTTTTGGAACCATTATCCTTACGCTTGATTCCTCTACTGACAGAACTCATTAGAACTCGCTCAAGTCTTTTCAACTATATTCTATTGATTTTTCAGCTCCTGTTTTCAAGAAAAAAAAAATCGTGAGATGGGATGGCACGCCGCAATTAATGAGGCGCACTTTTAGTGAAACTTTTAATCGCAAGTTGCCATCAAAAGATCGGGAATAGAAAAAGACCTTGGACCCAAAAATGATTCGTACACTTTACAGACAATCACACTTTTCACAATTTAAAACAGCTCACAGTCCAAACTTTTTTTCTCCTATGTCAAGAATTAATTCGTTTAGAGCGTATTCTGACCAAGTATCTCCGAGCAAAGTAAAGGAAATAAAGGACTTGACTGAATTCAAAAACTTTGTTTCTTCACCAGATAAGTTATCGGTGATTGATTTTTATGCTACTTGGTGTGGGCCTTGTAAAGCATTGGAGCCCATCTTTGCAACGTTAGCCGACAGGATTCCCGAAGTGAAATTTGGCAGAGTTGATGTTGATGTAGCTGAAGATGTTGCTTTGGAGTACGGCATTACAGCTATGCCTACCTGTATTCTCTTGAAAGATGGAGAAAAGATTGAAACAATCGTTGGTGCAAACCCTCCAAAACTTGTTGAACTCATTCAGAAGCATTCTGGAGTTGACCTTTCTAAAAGATAAGAACCCTTATGGTTTTAACGTTTTATGTGAAAGAGTGAGTACTTTATCATTGCAACTAATGCTGCGGAATTCAGATACTTTCTGTCACCTTTATTTAGCTTTTGGACAAAGATAAATATATGTTAGTTTACAGTCTATAGTTCACATACAAGGCTATATGCAACATTAAAATATTCTATTATATCCTGTATTCAGGAGTTCATGTAATTCATAGTCAATTTTGATTTATATTACAACTGTAGAAGAATGTTAAGATCTCTTACAAGAAAAACAATTCCGCTTGTTGCATTCGGTGTCGGTCTCTCAATATTTCCTCCTGAATGGAGAAAAAGCAAGCTTAAAAAGAGGGATTTGATGCACATAAATGAAGATGTTCTTTCACAGATTGAAGCGACCGACGAATTCAAAACGTTAAGTCAAGATCCTTCCCTAACCCATTACTTTGGAAGTGAAGTCTTCCCAGAGCAGCATAAAAATAATTATGTGGCAAGCGGTCTACTTTATGGACCCGAATTATTTGAAATAGATCCGTTAGTGTTCTTAGATTCGGAGAAAAGAGAATTAACTGGGTTTTATTATTTGGGCAATAAATTAATCAGTCAAGATGGACAAATACATAATGGCATTGTTTCCACTCTTTTAGATGAGGGATTGTGTTCTTGTGGCTTTCCTCTATTGCCTTCAAAAAAAGGTGTGACTGCATCTTTGTCTATCAACTTCAAAGAGCAAGCAGAGCCCGATACGGCAGTCGTATTGAGGGCAAAGGTTATTGAGGCAAAGGGCAGGAAAGTCGTAATCAATGGCTATTTGGAAACGTTGCCTTTTGATAAGAGTAAAAAATCAAAGAGAATAGCTGACTCTGTGTGCGTTTTGGTAGAGCCAAAGTGGTTTGGGTTTTTCACTTGGTTCAATATCTTTTAAGTGATTAGGCATCCCTACTTTAAAGAGACTATACTGGAGTCCATTTCAGCTTACTTCAACTTTTCTTTATACTGTTTATGTCTTATATATGGTATTGACTCCAGCTATAGAAATTTCTAATATTAAATATATCCATGGCACGCCTGTCTTACATGGTCTACTTCTATTTTGTAATTAAGTCTAATAAAGTCGTATGAAGGTGCTTAGAATACGACAATTTCACGTACTTTTCTAATATTTACACACGCGCGTAACATGCTTATATCAAAACGGAACGCGCTTCTCACTACTCTATGCTCTTCTATTTTTGAATCGTAATAGAAGAAAGAACTAAACCAACTACTATGACAGCATCTCCAAATCCTGCTGAACAAGCATACTTGGATCTATGTCAAAAGATTATCAACGATGGTGAATATCGGCCAGATAGGACCGGAACAGGAACAAAATCTATGTTTGCTCCTCCCCAACTTAGATTTGACCTATCTAACGACACTTTTCCATTGCTAACCACGAAAAGAGTCTTTTCAAAGGCTATCATTCATGAATTATTGTGGTTTGTCGCGGGCTGTACTGATGCTAAAAAATTGAGTGACAAAGGCGTGAGGATTTGGGAAGGTAATGGATCTCGAGAATATTTAGATTCAATAGGTTTAACAAATCGCCGTGAAGGTGATTTGGGTCCTGTTTACGGATTCCAGTGGCGTCACTTCGGTGCTAAATATGTTGATTGTGACACAGATTACTCTGGCCAAGGTTTCGATCAGCTACATGATGTGATAAAGAAATTAAAGGTAAATCCTTACGACCGCAGAATTATCATGTCAGCATGGAATCCTTCTGATTTCCTGAAGATGGCACTCCCTCCCTGCCATGTGTTTTGTCAGTTTTACGTTAGTTTTCCAGATTCTTCTTCTCTTGAGGCTAATACATCAAAACAACAAAAGCTCTCTTCAAGGCCTAAGCTCTCGTGCTTATTATATCAACGCTCGTGCGATATGGGTTTAGGGGTTCCATTTAATATTGCATCGTACGCATTGTTAACAAAGATGATTGCCTACATTGTGGACATGGATTGCGGGGAGTTTATTCATACGATGGGTGACGCACATGTTTACTTAGATCATATTGATGCTTTGAAAGAACAAATAAATAGGGTCCCTCGTGAATTTCCAAAGTTGAGGATCCTAGACTCGCATGAGATTAAGGAAATCGATGATTTCAGTTTTGAAGACTTCGAAATAATTGATTACAATCCTTACAGTCAAATTAAAATGAAAATGAGCGTTTAATTCAATATCTAATTAAATTTTACATGTACAAATACATATTGACCCCTCCTGAAATGCCCCTTATTGTAAATTAAGTAATGTTCTTCCATTTCTAGTTACCTTCTACCAGTGTAAAGATTTGGATTTCCAACGTCTTCCTCTATGAAGTCGAAGACAGCAAAGTCGTTCTCAGTTTTTTCACCAGTCTTATTGCTATTACTAGCCGCAAAACGCTGACTTGATTTGGATAATGAGTCAATAGAGTCATGCTTATTAATGCTTGCATTTGTAATATTGCCTAGTGGAGTTCTCTTAATTTTTTTTGATGGGTTTGTTGTGGGCGGTGACTTGACACGTTTTACAGTTGAAATATTTCCTTCCTCTGAGCTCTCTATCTTTGGATCACACCTCAGCTGATCTCTTGCAACAAGTGGATAGTTAACAACATGACTTATTAGAACATCATCTCCCACAGCGTCTAACGGTTTTTCAGAATCACGTCGCATTTTCGCTCTTAAAGATGGTGCCGCATAATTCACCTGTCTTCTATTGCGTGATGGCCTTCTGGCTAATTCTATGCTTGATGTTGATGTTGATGTTGATTTCTCATCAAGAACTTTAGTATGTTTTTTTTTCGCAGATTCAGCGTTACCTATGGAGTTCACTCTGGTTGCAGATTTATTCAGTATACTTTGAGTTATTTTTGTGCCGAAATCGTGAGTTTTGTAGCTGTTTTGCTCTTCAGTTTCAGTCAGTTTTCGATTTTTTAAATCAGAACTGTCGGGCGAGAGACTTATAGGTACGATTTTATTATTATGAGACTCTAGGAGTGAAGAATTCTCTGAGTTACAACTTACCTCAAAAATAGTGGGATGTAAGTGATTATCAGCTTTGGAAGAAGTCTTATCTTTATCAAGAACTGTGGTTCTTATGTCTGTAGAATCGTCCTTGATTGATACCACCTGATCTTTACCTTGCTCTAGAAACTCAAGAGATTCATATGCATCGTAGTCATTTATTCGATCGCTTAAGATCGGAGTAGATGTTACTGGGCGATCGAGGTTTGCTAATATATCCAACAGGGGATTGTGGTTCAATCCCTCTAATTCTCTCATCTTCTTGAGCAATTGAAATATCTCATCAACTTTAAGCATAAGACTTGATTCTAAGCGACTAAAGGTTTCTTCCAAGTCTTTCTTCGTCTCTGCATCCTTTGTTGACTTAGCTTTCCGCAATCTCAAATTCTCATTAATTAGTTCACTTATCTTCTGCTCCATATCTGATATCTTGCTAGACATCAATGAATTACTTTTTGCCAAGGACTTATTTTGAAGTACATATTTTGTTCTCATCGATTCTAATTCTTTACTCTTTGGTGTGTTTGCATATGTCGGCTCAGTTCCAGTCTTAGCGAGGACATTCGAAGGCGGCCCTGCGCTACGGCGTCCCAGAGAATCTGAAGTGGAGCCCGACTGGAACGTCAAGAGTGACTGCGAAAAGTCTGTCGATTTGCGTGCCATTCCCCTCAACAATTGACAGCCTAGTTGATATGATTCGCTTTCATCAATTTTCACATCTTTAAGCTCGAAAGTTCACAAACAAAAACAAAGAAAAACATACATAAATAGTCACGTGATTGTAGATAGTGTGACTTCTTCAAGGGAAGTGCTCTTTTTGGCATCTGGATCTCTCATTAGTCCCAGAATACACTCTCAAATCAATGCAACGATCTATTATTGAGCATTTCAAAAAGCATTGACTTTCAAAAATTGGCATTACCTTCCACATCTATTGATTGCAAAATGAAGAGAAAAATTTAATCAAAAATTAAATAAAGACCTTTTAACCTTCTTCATTATCGCGGTATAGCTTAGGATACGCTGTAGTGTAACTGCTCTTTTATTAATCAACAGCTATTTCCAACTAAGACTTGTGGTAAATTTCATTTCTAATCGAAAGTTAGAATAAAATTTTTGTCCCTATGTCGCGACACGTCGTCAATAAAATTTAATCTGGAGTGTACGATAACATTAGCACATCATAATAAGGTCAACAAAGATAATGAATTTTAAGAAGTATGCAGAAAGGTAATATATATGAGCAAAAGCTACAAGAAAAAAGGATTGAGTTGGAGAAGCTCATGGAATTTAGGGATTTGTCTGAAACTTTAGCGCTGCAATTAGAGGAAGTGGAGGAGAAGCTAAATAAAATGAACTCAGGAGCAGAAAGTGTAGCGCTTGTTCTAAGTAATTGGCAAAACGTGATAAGATCTGTTTCATTAGCTTCACTAGGATTAATGAAATATACTGAGAAGGATTACCAAGATAAAGTACCTTTGCCGGAGTCGTTAGTGAGAATAAGGCTCGAAAATTCCGACAATAACGAAGGAAGTATCGCAAACCCTAGCCTTGACGCGGAGGATTCAATCTCTTTAGGTAGAAGGTTAAATCCAAATTCAGAGCCTGAAAATGAAAACCCATTTATAGAAGAATGATCATACAGTGAATAGATTTATTTGATTACTTTGATAGTATATATTGAAAAAGCATCTATGTGTGTAATTTTTAAGTCTTTCTATATTCCTTTTTAACAGATGCAATTAACGAAATTAAATCAACTTTTTCTGTAATTTCTTTCAAACGTTGAAGGAGTAAAGCATTAAGCTTCTGACTAGCTGATATGTCGTCTTCTCTTTCTTCTTCAATCTTAAACGATAAATCATTTACCAATTCGCCCAAGCAGGTCTCATATTCAGAGGAGTTTTCAAGGGAGGCGAATGTCTTAAAAAGAGTCGTATCTTGTAACTTTTGCCTTATGTAATCGTCAGTCTTATTTTCAGTTTGAGAGATGGAGTACCAGTCGTCAGTAGACGTGAGCAATCTTAACAATATAACCTTACATTGGTACTTGAAGGCATTTTGGTGAAAAGCTAAAGAAGCTATCTTTAAAGCTTTAGAAAATCCATCAAAAACATTCAAAGGTGCAATGCATGTGAGTAAGCTTATCAAATCTTTTGGTTGCAACTCCATTTTCATTATGAAATTATGGTAAAATGGCTCTAATAATTCAGTAGTCATCGAAATGCCAATTTTGTCATTTGCAAAATTCCTTAGAAAATAATCAAAAGTCAATAAGTCCCCTTGACCAGAAACGTAGTTTAGCAATTTCAGATATATGGAATTCTGGACATTGAGAATCAACAATCTTCTATCGGCATCACAAATCAACTGCGACATTTGTTTATCATCATGATGAGAAGCACTTTCTTCGACAGCGACTGCTGATAATTTGGCCAAAGAGTATTTAAGTTGCTTATTATCTATGCTTTCAGTTTTCTTGATATTCGCCGAGGCAAATAAAGTCATCGATGCGCTTTGGAACTTCTCATCGAGAAGATATCGAATCCAAGCTATCTCTGACGTTTTTTTTGGTGTCTCTTCAAAAAACATATAGAGATAATCCTTATATTGGGAGAAATCCAATAACAATGATTGAACGTTGTCTTTCGCAATCAAAAGTTCAAATAAACTAAATGCAAAGCTATAGCCAAAAGTAGTGAAATAATGATCGTATTTCTTTTTAAGTAAGTTCAGACTTTCATGGTTCGATTTGCCAAACTTTTTAGTTAGTAATCCACGTTCTGTTTCTAATACCAAAGCAAGAGAGGAAAAATCTTTAAATTCCTCAGATATTTCTGTCGCCTCAACTTCTAAGTTATGCTTAAGTAGAGCTCTAATCCAAAACTTCTTTCTTGAGTTATACCATTTCTTGTACTCTGTGAGTTGTTCACTGGAATTTTCGTGCTTTTCCATAAAATTAATTGCATTATTCGTAAAATAATAGAGCGTTTTGCAAAGTTTGACCAAATTCATGCGACTATGTTGAGTAACAAGTAAATCTTCATCATCCTGGTTGCAGTACACCTGCGTAAAAAGTTCTTCTATTCTAATTAATATTGCCGTGTCAAAGATCCAAAGCTTGATATCATTGACAGCATATGTTGCATATTTCATTTCATTTAATAAAACTGCATTGTACATGGTCTTAACCACTATATCCACAACCTTAGAAGACGAAACCTCGCTATCAATTAAAATTTCGAGGAACTGAGTGAGGACTTGGTTTATGTAGCTTACTCCCTGATTGAAAAATTTCCGTAGAAGATCGCCCTCAGTATTTAACTTAAGTATATTTGACTCTCTTATAGCGCGTTCTAAAGAGTCTTTTAAATCTCTTGCCACTAAAGGCTCCTCATTGATACAAACCCACAATTGCAATGCAACATCTGTCTTCTCCAAGCTCTCGACAATTGGCAGAAGATACTTTGACCAAGAAACAAAATTCAGCTTGACGTATTCAATGAAATTATTATATAGCTCAACTTTTTTCTCAAGGGTTTCACTTACCGAAATTAGGGATGATGAAAGGTAAGGAGAGGTTGAATTCATCAATTCAAAGTCAATTTCCTCAATTGCACCTTCTATGCAAGGCTCAGGGTACGATTCCTTAATATTAAATTCAATGGCCGAAGCATTTGCGTAAAATATTCCCTGTTCTATGTGAGATTTTACAATACGAAGGGGATCTGCAGATTTTTCATAGTCCATGGGATTTGAATCAAGATTCGTCTCTGGAAATCTTTCTACACGTAAGACACCAGATTTATCAGTTATCAAAATTATTGAGGGATTAGAGTCACTAGATTCATTTTCGTACCCTTGGCCAATAATTGATAAAGAAGATTTTAGCTCGATGCAATCCTCCCATTTTGGTTTGAAATATTGAAAAGCATTGGGTGATGTAGACATAAAAGATGAAGTTTTCAAGTCTGACATAATAATTGAATTATTGATTGTGATGAATGCGGTTTCTTCTGGCTCTGGAACGAAAAGCTTAGGCTTGTTGATGCTCGTTACAGTCACTTTAGGGTCATATCTGACCAACTTATTTGATTCAAGTAGTAAGACACCCGTGCTGTCCAACTTTATAGTCATAAGTAGTAAGTTTTTTCCATCATTTCCACTAAAAGAAACGTCTATGTAGCAAAGAATCAAATAAATATCTTCCTCTCTTTTCATAAGAGGACAAAAATCCAATATTCTGAGATTTAGGTTTGATCCGGGCAAGTACCCCTCAATTCCACTTTCCAATGACGATAATAGGTTGTACTTAATGATATCTCTTCGATTGAAATATTGTTCCCCTATGGCAGATATATCGTAGGTCAAAAGATTAAACCCGCCAACTGAATCCTGGATGATTATCTCTTGTGACATTCCATTATTAATCATCTTTCCCGATTTGATATCAATAATACTGTCATTTATTATATCATTTCTTTCACTCCTAAAGCCTTCGAATATACCTGAAAAAAATCCACCAATCGAAGGTCCCAAAAGCTCCGTAGCTAATAGTCTAGATTTGCCTTTGAAATCCCTTAATGATATTAAAATACACCTTTTCCATGATGTAGCCACAACGACTCCTGAAGGCTCCACATTATTTGCTAAAGTAATATACTCCCCTCTTTTTTGATTTATTTCAATAGTTAATGACAAAGATTTGTTATTGATGAGCCCAAGTGCCGGAGCATGTTGCACGCTTTCATAAAATTTAATCACACCGTTCATGGGATTTATGATTACGAGTCCAGGGTCATGGTTGGCACCACTTGCTGGGTCTGTCAAAACTGCTAGAGGTGGAAGAGAAGATGCTTGATTATCATATGGAAACTGAATTGATAAAGGTGACAGATCTGTTGACTTATAATTCCATACATGAATAGCATTTTCATCAATTACAATAGCATAGTTAGATGCATGATCAGTGTATCCATTTAAATTGACTGATAATTCACTTCTTCTGAGTATTACTGGACAAGCAGGAAGCTTCGAAACACAATACTTCTCATTCTTGGTCAATTCTAGGACAAGGTTATTCCCGTCAGCTAAAGGAGCATCACGTATTTCATCAGCGCCTAAAACTATCTCCTTTGAAAACCTTCTAGGTTTGAATATAGATCCTTCTTCACTCGACATGCAACCTCTGCTTCTCAATACCCAGTTTGTCAACAAAACAAAAGTTATGAAGTAATATAAATTTTATAATATTATGTAATAATGACGTCCTTATTATGTAATCTACAAATTAAGTTAAGATATGTAATCCCTCAGCTAAAACTTAAACAGAAGAACAAATGCACTTAAACCTTTTGCCGTTTGATTTCCCTAGAGCCATCGTACTCTAAATTATTTTGTTCATTTTCGCTTCCGCTATCTTGGTCATATCTTGACTTCAAACCTTTAAGCTTTCTAGATTGTAGTTTATTTAAATCTTGTTTACCAACATGAATTTGAGCAACTTTGTCACCCATAAAATCAGTTTTGACGTTTTTCTTTTCTTTTGCTTGTAACTGTCTTGGTTTCGCATGTGCTTCTTTCTGTATCTCAGGAGAAGGATCAACAAAACGTCCTAATTTAAAATCAAATCTTGGACCAATTTCTTCTAATTCGACTCTGGGGAGCTTTTGATTTGATTTATAAGTTTTTAGCTTATAAACACGAAAATGAAGGGGCAATAGCGTCGTCGAGTTGAGATCCTCGATTTCCCCAGTTGATAGAGCTATAACGTACTGTAAGCCAGCGACGTCTTGCAAGTCTGTTTCTTCTCCCCTAAAGAAGTCTAGAAAGAGAGACTTAATTTGTTGAAAACGAGGATGATTATCAAAGGCAGGACCATTAAAAACAAACATGGGTTTCAAACCTATGGTGAACGTTAGTTTTTTGAATTCCAGTAACAACTTATGGTTGGTAATTGACAATTCAATCATGTCGTAGAGCTTATGATTGAAAAACCTCGAAAAAGTCAAAGTGTTTGGACGTTTTTTATTATTGGACGAAAATACCATTAAAGAAGTATCATTCTTTTCTGAAAAGAACTCTAAATGGGAAGCGTCTTCAAAGGGCCTTATATCATTTTTCTTGGAAAACTTCTTGACTAAAGGTTTCTTTAGTGCCATAAGGTCACACATTGCATCGTGTAGGAATTTATTGCCGGTAGACCCTGGTATAAAGAGTGCCGTCTTGGAATTTTCAACGAGTTTGGCTTCTTTCTTAGCTAAAGCTCTCTTGGAACGGGCATTCTTGGGTTTTCTTAATCATGTTAGTATCAGGCTTTGTTCTAAATGCAAAGAACTACTTACATTGTCCTAATCATCTCGTTTGGTGACGTTTCAAAAATAAAATCAAATAGCCTGACAAACCAAATATAAAATACATCTCATCTCCTTCTTTCTAAGAAAAAAAAAAATTGTTCGGGATGAAAAAGAAAAAGGTCGTACCCGGATTCGAACCGGGGTTGTTCGGATCAAAACCGAAAGTGATAACCACTACACTATACAACCGAATTTGATAATG